TATGGCAGAACTCGGAAGATCTTCCTGATCCTCGCCGTACTCATTACTCAGCTGAGTCTCGCATCTTGGGTGATCGCTGTCTGCCATGCAGTGACAACGCCGCGTCGTGTGAGCCATGAGACCGACCGACGTCGGTGTGCAGTGTCAAACTAAGCGGTGTGCTGGGCAGCAGCTGAGCGCAGGTGAACACCACACAGGTAGCCTAGTGAGAAGAACTAGCTAATGGAGTAATGTTACTTCAGAAGAAGGCGAACTAACGTTACTTTATTGGCAATCTACTTCAAAAGTAGAAGTACATTAATTTTAGTACTTTCCTTCTCTCTTTCTTGCTTCCTCTCTTTATTGCTTTCTCTCTTGTGTGCTCATCCTGGAACTTTTTTCTGCCCGTAAAAATGGTTTGGTCAGAAGTACACGTACATTATATTCCTTCTAGTACCGGTACTAGCGATTGCATTACATGACTTTCTGGCTAAAATTGGCCCAAAGCCAAAGGTAACAGTGAGTTACCACTCTCTAGAAGGATTAGACACCCGGGCCGGGCCGCATCGATCCCATGGCACCGATGCTCCAAGACATACCGGTACGTACATGTATGGTCACGGACAACAGGGCTATATTATGGATCTCGAGACTTATTTTCATCATGCTGTTTGGCGCGTTGTATGTCCTAACGGGATACCATAAGTATTAAAGTAAGGCTTCAAGAAGTTACATTGTGGTTGGAATAATTAAATGGATGTCACTCGAAGCGGTTGTGAGTTGACCTTATCAATTCCCTCAAATTGGAATTAAAAGATCGGAGGTGACAACGCCATCGGTGTACTGTGAATGCCAATGCATCCATGTCGGGCAGTGATGGTCAGTTCGTATCGCGGAGGTGAGGAGCTAATGCCTTCGAGAAGAGATGGATGGTACTAGTACTCGCGGCCTCGGGCAGGACCTGGTTGGAGACAGAAATGAGGAAGGTTGAGAGGTTGTAATGATGGAGTGCTGATGCCCATACAATTTCTCCAGTGCATCGTCGCAGTTCCTTTTACTGTAGTACATGTACATCGAAGCAATAGCGAGAGTTCCCAGATTACCTAGAGTGCTCAACACTACAAAGATGGAGCATTACATGTACCACAATGGCAGAAGAGAACAGAGACAACCGGCAAAGATCAGTGTTGTAACGCTGCGTTTCATGCACATACATGTACAATGTAGCAAAGCTAAAGACTTCGAAGTATTGTGTTTTGAATGGTCATGGCTTGTAGACCAAGTAAATGACTATGTACTGGCTTGTATAATAGTAATACTTTGCCTTTGGAGCAAATCAGTGTGCAAATCAGGACTGCAGTTACCCACAACGCCACAATGCAACTCAGAGACTACTGGGCATTATTTGGATGAGTGTATCCAACACAAGGTACCTGACGTTGTATAATAATAGTATTATAATACAGATTTCCATCACACTTTCATGTACATGTACATGTAGGTGAGGTAAAACGGTGCATGACTATACCGGAGACAGTATGTATCACATGTGTAAATCAGGTAAGAAGACTCACACGAGTCAATAGAACATAAATTAATTTATAATTAAAAATAAGAAATTACAGCTGTACTCATGCCATCAGAAGGCATCCATGATAATAAGTACTTGACACTTGCGAATCAAGCGGCATTTGAGGCTCTCACTGTCACTGGTGAAGCATGTATCGTTGATGGGACGGGGAAATCAGTGATAGACCCTGCATGATCAGCATCGGAAGTACCGATATTAGTTGGTGGACAAGCCGTTGATTATTCACTCTCATTGTAATATCAAAAAAGTATTCTTTCTAGACCAAAGAGTGGTATATTTGATAACATTTAATAACGATAGAAATATTTACGATACTTCTCCAGACGTTTCGTTGTTCTGAACAACATCGTCAGTGGATAAAGACTGACGATGTTGTTCAGAACAACGAAACGTCTGGAGAAGTATCGTAAATATTTCTATCGTTATTAAATGTTATCAAATATACCACTCTTTGGTCTAGAAAGAATACTTTTTTGATAGTACCGATATTGGCGATAAGTAGTATAGTATAGTATTTATTCATATTTCTCTAGGGCAGTCCCCACAGACCTATGGTCTCCTTACGGGGTACCCTAGCCAATCTAGGATTGCGATACGAAATTGACTTGGTGAAGCATATTCCAGAACAAGGTCTTGTAGCCATACGGTAAGGGGCCGTCCAAGGTTACCAATAGTATTTTCAAAACGAAAAGGTTTCGTTTGGGGGTGGGTGGGTTTGAAGGAGTTTCGTTTTGAAAATAATTATTGAATGCAGATGGAGAATGCCCAGTTACTTCTGGGTGTCGAAAATTGACATCAATATTTTATTGGAATTCGTTTTACCTGCAGAAAAGGTAGGTGGGTGGGTGGGTGCTGGAAAATACTAAAACTTTTCGTTTTGCAAAAACTATTGGTAACCCCGGACGGCCCCTAACGGCGTCCCGAATCCCAATCGTGAATTCAAAGACTATTTTTTCAGTTTTCAGGTCTTTTGCCTCATCTACCGTTCTCCCAACCGGTACCGGAAACTTTGGGCGCGTTCAGACTACCGATAAAAAGTGACCGATTGGGAAAGTCGGCAAGGTGATTTGATCACGTGACGTTACTGGCACGTTACCGGTGGGAAAGTTTTACTGCCGCGGCTGCTGCGGCAGTAAACTTTTACCGGCAGTAAAAAAGTGCTCAGGCTGCATGCGCGCTGGGAAAAAAGGGAAAATCCCTTGTCAGTGCCGCGGTGACAGCTGAAAACTTCACGGTAACGTTAGTTTGTTATCGGTAGTGTGAATGTCCTTCACGGTTTATCGGCATTCACGGTTTGACGGGGTTCACGGTAGTCTGAACGCGCCCTAAGTGATGGCCGAATGCAGTGCTTTGTGCAGTCAGGATGCACACCTGCGCCATAGCAAACATGTTTTAGCAGGTTGACTTGACCAACGAATGGTGGAAATACACGTACATGTACCTATTAGTATTATAAATACGATGATCGACATTGCCCCCCCCCCCCCCCCCCCCCCACCGACATGACAATAATGACAGCGAGTTACACAAAATATTTGGGAGCAAAACAAGACAATGGCGACTAACCTCGGTGAACAATCAAGATGAATTTAAAAAGAAACTGGTAAAAAGGAACTGATGTGCTACAGCGAAAGTAAGGATCCTGACCTGGATCAGTCTAAAGGCGCGCCGAGTTCCTTGCTGTGTTTCGTGTCTGGGGAGGCAACACGGAGTACACGATCGACTCCCTCCTTCCACCCCCCCCCACACACACACATAGTATCATACATGTACACACATGCAATGAGCTGCAAGGAAGCGGCTTTCTAGTGCCGTAGTGGTACAATAATCGTATACCAATATAGTAGGTCCTGCAGCGATCATGGCGACTCATAGCGTGGTGTGGATGAAGTGTGCCAGCCATGGGGAAAACATACCATTCGCACTCACACGCTTGCCTTCAGTATGGTCAATGGGTAAAGTAGCCCGATGATTACGTGACACGTTCACACTATCTTGAGCATACAGTATGCGAACCCTGAATAGGAACGAGGACAACGAATTTCAAAGGCTAATCTAACTAACAAACTCGCGATCACTTTGCACGCATGATTAGAGCGAAGACAATCATTTCACAAGACAGGTTCGCAACTGGCGGGGCACGGACCGCGGTGTTGTACGGACGGCCAGTGACCAGTGGTGACACATGTCGCTGACGGTGAAGATGAACAGTTGGCACAGCAGGGCAGGGCAGCGCATCAGACTCAAGAGGTGAACACCACTAGCAATTATCACTGCCCGACAACATAGTTGTCTGATAGGTACAAATTGCTCACTGCATCAAACAATTGCTGCTGTGACTCGCCATTGCTCGTACATGTAAGTGAATAAAAGAATGAGGAAGAGGCCCTCTTTGCGGGAGGCCATAACTGGCGGCCTCAGGAATGGGCGAGGACTAAGACATGGTGAGCTGGTACGCAAGACGCACACACAGGGGTGCTGACACAATGACAGCTGGCAGCTGCCCCAACCCACCTTGCATTCCACTCAGTCACACAACCTCTGCATGCAGTCTCAGTGCAATGTCGTCTTTCTTTTGTTCTCGACGCCCTCTTACTGTGACGCAGTCAGAGGTTAGAAACTAAAGACCAAGATTGTTTTGAAAACGGGATACTTGAAGTACAAAGTAGACAGTCGGAAGTGCTTGTGGTGATAGCGAGGACACTCACTCGGATTCTCTGGGAGCTGCATGCAGAGCACCGCAGTCGTGATCTCAATGATATCACGCCTCTGGTCAAGAGTTATCAGGCAGCTTTGCTCTGGATACTCCGGGCTGATCCATGCCCAACACAAGAAACACCAAACTGGTTCAACTCCCTACAGACAGTACTCGGTCAGTAGGCAGTAGATGAGCTCTTACTTTATTAGGAGTACAGAATCCCCTCCCGAATCCCCCTCATGGGGGGGGGGGGGGGGCAGGGGGTTGCACAAAACGATCTATCATAATTAGTGTAAAATGTAAAGCATGTACCGGTAAGTGAAAACAGGTGGACGGTTTTAATAGTCAATAGTTTGCAACAATCATGTACTTGTACATTGATATGTCAGGAGTACATTGAAGTACAGTACACAGCAGACAATTAGTACAGTATACTAACGCTACTGCTCCTGCGGCATTCGTGTTCACGAGCAAGAGCAACATTTGCCAAACGACGAGCTCACGCCCCTACATTGCTACTTCCCCTTGCCTATTACTAACCCCCCAAGACAAACAAAGAAGTATACACATGTACATGTAGTAGTCGACTGGCGGAAATTAAAAAAAAATGCACCCAGGCCTAGCGTGTCCCTGCTTCACACTCGCAGGCACAACCGCTCACGCTAGGGTGCACTGCACAAGAAGGCAAAGATTTCCCTGCAACCACACTGTACACACTGGTCATGGTCAACATGAGTGCAAGGACTTCTTTAGATGTTTCAAAACCAATCACAATGATCTCACTCCCCGTCTGAAGCCAGCGTGCTCAACGCACTTCAAAATATCACTATTGATGATGTGCTTATAGTTATAGTGTAGAGGATGATACTGATGCGTATATAGTGTAGTGGCTAGCATGGCTTGGCGGCCGGCCACTTAGCACTCATCATTCATGCATATAGCACCTCTCAATGGCATTCTGAGTCTAATGGACACAGCTGTTGTGTGCTGTGTGCTGTGAATGGCACAGTGGTGTGAGAAAGCCACAGGAAATAAGTCAGTTACTCACCAGGATATATATAATTATACAGCGGAGTACCCCTAGATGCCAAACAGGACAACACCAGGACTGATGGGAACACTAGTAGTAGTCAGAGGTCTCTCCGGTCCCTGACACTGTCTCCATTCATACCTGGCACCTAAATGGCACAGCATAGTACTAGCGTACTATCGCCAGCATGTAATCATTTCAAGTAATTTTAGTATAGCCATTAGTGCCATCATTAGTGTCCCTGACATCTGGGCTGACACTCCAGCTTGAGACATCAAAATCACTCCAAAATGTGATCCTTACACATCAGTGTTAGAACATGCCGATGCCAACGGGTAAGTCAAGCCACAATGCGGAATCCAGCATCACATTCCATATGCATCACCTGACCCAGAGCCTTGTTACGTAGCTCCATTACTGTCAATTGTAAAAATAAAATTATAGACTTGTTGCACCCTTGCCGGCCCCACTGAAGGGGGAACTGAAAAATTCCAATCCTCAGCTCGTGCAAGTAGCAATCTTTCCAATGTTGTAGCCGACCTCATCCGTGTGGAACGGCTTCTGATGCACGGTTGAGGTGAAAAGGCTGGCAATGGGATTTATTTGCCCCATGAATCTGTCTATGAGCCCTTGCCTTGCCTATAGTACAACACAGCCGCACAGATTGAACATCAGAGTTAGATGCACATGCATAGTTGACAGAGTGCTTTCTTTGACTACGGCAGAAAGAGAAACCGACTCTGCTTTCGCAGACTACAGTACAAGATCAAAACATGTGGGGTTTTTTACTCACTCTTTCCTTGTGTAGGTTCTGAGGCAATAGCGGTGGCAGTCCCGGAGTGGACAGCAAGACGTACAGGTACTTCTTCACAACATCTTGAAAGACTAGGCGCTTGTAGCCAAGCTCTCTCTGATCAAACAAACAAGTATAAAATCCGTTCATTGTTCAAAATCATGCACAAGCAACAAAATAACCATTCACGGTTATAGAACTTCAACGATCAGCTCTTCAACTGAGTGAAGTGGAGAACATCAGTGTCCCCAGTGAATTCTGACGATCATTTATGAAGTTTCCTACTCCTTCCACTGATTGATCAGTGTTTATAATACATCGTGTATATCGTCCTATTCTACTCTCCCACCTCACAGCTAGTATGGCTATCATGAGAATGTGTAGCACCGTCCCACCTCTGACAGTGGTACGGAAGCTGAATATTGCTAATGTGAAGGTTGAAGTTACCCTTCCTCAATCCTGCATCCTCTTGTTCTGGAAATGCACTATTCTATCAAACATTGGACACATTCAGTTCCAAAAGGACCACAACACGATGCAGAACTTTTCTAAGTCTTCCCATCACAAGTTCACACTTGTAGCAATTGCAGTGTGAAGTGACACCATGTATCGTCTATATTTAGACACTGTGCCAGAATTTAAGTTTAGGCTGTGGCAAAGGACTTCAGATCTGTCCTTCCAGAAAATGGGTGTGCATTGGTGTGCACTCAGGAGGAGGGTTCAGGAGTTTAAACAATGCAACACCTCATCATGCTATGCCAGAAACTAAGTTCGGGCTGTGTCAAAGGACTTCAGATCCATCCTTCCAGAAGATGACCGGGCGTGCATTTGTGTGCTCGGGGATGAAGGTTTACGAGTTTGAACAATGCAACAACTCATCACCTCTTCACCTCATCGTGAAGTTCATGACATGCATGCATGTATGTTTTGATCGGCGATAGTTTTGCAGTCAGCACAACAGGGTCATTATGATTCCGCCTGCATGACGCTTAACCAACAGCATCAACCACAATTACCAGGCTAAAAGGTCACACTAGCATTTGCATGCAACTATAAAGCCAGAGTGATCGCCACCGCATGATCCTATTCATTCAGTGTAATCTACGGGGGCAAAGAACAGTGCAGTAGGATAGCGCGCTGAAGAACGTGGAACCCAAGAACGTCCAGCCTGAAGTACTAAGAACGCCTTGGCCTACAGTTAAGAACGTCAGTGCTGGTCTTCTGAGAGCTTGTGGGATACATATGATTCAGCACGGATTGTTTCTAAGAACATGTTATAAGAACGCAGCCAGATTGCTGAAAGAAAAGAACGTCCCAGGCTAGCCCCTTGGAAATAACGTTCTTGGGCGCGCGACTCTACTGTACGCTGAATGCACATCCCCTGCCAAGTAACAGTCACACAGCACACTACAAAACACACAATACCTGCTTGTGATCTCTCTTGTAGTCTTTCAGCGCCTCGGGAAGTTTTGCCTGTGCATGGACATGGGAAATGTGATGTAGACATAATGTTGATATGTATACTGATTTAAGAGCAACACGTCCAATCCAGAACAGCGAAGTTCAACCCAGGCTCTCTACCGGATTATGCCGTACAGTCATCAGGGGCGTAGCACCCGCTACGACTGGTACGACCATGGCCGTACCACTTTTCGAAAAGTGTGGTCCGTCCGGAACGTGCAAAACCGTAATAAAAAAAATCAGGATCCATCGATGCATATGCGCATCAGACTTTGACCTTTTTTCTAGACTCTTCGTAGATCTGTTATGCATCTGCAGTCGTACTGAGTACTGACACTACAACAATGTAGTCACTACTGTACTCGACTCGACTGCACACTGCGCCAAAAGTTCCCAGAACACAGGATTTTGTGTCTTTTTTACAAAATTTTCCCGGGGGAGGTCCCCCGGACCCCCCTCCAACACGGCCTTCGGCCGCACCGACCTTTGGTCGTACCACTTCCAAAACCCCTCCTACGCCCCTGGTCATGAACAGTACGAGACAAAACATAGTGGTATACATGTACATCTGTACTCCAGCCCATTCATTCGAAAACTGGCACCCTAACTTTTTGGCGTCTCCCGCACACAGTTGTAGATATCGTGAAAACAACAATACATCCTGCATTGTGTGACCCGTGCAATTACTCCTTGCCACATTTGAGGCCAGAAAAGTCCAAGAACAGGGAAATAGAAATTCAGCCAGGTTTTACAAAATTGGGACAGGTATGCCATGGCAAAATGTATGGAGAAGCAGATCCCAAACCCAGATTTTTGAGATTTAAAGTGGGTTTTTGATCTTCAATTCGGCCCAAATTAGGCTTTCAAAAGCCAGCGGGACTGTTTCCGATGAATGGACTGTAAGTGCATGAAGGTTCAAGGAGGGGAGGGGTAGGGTGCCACGTTTAAGGCCACTTTTGAACCTTAAGCACACTGTTTGCTCGGAGTTCACCCAGTTCAGAGGGTGCATTTCCCTCTATCTGTTTACAATCACACTACCAGACTGTGCAAATGCATGGTCCCATTACAACACTACACACACTCACACATCTTTCTAACCCAGACCTCGAAGTTACGGGCATCTCGGTCTACAGGGTATCCTGTGGGTGACTGTAGGAGAAATATTACTACTCTTGTCATTTATGGGAATACAGTACTGTCAGGTACCGAAGAACGGATTGCCGAGAAACAAACAGGCTAGGATTTCACCAAGGACAGCATACCAATGTATACACGGAGACATAACTGTGCATAGACTGTAATACATGAAAAGAAGAACAGCCTAGGCTAGGAGGCTGACCCTCGGTTCTTCGGCGTCTGACAGTACTGTAGTGACGTTGTACATATGACAGCTATCTGGCCCGTCCCCACTGAAATGTGTACGCTTAAGCAGACATTTTCAAGTCACGGGAATTTCCCGGTCCCGGACAGCCGGGAGAAGAGAGGTGAGTGTATAGGCTTACCAGTAACACATCCATCAGCTGGTAGTCGTCCACTACCTGAGAGAAGGTGGTGTGCAGGACACTACAGATTGGTGCTGAGGGCAGAAATGCGAACAGAAGCAATTGAGTAAGTGATTGCCTTATGCCAGCATTGAGTGAGCGCTTGCCTTATGCTACGAGAAGCCATGCTCAGAACCTCATACTGCTTGTCATCTCCCATCAAGCTTAAAGCATTGCTGCATAATTTATGGGCAGTGTAATGCACTTTTACTGACTCTGACTAACCGATGAAAGTACTTCCGTAGTTACGTAAGAACACTTCAATTTCGTGCGTGTTGCTAGCACTTTGAAACGCAAACCACACAATGAGGATATTATGTCACAGGTTGACCAAAACCAAGAGTGCATGGAACTACACCATATTTCCTAAGCGTCTGACTTCCTAAAAGTGGTGTGGGATATGTTGATTATGCACCCAATGTTCGGCCTAAGCCAATACCGGATGCTGCATTAGGAAAGGACACGGTACTGCATAGCAGTATGATTTGCTTAGCATATGAGTGCATAATGAAGGATGTCGTTTAATTAACGTTCACATTAGACCGTACCTGCGACTTGAAACGGCCGGTTGGCAACAAAGTCCAATGCCTGCGCTTGCCTGTACAAGGATAGTGTCTGCAGATAGCATTGTCGCACTACAATCATCTTTGGTAGATCACTGCCATTGAAAGACACATGGAGCAAAGGGAACGACAGGAGGATGGTACATAGTGAATAAATAGCACATAGGTAAAGCTACTAGATGATTCCTTCTTCTGGCAAATCACATTTAAACAGCTGCTACATCACCTTGTACCAATGAACACGGGCTTTACGTTCACGCGAAACCTCCTTTACGGGTGAAATACACACAATACATGTACGATGAACAGGGCTACTAAGTTATCTGGTTCATTGTATTTACGTCACTGTGTCTTTTTAAGATACTGTAAAACTGGGAACTTTCGGTGGTGTTATATTTCAGTATTTCCCAAAATCAACGGTTTGGTAGCGCGAAAATTTCGGTAAACCAGTTTTCCAGATCCAAACATGCGTTTTGCCCACTGTGTGGCATGGGCTTGTTGAATTTTAGGTCGCGTTTTATTTTAGGTAAAAAATACCTGTACCAAAGTTACCGGAAATATATCTCCACCGAAATTTTCCGGTTTTACAGTAATGACCAGTTTGTGTGGCCCATGTCAAAACACCATTCCATTGATTTATAGCAAATACTACATGAAGTGCAAGGATGGAGTAACACCATATGAACAAGGACAATTTCAACCATCCATAATTGCATACAGCATTATTAGCTCTTCAACACAACTCGCCAAGGGAAAACAGACGCCAAGTCTACTAAGGGGTCGTCGCAAAAGTTTTCTGTCGTCCCTGAAACGAACATCGTTCATTTCGTACTTGGACCCCCTCCCCTCCCTCTGAAACGAACACAGCTTGCTATGCTGGACGACGAAAATCGCATGCATGTACATGCCATATGTACAGTGTCGGTCGACTTGCGTTTTTGGCTCGCACCCCCTCCCCCCCCCCCCCCCCCCCCAAATGAATCATGTTCGTTTCAGGGACGACAAAAAACTTTTGCGACGACCCCTAACTTTGTCATCTCCACGACGTCAAGACTTAGCGCATTGACTTTGACTGTCAGAGATGGTCCACCAGCGCCTTGCAGCAGGGAAGCTTTGCGCAAACCAAGCCGTCCTGGTTTTGGAGCACAGTAACACAGTAAAGTATCACAAGGTGGTGGTGGTGGTTAGACATTGATTGTTGATGTTGCATGAAAGACTGAAGGTTTTTAGCCAGCACGTGTGCAGTTGAATCGTGAGGAACGAAGACTGATCTTAGACCTTCCAGAGTCAAAGAACTGGTGGAAGCAGTTTTTGATTGGTCCGGCCATACCCTCCTAGTCTTTCATACAGTTTGTGTATGATATGCAGGGTAGTCACATGACTTTCATACAGTTTGTGTATGATATGGAGGGTAGTCACATGACTTTCATACAGTTTGTGTATGATATGCAGGGTAGTCACATGACTTTCAAACAGTTTGTGTATGATATGCAGGGTATTCACATGACTTTCATACAGTTTGTGTATGATATGGAGGGTAGTCACATGACTTTCATACTGTTTGTGTATGATATGGAGGGTAGTCACATGACTTTCATACAGTTTGTGTATGATATGGAGGGTAGTCACATGACCTTCATACAGTTTTATCACGATTCCTTTGCCATAACCCCAAAATTTGAACCTTTAGGAGCTATTTTAACCTTTTTAGTATAGCATTTGTACTATAGTGTACGATGTTGCCTATTTTGGGTACAAGACTATAAGAACAACAGGGTACAGCATCTCCAGCACAGTGGCTGGGTGGTATAAGGGGTTGCTTGAGATTCATACTGTTGTGGGTTCAAATCCTGCTTGTTCTCTTCCTTTGTCTTCTTTCTTTTAAATTTTCTTAGTGGAGAGAAAAATTCCAAGTCCCTCCAAAGTCGAAAGATTACAATGCCTAAGTGGTCGATATGAGCGGTCGATACAAGCGGTCGATATTACGGCGATATAGCAGTCCGTGCGCCAGATTCAAAAAAGTCGTCTAAAAGTTGACTTTTCATTTTCCGCACTGGGCAGTTTGCGGGTACTTTTTGAGTCGCATTCTCAATGGTGGACAATTTTGGAAAATGGTTTTGTGTCTATGGCTCGTTTGTTTTGGCATTTCGCTACCTGTGTGGTGAGCCTAAAAATTGCGCTTAGCCGTGGCAACGCAATGGTGTATTCCGTTTTTCAGCCAGATGACTTGTTTCGCTGTGGTCCGGCATCTTCCTAGATTCTCAGCCGTCGTCGAATTTGAGTATTTTCGAAACATTTTTTAGGGTGCAGGCGTGGGGCAAGGCTTTCACTCCCAGCCAATGGCACCATTTGGCATAACTCAGCCCTATGAACACGTCACCAGGCCCTCGTTAGTGTCCAGCCCATATTTCCAAAAAATGGACTGGACTTGATACTTGAGTGTACAGACAGTACTATGCATTATGCACGTAATGACCGTATGCAATAACTTTCGCAAGCTACACGACAAGGACTCGCTGCAGAATAACATAATGATATTCACACCATATGCCATTGTGGTGCACCGTGATACCAATGACAGTATATTTATCGGTGATCAATTGCCTACTGGGTCGCTCCGTTGCCGAGAACGTCAACTTTGCGGACTGTGGAATGACCCGCGACACCGCCAACCACCCCTGGCACAAAGCCAAATGCTGAAAGAGCTGACTGATACGGTACCTAGCAAGTTAACTGGATAATGCGTATCTTCAACAAAACCAGGACATAAAACAGTGCTATGATAAACTACCTCCAGTCACCGGAAACAAATACAGTGCATTCCGCATGTGGATAGAGATTGCACTAGTACATGTATAATTGTATACCAATCTTAGAGTAAGAAAACAAGTTATCGGGTCTATACCATCAGAGTTGGCAGCTATATGTATTGGATTCTCCTGGTGTGCAGAATGATGCTGGCGGCGTGGTTCATATCCACTGTTGGCTTGCTGTCGGCAGTACCTTCACTATCTCACGTCTAAGGCATTTTATAGTCTGCATGACTTGGATCACAACGCCATAGTTATCCTCACGAGAATGGTAATAAATCCAGATCACTAAGGCCTTCTTCATTGCAGTTGGCGCAATACGTTCACGGGATCGCGTCTCCGACCTCCAAATTGTAATTATAGCTGGCTAGTCTGTTGTTTATTGGCAGACAAGAATTGCGATGCTTCTTCAAAAGAGGCAGTTTAGCGATGTCTGTCCATGACATATTCCGCATTGCTGTGTGTGGAAGGAAAGGTGCAACAACATTAGATTGCTGCTGGCCATAGACATCAAACTGCAACATCTGGGCTTCAGCTGTCACAGGTCCATTGACAGAGAGACTGCCGCATATTGCACATACTGCAAACTGTTGACTTCATGCCATCGCCTCATGGATCAGAAGTCACCACACTGAAAGAAGAACAGCAGGGGAAAACAGAACTGATGCAGTTAATTGGCAGCAACAAATTTACTCCTTCATTTCATTCGACGAATTTGAGTCGTGCAATGCAAGAAAAAAGTCAGAGAGCAGGATCTAGGAGAGGGCATGCACCAGTGCTGTTGTGCATAATAATTAGATGCTCAGAATTTCACCACAATAATGCACATAATACTGACATATTTACACTATACAACCTAGTAGTCAACAAATTCAGAAAAAAATCTAGTACTTCAGCTGGTGAAATATCCCACCTCTATCCCCTAAGCTCAAATGTCCCTGTAAAATTGATAAAGGATTGGTAGATGCTCACTCGGAGTGGTGTTTGAAAAGTAACACAACAGGTCATGATGATTTAGAGCATGCTCAATTGTCTCTTCTCATAAAATCACAATATTGCCTGTGCGTGGTTTATTTCGGGTGCAATTGTGGGGCACATAGGTATCACTCTAATTTCTCGTGCATTCGAAAGATAAAGCTTTGGTCTATCACCCCACAAAGCGGCTTCAGTGTCCGCGATGGTTAAATGCCTTACCTGGTGTGAAATTGGTGACCATATTCCTCGTTTCAGCAATTACAAAAGTGAGACATTCGTCCTTGGTGGCTGCTCACGAACTGCAAGCTCCAAAATAATTTTCCAGGGTACGGCCATAGGTGTCTACATCACTCCGAGCCATCTCTCCAGTGTAGGAAAGGTCTCCTGACGAGACTAGAAGGGCTCTAAGCAGCAAATTTCATTGAAATATTCACCATTCGGAGATAGGCGAAATCAACAGAAAACAAGCCCGCAGGTGCGGCGCCTTGGAGGCTACGATTCCCGCGAGAAAATGAAAATCGGTCTCTCAAGGGCCTTGGCGCACGGACTGATAGGTAATATCAAGAGTACATAACCCCCCCCCCCCCCCCCCCCCCCCCCCAGAGTATGCAACGCCGATCCAGCTCTGCATAGGGTCTTGGTCGAGCGGAATCGGATCTTCTGATGTCATGCGTACACTCCACACCAGCGCAAGGCCGGTCTCGAGGCAGGGCACCATTGTTTTTGATCCAAGAGTACCCTCGACTCCCCGGGTTCCCCTCAGATGTGTACGGTATTATGACGCAAAGATCCGATTCCGCTCGACCAAGACCCTATGCAGAGCTGGATCAGGCGTTGCACACTCTGGGGGGTTATGTACTCTTGGTAATATAGGACCAGTCAAAGATCACGAGAATTAGTGGAGGTCGATATAGAAGAGTGATAAGGAGGGTATATACATGACCTCCTTATCAGCAAAACACATGTTGGTGGCCAACAAGTTGGTCCGCCGTGGTCTGACCAACCGGACTGGTTCTGCCGGGCCAGAACTGTCAAAACAGACCAATGACTCAACTACATGGGGACAAGTATGAGTGAAGCAGGCCGGTGAGGGAAGGGTGTGAGTGCAGAGGAGTTGGGTATGGCCAACTTAGCATGTACATTGTGCCCAGGGTGGTGGGTTGCTAACCACTGCATTCTAGGTCTGATAGATGTGGAGCAAAACCCGTCAAGGCAACCACTCGGATGAAGCGACCACCAGTCCCAGGAGACCATTGCAACCAGCACCAAGGGATGCTATTTCCGGTCAAATGACCCTGGATAAGAAGACCACCTGGTAACAGAGACCATGTTGTGAAAGTCCCTTGACCGGTCGTCTTAGACACGCGTCACTGTACCACCATTCTGTTGGTTTCAACAGCCAACCAACTAAAGCCTAATAAATTAATAAAATTAGTAATTTTAATATATTGCATTCCCAACTCATCACAACCACGCGCTCTTCAGCCGAACCATACAGACACCAGCAAGGACACTTCCGTTGAGAGATAATATTGCTCCACGCCTCTAGACAGCTGTTTCGCTCCCTGTCGGAGCTCATCAGTAGAGGATGATAATGATGATAATGGAGGAATGATCATTCTTATACACCAGAAATGGCGCAAGTGCGCGCTTTCCACATAAAACAATGGCATATGCAAGCTGCTAAAATGGTGAAGTGTGAGAACAGCGATAAATAATCATAGTACGCGCTCATTGGTGGAGAAACACACCACACAAGCGACGAAAATCTTACTCGGAATACTGATGCCAATGGAAAGTACATGTATGTTGTTTATTATTATGATGTTGCAATGTCCATGTATGCAGGCGAGGCGAGACTCACCGCCGAGATCCCCCAACGCGACAGGCTCGGTTGCCGTTCAGGATTCACACCGACCTGTCCGCCCGTCAACAGGATCGACAGCGGGAGGCCCCACTGATGCCGATGTCGATGCACACCAGGAAACTTGTAGTCATATATATTTAGTTCTGAAATTTTAATATAGCTATGAATAGGATGAAGGCCGCAGACATCACGCAACTACGTTACTTGTTCGACATGTATTTACTGTGTATTTTATAACAAAAATATTATTGAAAACCCATAATCGATTTTCTTGTTCCTATCGTCAGTGGGAAAAATACGGAACTAAGGATACAACCAAAGAAACTGAAGTTTAGTACTGTAAATAGAAAGGTGTTAGAAATAACAACAAGATACAAGTGCAATAAAACCACTAGAGGAAACGCAAAAAGGTAACAAGATTACGTAACCAAAGGCGAGAAGGCGCTAAACGAAGTGTCAACCTACGAATACAACTTCAGTGCAACAACGTGCTCCTTCTGCTTACACAAAACAGGCTTATGAATACGTATACAAACTGCCTCAAGGACTTTCAACTGTTGGACATAACGCGCACGACACAGTACAGAAAAATGAGAGTCATCATACACACTAAGACAGTCAGGACGAGATAACAAGTGTAGATAGACAGCTGACTTCTTACGATCAACACATTCATCCGCCTCATCTCGCTCCTTCCCACCCGACTCCTCCTCGTCCATCTCATCATCCTCTTCCTCGTTCCGCTCGTCATCCTCACGATCATCATCACTACCATCATCTGCCTCGTCCTCTGTCTCCTCACCAACCGTTTCGTCATTCAATTGCTCTTCCATCCTCTGATCACCTGTCTCATCCTCCGTTTCTGTACAGACCACTTGTCTCCCATTTGCTAGCTGCTCGTCCCGTGAGCGGAGTTGTTCCTCCAGATCCGCTTCACTCACTGACTCATGATCCTGCTCGACCTTCCTTCTGTTTGTTGGTATTGTCCACAACGCGCTGTTCTTGGCCGGTTCTGGCATAAATATCTGTGGAGTAGTTTGCTGTTGCCCTCCGAGGTCTCTGGATTAATGTGGGTGCCGTGAGAGTTGGTGATGCCAGCGCGGGTGTAGGTGGGTCCACTGCAGCCCCCGCCACAAGAAGAGCCGGTGGCGGTTCTGGTGGTGGCAAGGGCAACGGTGGTGCTGCTGGAGTTGGTAACTTGGGCAGCCTAGCCCTCTCACACGGTACCGCATTTTGTGTTGGCTCAGTCTGTACCACTGGCACAGGGGGTGGGTTCTTGCGCGGTCGGCCACGCTTCGGCCGCTTGGATTTAGCTGCATCCGGCAGAATATGCAGTGGTACATGCTGTTTGATACGTGCGGTCAGGTGTTGAAGGGTCCTACCAACGTACCGGCTACCACAATTCCGGCACTCAAATTGGTAAACCAAATGGCTCAAAAGATGGGATGGTAGGACGTCCTTCCTCACCATGAACGCACGTATCGTCGTGAATACAGGAATGAAGTGTGCTGCGAAGTATGTTTTCAGTACTAGCGTCTTGATTGCGCGGCACATGGTCAGCGATGTGTTTCCTTTCCAAGGCAAACAAAGATAAATTGGGCATCGAGCAGGACCAACGCTCACTTCTTTCGATTTGTATGCTGTCTTCATTAGTTTATTGAGTACATCTTCAGGGTATCCGTTCTTTAGAAACACAGACTTTAAGAATTGTAACTCCTCGCTGAGTTTACTCGGCCAGCAAATGCGCCGTGCCCTGTATACTAGGTTCCGCACCAAATTCACTTTGTACTGGTAGGAGCAGTACGAATCATACACAATATACTGCCCCGTGAACGTCGGCTTTCTGTATACGGAGGTAATGATATCATCATTCGATTTCTCAACCAATACGTCAAGAAACGAGAGTTTGTTGTCGTGCTCGTGCTCGCAAGTGTATTTTAGAGACGGATGCAAGCTATTCAGATGATGAAGGAAGTGGTCGCACTGCTCCGTGGAATCAAAATACGTAAACGAGTCGTCAACGAACCGGACATACAGCTCAGGCCACAGCGACGCATCAATCAAGGACTCACAGTAACCAACAAAAATGTTTGCGAGCACTGGACCAAGTGGAGAGCCCATGGCTACTCCATCCACCTGTCGATACATAACATCATCAAACGAAAACTCTACGCCCGTCGTGACGAGAGACATGAGTTTACGAAAGGAAGGTTCAGGTAACCATGGTGTGTCAACGTCGCTATTACGATACAGTACATCTGAACATATGTCAATGGTCTCTTCTAAAGGCACATTTGTGAACAAACTCACTACATCAAAGGAACACAAGTGCGCACCGGAAGGAACTTTGTGGGTGCGTAGGAGATCTACGAACTCGAAGCTGTCTTTCACATTGTGCTTACAATAATGATCTTGTACGGCTCCCAAGATAACCCAGAGCCACTTCGATACTTTGTATTGCGGTGAAGCCACCATCGATAATATTGGGCGCAGAGGACAATTGGCCTTATGTATTTTAGGGAGTCCATATAGACGCGAGAGCAAGAGCAATTGGATGACGAAACGGTTGGTGAGGAGACAGAGGACGAGGCAGATGATGGTAGTGATGAAGATCGTGAGGATGACGAGCGGAACGAGGAAGAGGATGATGAGATGGACGAGGAGGAGTCGGGTGGGAAGGAGCGAGATGAGGCGGATGAATGTGTTGATCGTAAGAAGCCAGTTGTGTATCTACACTTGTTATCTCGTCCTGACTGTCTTAGTGTGTATGATGACTCTCATTTTCCTGTACTGTGTCGTGCGCGTTATGTCCAACAGTTGAAAGTCTTTGAGGCAGTTTGTATACATATTCATAAGCCTGTTTTGTGTAAGCAGAAGGAGCACGTTGTTGCACTGAAGTTGTATTCGTAGGTTGACACTTCGTTTAGCGCCTTCTCGCCTTTGGTTACGTAATCTTGTTACCTTTTTGCGTTTCCTCTAGTGGTTTTATTGCACTTGTATCTTGTTGTTATTTCTAACACCTTTCTATTTACAGTACTAAACTTCAGTTTCTTTGGTTGTATCCTTAGTTCCGTATTTTTCCGACTGACGATAGGAACAAGAAAATCGATTATGGGTTTTCAATAATATTTTTGTTATAAAATACACAGTAAATACATGTCGAACAAGTAACGTAGTTGCGTGATGTCTGCGGCCTTCATCCTATTCATAGCTATATTAAAATTATTATCTTCACGTAGATTATTTGAAAATTAGTAATAATTGACCTTTTGATTCCAACATCCCTACAGTGCTATCGGTCGCCGAAGAACTGGGGGGGGGGGGGGGGGGGGGGGGGAGGGGTCAGCCTCCTAGCCTAGACCGTTCTTATATTCATGTATTACAGTCTATGCGCAGTTGAGTCAGCGCGTATACATTGGTATGCTGGGCTTGGTGAAATTCTAGCCTGGCCGTTCTTCGGCGCTACCCGACAGTACCGTAGTGCCATTGGCCATAGAAAATTGATTGGAAATTGATTGGAAAGACTCACGGTCCACGCCCACGGTTGATTCCAACTCAACTCCACTTTCATACGGTGTCCCGCCATTCAGTACAATGTCATAGCTCCTGAAAGAGAACACGGTGGCCACAACCACATGCAAAGCTGTAACATACCCTTGAAGCCGACTGTGATAGCACAGAGTCAGACACAAGCAGAAACATGCTGTCTGTTAATTGTGCCTGTATGAGACTCAGATGCACAGAAGAACAGTATGCGTATCCCTCTTTCTGTACCATGCCAAGTACACTGTATCATCACCGATAGATGCTGAGCATGATCTAGCTAAGACTACCTCCATCAGTGTTACCTGCATCTGATATGCATTTTTTCTCTACAAAATCCACATATCTCCAGACACTGGGGTGAATAATGGAGTGTGGTGGTGGGGCATGAAAACAGGTAAGACAAATAGAGCTCAGTTTCACCTCATCCACTTTTGTTACAGAATACAGAGACTCCGTTTGCCTAGTAAAGAGAGTCTCTAGGAATATCGGGCATGCAAACAAAGAGATTATTAGCTACTAGATTGATTGGACCCAGTTGCCGGCGAGTGGAGTTTTCTATTTCATTCTTTACTCTGTAACTCACTTGTTTGCTATAGGAGCACCAGTGGCACTTGTCAGGTCAAGGGCTCCCCAACCACAGGACAAATCTGTAATTTCATTGCTTTTCTGCAGGGCACAAATTTCAGGAATGAATCCAGAAAAGACTAAAACAGCATCTGACAACGACACGACAAGCTAAAGAACAAAAAAAGCGACAGAATTTCCCCAAAACAGCCCCTGACCGGGTGGAAGCTACATCACTGCAAGAATTCTAGCACGTGTCCATTATCCATTGCATCGATTTAAGGCCACACGTTTTTATTTCTATGTTTCTCGTCACCCGCGCGCATACGATTCAGGAGTCTGGAAGAAAAAAAACTGTACTGCACTGTACTATGCACATTTGGGGCCTAGCACAGTCATGCACATGTGCACCCGGCCTGGCCTGGCCTATGCGAGGTCGCTTGCGTAACTCGTTGTACCGAGAGTAGATCTACACAAACCTAAATATGTAGGAGTACGAGTACTCTTGCGAGTCATGGGTGCACCCGTGACCGACCTTGCCGTGTACTGACTACAAGTACAAGCGCGAGGATCTAGTTTCGGCATGCACTACTAGTACTACCATGCTTGTCGGAACTGTGCCGGAAGACTCGATGTTCTCTCCGCAACTGTCGGGGGACGCTCTCACTCCTGTTTGTCGGCAGAATGGAAGAAGGTGAGCTGTTTTCCTTTAGAGTCGTTCGAGGACCGCGGCCGCTTGCCTCTCTTCTGAAGTGGACAATCGTCGATGTCAATGAGTCCATGACAGTATGCGATGTTTTCCGTCAGCTGGGGAAAAAGATTGCAGACTCTGATGCCGTAACAGACGAAGATCTTGTTTGTCAAGTGTCAGCGTCGTCGTCAGGAAAGGATGCCATTGAGGTCAGTGCATCACAACGAGTGGCGCGCCTGTCCAGGTTTGGGTTTTTCTTGACGATTGTTCTCCCTGAAATTTCGCCAGCACCATCTCAGCGGGGACGAACAAATGCGTTTTCTGCGCTGATGCTAGGTGCCCAAGCTGCTTCTTCCGCGAAACTACCGGAAAAACACATGAGTGATGATACTCTGCGCGGTGACAGACTATTGGAGAACGACATCATCGATTGGTGGGCAGTTGCGAAGCTCGGATTCAGGAATGGCTTGGAGACTAGTGTTGGTAAATCGTTCATTCGGAAATTGCGTTCTGTCCTCTTCGAGCTCACATCTGATCGTGTTGAACGTCTCCAGGTCAGAGGGTGCGCTGTTCCTGCTTTGTTTGAGCCCCTCCTGAAGAAGGACTACAACAACCCTGGCAAGCATGGCCATAAACGTTTGCCTCCTCTCCCCAGGACTATGATTGAGGAGATGAGCCAGTCTGTGTTGGAGCTGTCCAGTGTACCAGCTGTACAAGTAGAATCCTGGACAACAGTGCGCGACGGACTGCGGTTGCTTGCCAAACAGCTGGATAAGTACATCGTGTACTTGGATGGTACAGCTCGCATGAACAGTGTGCACGAGAGTATGGAGCCTGTGAGGTCCACTGAATCTGGTGAGAATTCTAGTCTGGTGCGGCATTCAGCACGAGTCCGAACAGCAGAGAAATGCCAACGGTATGGTGAAGTGGAAGCTGCTCTGAGTACGTCCGAGCCGTATAGCTGTGCTATCCACCTGAATGATTTCCTGCCAAACGATCGAAAGGAACGCTACAAGTTCATCCATGGCATGGAGCTTCCGTTTCCCTATGAGCTTTTCTCCTACGACCCTGGTAGTAATGTTGGTTGCCTTTGGTGGGCATGGAAAGTGCCGGTGGACCCTGCTGACTCCAATTCCACTGCAAGTTTGAAACTAGTCAAGCAATGTGAAAAGGATGTCCCATCATTTGCTACCCGTGCAATGAGAAAGAAGTTCATCGAGCGATACCAGATGGTGACGGAGTGCAGCCCTGCCGTTTTGAGAAACATGTTCCAATTTGTCTCCGGAGATGTAGCCCAGTCATCCTGTGCCATAAGCAAGACTGTACAGGAGAGATTAGCGTTTGCCCTCGACGCTCAAGACCCTGACATTGCCTTTGATCTACGTGCCCTGAATGAAGGCCGTCAAGGGAGGTATGATGCATTCTGGGAGGAGTGTGACAAGTTCCTAGCTGACCAAGCCCTCACGGCTGTTGATGACAGGCGCCACGGACAAGTTGTGCACATGGCAGCAGCAATCTCAACCCGTGATCTTGTTGAACAAGTTGGCAAACGCCTGCCCGAAGACAGCCCTGTTCCCTGTGAGTCATGGGTGAGATTGCAGTTCTGCCCGAAGAACACCTCCCATGCTGCTGCTTGTCACTACACTGGAAAGCTAGACATCAAGCACATGGTCCAGGCTCGACAGCTCAGCCACAACCATGTCGACGGCCACTACGCCGCTGCCCAGTTCCGCTACTTGAAGGAGTTTGCCGTCATGTTCCGGGACGTTTGTACTCTTGTGTGCTTGGATGACAAGCACATGCTGAAAGTGGGGGAGCCAAATTTCCCAGTAGCTGCTGTGGACAGGGGCAAAGCTGTGTTGGTCAGCAAGGATGTCGCATTCGTTGTTGCTGATCATGACTTCACAAAGGTCAAGCTAGTACCATCTGTTGCTCTAGTTGTCGATATCCCCGAGTCCGTGTGTGACAGTTTCTACCGTGGGCAAGTCATAGTCTCTTTGAAGGAGGCTGCGTTTCAGCCATCATCTGCTGTCCGCCATGCTGCTGAGCTCACAACAGCCCTCAAGCAGTGCAAGGTGAACACCATCGTCCATCCTGTTCTTGCTCTTTACACTGATGGTGGCCCGGATCACAATGTCACCTTTGCATCGGTCCAACTCTCTCTTATTGCCCTGTTCAAGCATCTGCAGCTGGACTACCTCATTGCAGTTCGGACGTGCCCGTATCAGAGCTACAAGAATCCTGTGGAGCGGGTCATGTCCCTGGTCAACCTCGCACTGCAGTCAGTTGGCTTGATGCGAGCCAAGATGTCTGACGACATGGAGGCTTCCTTCAAGTCAGCAAATAGCACAAAGGATGTGCGGGAAGCTGCCACAAAGAAGGAGGGTCTAATGGATGCACTGCTGCAGTCTGTGGAGCCAACAAAATCGTTAGTGTCGGACTACCTCCACCGTGTGCCACTCGACGGCAAGAAATTCGTCACTCAGCAAGCTGCCAGTCATGAGAACATTGATGCTCTGTGCGCCATCCTTGCAGACATCGATCTAGATGTGCGGCGTTCAATGACCAAGGCCCAGCTCTCCCAATTGCCCAAGTTCCAGGAGTTTTTCCAGCACTGCTGCATTGCACAGCACTACTTCTTCGTTGTGAAGAAGTGTGGCAGTCCCACATGTGCCATCTGTGGACCACCTACACTGCCGGCCGAGTCGTTCCAGAAGCTACACCACTTTCCGTGCCCTGTCCCTGATGGTGACCACTACAAGGCCTTCAGTGATGTGTGGGGCACCCAGACCTCTGGAGAGCACCGTCCTTCGTTGAAAAAGGCAGCTGGAGATGGAGCAGCGAAAACGATCCCAGCCACGACTATCCCGCTTCGGAAGGAGAAAGTCCGTCTAGCCGTTAAGTGCTCTGACTGTACGAAGCCACGCTGTGTGTTCTCAGAGTCCCGTCTGACGAGGGACAACACGTCTGCCCTCGAGACTGCATTCGACGACTCGGACTTTGTTTGTGGTGCACCATTGCTCCCCGCCAGCCACGCACTCTACCGGGTCGCCGTTGTCCGGGATGGACTGACCTGCTCGACTGAGGTTTCTTCAGTCTACTTCTCATCGAAGCGGTTCCTCGATGTCTGCTATGTCTGTGGATCAACGGAGCCCACAGAAGTTCCCGCTGCAGTGAAGGCACAGTGCCAAGTTGCAAACCCAGTGTGTGCAGCATGTGCTGCCTCTGGCAAGTCTGTCAGGAGCAGGAAGCGTGCAGCGAAGCGAACGCACGCAGTCACGGAGGACGCTTGAGCCACACTTTTTCGGAGCAGTGGCATGTATTTTAGTGTTTGGTGTTTGATTTCCTTCTTTTGTTTTCCGCAAGTCTGATTAGTACCAGTACAGTACCTAATTGATGTGAATGTTCCTGTGACAAGGTGGTATTCCTACTTGTTGCAAACTTTGGATGCTATTTTACACGGTGTATTGGTCGATTTGAGTATGACCAAAGGTCTAGTACATTTTTTTATTTTTCGGTCATGTTTTTATTTTTTTCCACCTCTCGCATACGATTTGAGATTTTCGGGTGACGAGAAACATAGAAATAAAAACGTGTGGCCTAACGCATCTCCATAAGTCGGAACACAAGCTCAGCTGAGTACCCGATGCTGAGTACCCGATGCTGAGTACCCGATGCTGAGTACCCGATGCTGAGTACCGGACGTGAATAGTACATGCAGTAAGGTATTGATTATACTCACTGTATTTTGACAAGTCATTGACAGCTCAAATAGTATACCTAGGTAAAGGAAAGATGGACGTAACATACACAATATACTTAGGCAATATCACCTCGGATGGAAATGTACTGCTCGACAGTCGGTGTGTGTGTGTGTGTGTTTATGTATGTAGGTATGTAGGTATGTATGTATGTATGTGTGTGTGTACGTGAAAGCATTCGTTTAGTTAGAACGGTGTGCCTGGAGCACTGTGTAACACTGCTTTGTCACAATACGAAGCAATTCAAGATGATAGCAATGTACTAGCATCAACAAGGCCGGCGCTGGCTAAACAAAACAAAATACCTTCTCGTATAAAGCTTCTGGGTGCTACTCTATACCTCAACCCACCACCAACCCACACATCACAACTGCACTCCCCAGCCGTCCTCGACCTGGATGGAATGAATCTGTGCAGGGCCGAATGTTTCTCTGCTTACCCTTGCTCTCAACCCGGCAACACAATATGGGCCGCGATCAGCTAAAACATGTCTTTGGGGTTTCGTAAAAAAGTTGGGAAATGACGAAATGAAAAAAATGTTTTTTAGGAGCGCGTTCACTCTGCACTTCATTCAAAAATTCATGATGTGGCGATCATCTTCTCAAATTTTGTTCAAACACTTGTTTGGCGTTCTACTTCAACTCCAGTAGCTGGCGAGCAAAGACTGACAATGTCCGCATCTAGTGATACTAGAGCAGCTCGCAGGGCCAGACGATCGCTGTGCATGGCCCAGGTTTGTTCAGGTGTCTGCAAGTCCGTGGCGGCGGGTCTGCAGAGCGACGCTGACAATTTGTTGGGATCTCATTGATGTTGATGTCGACAGCGAAGCTGAATCGTCCCCGTCGTCTCCAGTAGCGAAGAGGCACAAGTTGTGGGCTAGTACATAATCATTAAGGCGGCGAACCGGCTGCCTTACGACGTTACTTGCGTTCAGCTCTCATGGGACGTCTGACGCAGTCTCGGAAACGCAGGCGACGATCGAAAGTGTCACTGCCAGAATCGAAAGAGTATGCAAGTGCAACGCCGCCCAGCGCATCGTGTTGCTTTCCAGGGAGAACGTGGGCCATGCCTTAGACATGCTCAAGTCGGTGTCAACATCTTTAGTTCCGTTGTATTGTGCTCCGCCACAAAAGCCACTAAGTAATAGTTTGTCTCTTTGTGTCAGACTGTGCGAAAACTGTCATTTTCTATTTCAAAGTACATATTTTGAAAGCGGTGTTTGGGGCAGTTGTAGACTACTGTTCTGCCCTGTATCACCTTCAAGAGGTCAAGTAAGGTCCCAAGAACTGTTTTCTGGAGGAAAACAAAATTTGAAAATTTTCACCCAAAGACATGTTTTAGCTGGTTGTGGCCCATATAGCATTCACGGCAGTGTGCTCCGGTGCCTGAAATGTGTGTGGTGCTATCACCAAGCAGGGGAATTTCAGGACACACAGTTGTATATCTATATGATATACTGGCAAACCGCTACGGCTACAGTTTCACTGTGTTGCCAAATCGGGTGCAGATTTCCAGTCAACACTTTGCACTGTTAATTAAACAAACATGGACCGAGAACGTACATAATGAATGTGAGAGGCTCGCAGCTCGAATGATAAAGCTGGCATCAGTCAAACTTTTTCCTGGCGTCTGGAGAAAACCGACAAAGAGCAACACAAGAAATTCACATCTCGCTATGATTTACTTGATACAAACTATGAGCCCATAGAGGACTTGAGATCTGAAGAAGTTGTTCAATAGAAACGAGTCTAAATCCACAGCTGTGTGTTCTGACTATCATAATCGTTTCATGGCCAGCAATCGAGGACATCTGAGAGTTGTAATTTTTGTACTCCTCCAAGGTGTGATTTTTGGCGTGCTGGGCCAAGCACAAGGAAGCCATCTGCAAAAAAACTGCAGAAAATGGTTGTTGTTTGATCCTTTGGTGTAATCTTTGTTTCTAGTCGAAGCTAGTTGCTGTTTGGAGCAGAAACGCTGAAATTGACTATTTTCTGCATGGACTCATACATGTACTCATGTACTCAGGCATGCAGTCTCACTCGTATTTTAGCTATTTTTCTGGAATGGATGCTGCTCTGCGCCCCTTGGTGAACCTTTCCTGCGCTCGTGGAGCAGCTGAAAAGGACCACTGGTATGTCTGGTTCCTGGTTTGAAAGTGGAGAGTCGACTTTTGTGCCTTGAAAAAGGAGTAGAGAGCGATAAAGGTACGTCTGTGGCTTATTTTTGAGTGCTCCTCGTACATTTTTGATCGTGATAGAAATTCTCAGACCAAAGTCAGACCAAAGTCAGTGCGATGATGGCCGTACAGTTTTCTTGTGGATTTTTTAGTTGTTTCATCTCGTATCTATGTCAGTATCGTGATGGTGAAGTGGGGAGGGTGATTTTCTTCCTCTAGGCTTCGTTCGGCCGACTTTGCTTCGTCCTCGTTGAAAAGTGATCCTGAAAAAAAGGTCGATTCGCAAAATTATGTTGATTTTCAATGTACGTGGTGACATGCGATTGCTGGCTATGCGTGAAATTTACTGTTCGGTTACCACGTGTTCTACACCGTTTGTCTCCTTCTTCATCTTGAAGCTGCTCAATTCACACCTTGTTTTGCCCGTTTGTTAATTGTGCCTGGGTTTTATGCTGTTTTCGCACTCCCCCCCCCCTCTCTCTCTCTCTCTCTCTCTCTCTCTCTCTCTCTCTCTCTCTCTCTCTCTCTCTCTCGGTCTCCTTATGTCGCCGTCTGAACAGTCCAGTGAATACTTGTAGTATGTTTTGAACTGTCACCCTAGTTGCGAGTGTGTAATTGTAGAACAGTAGAAGCTCAACAGCGGTGCTAACTCCCCATCATACAGCTAACTGTGCCAATCTTTTCGCAATGAACAAGTTTGTAAAAGTACATGGTACAACCTGTAATTAACCCTCTACTGTCCGTTCATACAAGCATCGATCCGATGGTGAAGAAATTTTGAAATTATCGTAACTAGGTCAAATCTCGGTCTTGAAAAGAGTTCTGCAGGATATTCCCGATCATGCTCCTAGCTACCTAGCTGCCAGTTCTGCACTGGATCTGGCAACTTCTAAGGGCCGGGTTCCACTGCGGCTCCGCTGCTCCGCTGCTCGTCTTTCGCGGCTTGAAACGTCATCATTACCATAGTGACCGCGGCTCGAGCTGGAGCAGCGAGGCCGCGGCTCACCGCGAGCTTTTGCTACGATTCTTCACCAAAAACTGCGAGCCGCGGTCGCGGCTCGACCTGTTTCCCGTACTTTGCATTGTTTTGTACGCCAGAATTTTAAAATTCAAATTTTAATTCGTTGCGCAGGCCAGAACACGAGGATTTTTTTGATTTCGCGCGCGCAGGCAGGTGAAACGTCATCAAAAAGTGTGGAGCACGACCGCAGTACCGCGAATGGCGAGTGTCAGTGGAACCGCGCTGCTCCGCTGCATGCAGCCAAGTGCCGCGGAGCAGCGGAGCCGCGGAGCCGCAGTGGAACCCGGCCCTAACCATTATCCCTCCACACATTCAAAGAGTTACCTTGACAAACTTCCATGACTTGTCATCTCTCTCGGCAGTGGTAGCAGACGTATACTGGATATTGCTTAGCACCTGAGAAAATACAATAAAGATTAACACACTGTCAGACTAGTCAGAATCTGTCACCAAACACTCTGCCCGGGGGCATGTTTTACAAAGCTCTGCCGATGGATTGTGAAGGAGAAGAAGCAGGGGAGATGAGAAACACCCGACGGTGGGGCCACAGAATGTGGCTACACCAGTGAAGCAGACCCAGCCTAGCTGACAGACTGTCTCGGAATCATTACCAGAACTACACGTACGTACCGCAAAAGAGAAAAGAGGGGAATTATGGTAGTGAGAGAGGGAGAAAATGAAAGGCAGGTGGCTGCCAAACAATGGGATTCACACTTCATGCAGAATTTTGCAGCATTTCAAATAATCATGGCCAGCAATCGAGGATATCTGAGAGTTGTAATTTTTGTACTCCTCCGAGATGTGATTTTTGGCGTGCTGGGCCAAGCACAAGGAAGCCATCTGCAAAAAAACTGCAGAAAATGGTTGTTGTTTGATCCTTTCGTGTAATCTTTGTTTCTAGTCGAAGCTAGTTGTGGTTTGGAGCAGAAACGCTGAAATTGACTATTTTCTGCATGTACTCATACATGTACTCATGTACTCAGGCATGCAGTCTCACTCGTATTTTAGTTCTTTTTCTGGAATGGATGCTGCTCTGCGCCCCTTGGTGAACATTTCCTGCGCTCGTGGAGCAGCTGAAAAGGACCACTGGTATGTCTGGTTCCTGGTTTGAAAGTGGAGAGTCGACTTTTGTGCCTTGAAAAGGGAGTAGAGAGCGATAAAGGTACGTCTGTGGCTTATTTTTGAGTGCTCCTCGTACATTTTTGATCGTGATAGAAATTCTCAGACCAAAGTCAGCGCGATGATGGCCGTACAGTTTTCTTGTGGATTTTTTAGTTTTTTCATCTCGTATCTATGTCAGTATCGTGATGGTGAAGTGGAGAGGGTGACTTTCTTCCTCTAGGCTTCGTTCGGCCGACTTTGCTTCGTCCTCGTTGAAAAGTGATCCTGAAAAAAAGGTCGATTCGCAAAATTACGTTGATTTTCAATGTACGTGATGACATGCGATTGCTGGCTATGTCCCTGATAGTGCTTACCTTTTGCCGATCAAACAGTACAACCCTCACTTGCCTTCGCAACACGCTTACAGCTATCAAAACAGAACGTAAAATCCAAACAAGCATTCATAGAGCATTTCCACACTCATGGCAACTTGCCAGGTCATGGCTGCATCAACAGCCCGGGTACAGGCTATATGTATATGGTTAGTACAGGCGATAAGAGAGTTAGGCATCATACATGGTGCTTTTCACACCCAACTGATCATACATGTAATAGACAAAAAATCGATGTGGAGGCTTAAAACATGTACTTCGAAGTAATAGAGCTCACACAATGCATTACTTTGCTTTGATCTACGTAGTGCTACATTGCAGTACAGTTCATCACGTGCCGTCCAGAACCCCCTCCACATACTACCAATCATATTGGTATCTGTCAGCCTGCAGTCTCCTACTTGAAGCCAAGAGAATAGGTCTTTGTAACAATAACCTGCTCTAAAGGCACGATGTATTGGTAATGACAATGTGCATTGCTCCAAACCAGAACGCCTGAATCTTTTTGGGCCACGCCCAGTCCTCCTGGATAGGAGGGCAGGGAAGGGGGGGGGGGGTATTTCAATGTAAGAACCAATTCCAATTAGAAAGCATCTCCTCCCTTCATTGAAGGGAAACCGCTTAATGAAATTGCACCGATGTGCTCAAGACTTCAGACTTGAAGTGCTCATGCACGCCGAGTACTTGTTTAAGGTGCTTACTGCGTGTGACCAGGGGTATCTTGCGACAAGAGACTATGGTTACGCCGCGACAAACCCCTGCCGGCGACGACTTGATACTGCCAGCCGCACTGTCCCAGTTCAGTCCATCCAAGAGCAGACCGGTGTTGTCGACACGGGGCTCCAAGAAGTGACGATACGTGAATTCACCTGCGGAACAAATGGCAAGGAATGGATGATGGATATGCCTGCATAATCATACCACTCGCCTCCCTGCTCTGAACACAAACACTATGCCGAGTTACTTCAAAAGTTGTAGAAGACTACACATTTAGGATGACACTTGCTTGACACAATACCATGCTTTACAGCAGTTCTCTGATTACCTTGAATTCCTGTTTGAAACATTTATGAGTCCAAGATTACCCTGACAGACTCCACAACACAGGCACTGTTGAATAATGCTATCATTAAGACTAAAAAGGCTCAAACTTATGAAGTTATACTTATAGTCATATTTGTACATGAGTGCGTGCGCACATGGATGCACACATACATACACAGGTACCAGGCATCACACGGTATGGTGATCCGATTCAAGTAACCAGGCTCTTCTAGTGGTGCAATTTATAATCATACTAATACTGCGGACGAAGCCCTCACCCTTCGCTTGCAACTCCGCTAGCATAGAGCGCCTGAAGCCAGATGGAATAGCCCCCATTGAACGCAGAATGTCAGCTATAGACGGCTGCAGAGTAGAACAACGTATGGGGAGAAGCGATAACTGTTCGAGCATGCAATGTAGACAGAATTACAAGGACTGTAGTACAAGTGCACCATAGATGTGTCACTATGAGCAAGTCATGATGCAGTAGAGTCGGAATTCGGGATAATACTTCAGAAGTACTAGCCTGATAGTACTTCAGAAGTACTAGCCTGATACGGTACACTGGCAAAGCAACTACAAACAACTACCAATGATGCTTTAGCACTTAATTCAAGATGAAACACTTGTTGGGAAGAGATAGATGATGGACCGAAGACCACTGGCAATGTATCGTTGGCAGTGTTTCTCCAGTTTCTCTAGGCGACCTCACCTGAGTTACTGCCTGTCTAAGAAGCTTCCAACGGTTTTCACTGGGAGATCTAAGAGGAAGCGGAATGCAGTAATCAAATTTTGAATTATGACACACATTACCTAAGGAACAGGAAAAAGTCTGAAGAAGGTCGCTGCCCCCCCCCCCCCCCCCCCCAACATATCAGAGATTGTGCCGATTGACGGACACTTGCCGTAGATCGTAAGAACAAAATAGTTGAAAATATCCATTAGTAATTCAGTAAAGTGTGACGCATACTCGGCCTGTATTCATCATCACATCCAAAGTACGTCACTCATCATTCATTAATGACTCGTAGCTTGCTTCATGAACACACAACACGAAAGAAGCAGCAGGTATCATCATCTGGAGCACCACAACTTCATTTGTGCCTTTGTGACAATAGGACTTCGTCCCACTTCCACCCCCCCCCCCCCCCCTCTCTCTCTCTCTCTCTCTCTCTTTCTCTGTCTCCCTCTTACCTTGTTTGCTTTGTGGGTAGTTCAGGTGTTTCATCATCATCGGACACGTCGTTATCTTCTTGTTCTTCCTGCTGTTCTGAAGTGAACCGAGAAATGGAAGCAATGAGTGACACACTTTGAGGGAATGAAGAGGGGAAAAAGTCTGAAGAAAAACTGACTGTTCCCAGCAGGAATCGAACCCGGGACCTTCGCTGAAGGCCATCGATGCTCCACCACTGAGCTATGGTTTAACATGTACATTCAGGTACACCTGGTATTCTCTAGAGCAGGAGTGCCGGGGTACGCTCTTTGCTAGCTGACAGACCATTCAATATTAATGGCCTGTTAGAAAACATGAAAATTGGGAAGATAGTGTAACAGAGCTACAGTATAGCCAGATCAACAGATGTGTTCAAAATTCCACTTCACCATGAACCTAGCCTTGTTTAACTGTGTTTCACTCACTCTAACTTTCTCTCCATCCCTTGTATTCACTTACCGGCGTGTTGCTCCAATCTCGTCATGCTGGTAGAGTCTGCCGCTGACGACCGTTCCTCATTGGCAAGACTCGCACGCGTAGCCATGGCGTTGTGAGGAGCGGTAGGCACAGGACCAACATCACCATGACGAGGAGGATGAGCAGAATCACCCTGACGATGAGGAGGAATATGACTAGTATCACCATGACGATGAGAGGAAGGACTGGCATCGCTATACATGTCTGGTTGACCCAAGGGGACTGGCGTAGCACTCTCCGACGCCGTGTCGGATTCAATCAGCTGCAGACAGAGCATACAGCCATCAGACAATACATTGTTTGTCTCCTTATTGTACTCAGGCTTAGACAGATGTTGAATGATTCAATGGTGGCATTGACTGGGGGAGAAGGAGAAGGAAGGGAAGAGAAGGAGGAGGAGAGCAGTAATCCTTGTTTTAGTATTTCAATAAAGTGAAGACATTGGTACCGAATTCTAGACTGGCCTTACCTCAAAATGGTTTCCAGGGACTAAGCCGGTCTCTCCGCAAGCATTCTCCGCCAACCACCAGCCATCTTCTCTTCTGCGAAATGCACCCAAATGAAACGAACTACATTGTAATGAGCGATGAAACTTGTTTCTATGAAGATCATATTTCAGCGCATGTGCAACAACAGTTACTGAATGTGGAAATTGTGCTGCCTGTCAGATCTTTTAAAATTTGATACCGCATCATACATTTCCCTACTTTTTGCTTTAAGTTCCCAGGTCAGGATTTTGAAAAGGAAGCAACACAAGGTGCATACAGTTCCCCGAAAAGGCTTCTATTTGGCAGAAAAGCGGCTTTAGTTTTGACCACTTGTGTCGGAGAGAAGGGTCTAACTATAAATAGAAATGCAGTGGCAGCTAATGCACGGATGAATAGAAATGCACGTGCCAGTACACGAAGTGGAGACTTGCCGTTATGATGGATGTTGGTTACCTCCACTACTGGCACGTGCATTTCTATTCATCCGTGCATTAGCTGCCACTGCATTTCTATTTATAGTTAGACCCTTCTCTCCGACACAAGTGGTCAAAACTAAAGCCGCTTTTCTGCCAAATAGAAGCCTTTTCGGGGAGCTGTCTTTTAAACGGCTAAAGAGTAAAATCCCCGGGGCATTGTCATTGCACAAGCAATGCTTCTGAGGTCTTGCACAAAAAGACATCCCTATCACAGAACTCACTGCAAATGGATCAAGTGCAGTTAGAGCTGATGAACGCAATTCATGGATACGGAGGCGTAGGCCCTCTACAGGTGTCCATTAAGTGGTTTTTACGAAATATAGTAATATACAGCGGGCGCGTAGCCCACATGAGGCACGGGGGGGGGGGGGGGGGGAGAAAAATTCGTCCTAGGTTCAGCATGCACATAATGACTATGAATGACATGCACCAGCCATTCTACACATATACGGCCGTGCACCCGCCTAACGGGAGGACCAGCTAAGCCCCTGTACTGAGGTGCACTAACGTTGAGTCCACGATGTAGAGCACCTCTCCCTCCTGTACTGCCAAATCACCATCCTGCTGGGCATCATATGCTGAGATGGCAATGGCCTGTGGCAACTGTACATAGAAGGAAAAACCCCAAGAACACATTACCAGTGAATGCTCCAGAGCCGGGTCAGCAGGGTCAGCCACCCGGTTGGAGGGTGCTTGGACCCGTTTGCAAAAAGAACACCGGGTCACTTGTGACCCGGTTGGGAGTCATCATTACGGGTCATGTTGAGTAAAACATTTGCCTGAACCCACCTTTACAAAGGTTGCACCCAATATGCTTGGAACACCCGGATGGCATGGGGTACAAAGCACAGTACATGTACTTCAGTTCACAGAACAGCAGTGGAGCAAGGCCATTTTGCTGTCCTGAATTGCCCCAGATACCAAGAATTACACATTTCTGGTACAAAATTGTGGCCGCTTTAATCGAAGGAGTAGCATGGCTGCAATTGAGCAGCCGAGAATTTGTTATTGGCAAACCATTTTGTTGTTGTTGCACTTTCTGACTGCATATAGTATCTGGTTACAGTGATGGAGAGTTACTCTCAACTCGTATCTATATTTCCTTTTCCTTTCTACATTTATTATTGGCTCGACATCCGAGTTTCAAATTGCAAACCATTTTCTTCTTTTTTTAAAGAGTATATGTACAAGGCCCTAAATTTTAAAAACATCCTTAGTGGGAACTAGATAACACAGTGTGAAAGACAACCTCATATTCACTGCCACTATGGTCATCTGCATCGTCTGCATCCTCATCCAGTGATGCATCCGTCGTCTCTGTCGGATCCTCTTGCTCAGCTGCTGAAGGTACTCTGCAGGGAAAATAGAGAGGGGAAAATTCCCTTCATGCTGCAGCACAATTGGATCATTTCACATAGGACAACGCACATGTATCTGCGTGTCGAACTTGCAGCTATTGCAGTGATACAAGAGACTTGATATGGCGTTGGACATAGCGCAGCATTGGACATAGCGCCATTCAAAACCCTTGGTAAAGTTATACGTACCTGGATGACTTTATCACACACAAATGCACACACTTTTCACACCATGCTATTCCATGTAGATGAGAAAGATACCACTGCTGCGTCATGATTGTAGCAGGACTAAGTTTATAGTCACTGTTTCTAAAGACAACATTCATTGTGCTAACTAGTTCTGAGCAATGGTTCACACATTGACACATAGCAGGTCCCATGGATAGGATCACATCTGTAGCGAGGATTACTGCGTGTATCCTGTAACTGAATCCACAACACACTCACAGTATGGCTGTGAGTATCACTTCGACCAATCGGCGGCATAGTCATCTTGTGGCAACACATACAAAGCTCGCATGTCTACAACATCGTCACAAGTTGACGCAGTCAGTGAAGGCGAGAGATGCGCACATTCATTGTGCAGTAACGATCGAGGCAGTATATAATTATATCACTACAAACGCACTTGGTATTGGACATGCTGATGATATGACAAGCTCTGACTTCACACCGACTGCACCATACAAGCAAGTGTGGTGAGCTTCACAACCAGATGTTCCTAGTCCCTGTCCGTGAGTGTTTGCCTTTGCTTACTTTCTGATCACGTTTGACTGCTGGTTGTGGAGCTTGTATTCACAGGTCAATATGGCATCGACCCAGTTTCAACCGGGGGAGGACGGTACCGAAGAGGAGTTTGAACGTGTGTTCTCTTCCGACCTCCCATTGTCTAACGGTCTTGGACAGCACCTACTACTCAAGTCATTGTACCGAGACAAAAAGGCCATCATCATATTTGTGCGCCATTTTCTCTGCTATGTGTGCCGTGACTACATGAAAGAGCTGGCGAGAATACCCGTCGATGTCCTGGAGAAGATTAACGTCCGCTTAGTTGTCATCGGCTGCTCGCCACACAAGCACATCAATCCTCTCAAGGAGGAGCTTGGTTTCAAGCACGACGTGTACTGCGATGCTGAGCGGGTGGTGTACAGGGGTCTTGGTCTTAACACTACGCTGGCACTGGGAAAGGCAAGCAGTCAGCACGTCACGTCCTCACTGGTCGGCGGGCTGACCAACTTTGTCACCGGCGCCGTTTCAACCGGTCTGCAGGGAGATGTGCGACAACAGGGCGGCGCATTCATCGTGGCACAGGACGGCACGGTTGAGTTTTGGCACCGGGACTCGGGCAGCCTGGATCATGCACCCATTGATGACCTGCTGGCTCATGTCGGTGCCCGTCCACTGGCAACATACAAGTGACATAAGCAACTCTGGGGAGCTACAGGTACTTCGGAACTAGTTTCATTGTCTGCTCTTCGTTGGTTTGATGCCTTGTGTCAACACTTACATGTACCAGTGACAATTTTGAATTCTTTGCTATCCTTAATGCATGTTGAACTATGTGGCACTGCAATGCATGGCGTACAGTGCATAGTCGAATACACACTCTATTATATCATTTGTTTTCTAACAGATCCTTTCTAACGATAATCTACGGTCATAACAGAGTGTGACAGAGGTATGGTACTAATCGATTTTGACACAGTGCTCTTACCTTCAGACTAATGATTCTATTTCACGTTTTATACTTGACCTGTTTCACACAGTGGATACTGATCGGAGGTCGGGTCATGACAGTATTTTTGGTTCTTTGCTCGTCTAAAAGCAGTGCTGTGAACATCCACTTTATACGGGAGGACGCATATTTTGTACACATGCATTTCATCATCAAACACCCAACCTATTGGAGTGTTTCTATTCGGCGCACACGAAACCTGCATGCATGCTGCGTCCACATGTGCGAAGAAAAGTGGCGACAACGCTCAACGGTCAGCTACATTGAAGCCAGGTGCAATCCTGCTTGGCTTGATATTCAGTCGTTGGGACAGATGGTGGGGTCAGCTAGTAAACAGTCGCCTAACAGAACCAAATATCTGAATATTGCATGTTCATTACGAGCGTTGCATGGTGCTTATTTCTTACTGTGGTGTTGGTGGCAGGTCCTCTTCACTCAGGTCACCAGTCAAATTGCTGTGAGAAAACAAGCAGGAACAATGTGCTAAGTTACACTGTCTGCAAACTGGTATTCACATTCATGATCTTCATTTCTTATGAAACAGAACATAAAACAGACTTTCGACAGACTAGGTAGAAAGAAAGAATGATGTATAGTGGCCAAAAGCCGATGAAGTGAAACAAAAGCATACAAAATTACAAATAATTGCTTGCATCAAACATCAGCCTATCAGACACAGCAAAGTCTAAGCAAAGCTCTGATCCAGAAAAGCAGTGCACTGACAGTATCGTGGAGTGACCGGAGAAGGCACGCTTGAGCAGGCTCTAACACTGGTGGTATGCTAACGTCATAATCAAGATTGTTGGCCTTTACGTAACTCTATGTGATTGCAGTAGTACACTAGCTATGACTACTTACCCAGCTAGTATGTTGTCCACATCGGATGGTTCCAACTGGGAAGCTAGATTCGACAGACGTGCCTACCGGCGGGGAAAAAACGTGACAAAAGAGTCTAAGACGTACTGCTTAAACTCAGAGGAACTGATGCAATGTACCACCGTATTTAAATATTTAGAGTGGCAACCCGGCAGAATAGGCAAATGGCCTAATGCAAATCAAAGCTTCCTCTGCCCCAGGCAACTGGCTTGATCCAAATATCTGAGACCCGAGTCGTTGTATTAAAGACAGTGGTTTCTCATCAGCATAACCAGCCATAGTCTCATGATAAAGAGTTCAAACAGGGTCTTATCACATAACCAAAGGAACATATGAATTGATGCCGCCGATCAGTGTGTACCCGGGAATGAATAGTCACAGTGTCCTCACCTGAAGACCCTGAATTCTCCGCAGCTCCTGGCGCTTGCGCTGGGAAAAATCCGCCATCTTCTTCGGCTCTCCATCCTGAGCAATGTCAGTGGAGCGGCAAGATGAACAGGCAAAGACAAGGTCAACAGCAAGTATACACGAGGTTAGCTAACAGATGACCATTACTACCTCTGAAAGGTCTCGTGAGGACAGATGTAGAGACAGTAGATAGAGATTGGTACCTAGCTGATGCAGGATACTGCAAGTCACTTACTACGGTACAATGTACGGTACAATCATGTCACCACAGCTATGCAGCACGGTTGCACATGACCAGCTCAGAAACTACATGCACATTAGACAATAGCCACGCACACATTCTAGAAGCCAAGGAACGTGTCAAGCATCGCTTTCAACGGGCATGCTACCAATGGAAGAAGATGCTCTGATCACGCAATATTATCATCAATGATCTTAGCGACTTGGAGACCTGACTGGAACGTTACCACTACTGCACTACACTTACTGCAGTCAGTCCCTCGACTTGTGTTAGCAGACCATCAGCAGACTGCTGTAATTGCACACATCTGCCAAGCACAGCAACAACAAGCATAGGAACGAGTATCAAACACTGCCACAGGAACAGGCCCGCAGTTGCGCTACATGATCCGACGTTTACTTCAGCAATGCTACCCCACACACATCTTTTGCACAAAAACGTCCTAGCTGGTCCATGCCTGATTCTTAACTCCTAGTACATGTACTAATGTACTCAGATGGAGAGCCAATGTTTAGTGACTGGTGGTGGTAGTGGACAGTATAGCGTAACCAAGAGTAGATAAACAAGAGTGTGCAACTCCGGATCTCTCCTGCACAATCTGCAGATACCCCGCGCCCACGGCGGAATTTTTTGTTTACGTCACCTTTTTTCAGAGAAACGCGGCTTTGCCGCAGAGCAGTGTGAGAGCACGTGCTGGGCACCGACCTTGTAGTGTAAAGCCCAGCCAAGTGCACGAGGGAAAACTCTCCAAAAGGCTCGCAGCGCGTGCGTCGTCGAAAAGATTACGTCAACAAAAAATTCCGCCGTGGGCCAATCCATCCGGAGTTGCACACTCTTGTTTATCTACTCTTGGCGTAACTTATAGTTCCTTGGTCTTTCTCTTTTTGTATAAATTAGTACATGTACTATTGTGGATATTGAAATCCGATGGAATAACCGGGGCGGTGCCCTTACTGCTTTTAGCGCGTGCATGTACTGTAGTTCATGAACTACAGTGCATGTACTGTAGTTCATGTGTACATGTACAATGTAACGATGGACTACAGTCAACTTGGCTAATAACGACTGCGGATAAAACGACAATTCGCGAAAAACGCCAGAATTTCCATGCCAAGAGCGAAGTCCCATCCAACTGTAATACACATAATGAGACTTCGGGTATAACGACACTTCGCGAATAAGGACACTTTTTTGATGCCCCGCCCAATGTCGTTATAAGCGAAGTTGACTGTACATGCACTGTAGTCCATGTATACATGTACAGTGTAACGATGGACCAGCGGTGCTCGCGGTTGCAAGGCCAGCACCCCGTGCCGTGGAGGCTTGACTTGTCATCGGATTTCAATGTCCGCTACAGTACATGCCCGTGATACGTCTGAACAAACTTCTCACGGACACCCAGTCCATTAGTTTGAGAGAGTTTGTATAGGGAAACGTCTGAAGAGAAGAATTTCCCAATCCACGGGTTATTGTCATTAGCAAATTTGTATTGTATTTTATTATTTTACTTCGGCATTCCCAACAGACCCTATTATAAGGTCTTCTTACAGGGTGCCCAAGATGAATGAATTTGTTAAGTTCCTGGCGAAATGAATTGGGGATATGATTCGTGCGAAGGGATTCGGGAAGCGCATTTAAGCGGTCAGCACCAAGGAATGAAGTAGATTTGTATCCAGCTTGAGTATGCACAATGGGTAAAGCAAATGCCAAGGACAGTTCCTTCCATGAATGTAGCTGTAGTGATATGCCAATGATGCACTTGTGAACGGTCCAACGATACCTTCTACACAGCTCCTGGGTTTCGCTGTTCGTCGCTCCGACATCTCCAGCCTGCAGCAGGATACGTGCACAATGTTGACGGAATCGCTCCACCTGAGATGATGCACAACAGATAGACGTACACCGTCCAACCAGTCATGGAGCCAATTTCTAAATGTTAGCGCTTCATTGCAAGTACTAGTGTGTACAATCATGCCAGAGGGGTGAGCGAAGTCTGTTGGAATAAAATATTAGAGAAGAGGGTTACCCAAACTCTCTGCTGCCAGGCTACCATAGATATGCATATACATGTATAGCGACAGACTCAATATCTTGACAGTACACCACAGCGCGACATGACTTGCAACACTGCTACATGATGTAGCAGTGTTGCAATTGCCAGCAAAACATTCCCTGGATGAACCGGTGGAAAATGATTGTTGCCTGTTACTTCCGCTTCATTTCTTTCGCGCTGTACCCAAGCTGTCAATGAGTCAAAACCCTGGCTGATTGAGCAGAGGCCGGCTTGGATTCAAATCGTGGACAATAATAACTGCCCCTTGAAATCAGGCACATTATCACTGAGAGTACGTGTGGGTGTGCATACAGCTGTTGAAACACTCGTAGCTTGCTACCTCGTGTGACCTCATTCATTACTTGCACACACCAACATTACAAATAATTGTAAAATTAATCATGATGTAGACTGTGTAAGAGTAACCACTAAGTTTCTTTTCAGTGAACCTAGAATGACTAGTCACTGTCGCTGCCAATGTGGCAACAATTCGTTCGATCAGCTGAGAAAGTGTTTGTATTGTTATAATAAAAGCTGAATTCAAGTTGGGGTTTGTTGGGAACAGCTCCTCGTCAAGGTGCAATGCAATAGCTAAGCAACATGGGCATGCATCAAGCATGTCAATGCACACCTCATTACCTCACTGGAGAGCTCAGCAACCAAGGACTTCGTCGCCGCTAGTGGACTTCCCATCACGATGGCGATGCGCTAACCCTCGAAGGCTACTCACACGAACATCGCTAGATATATCTCCACAACATTGCTCACTCACGACCGGATTGTGAAATGCAAATGCACACGTACACGATGTCGATGTTTAGGATAGGCACGACGGTGCCATTTAGAAAATATTATGCTGTCATGCCACCGGGTCGCACCAGCAAAACAAAACGACTTCATTGATCTGCCAACGTTAGTTACCATGGTTACCTGCTTACGGGTAGGCGCATCCTTTGAATCGATCTGATGTGCACATGATCGACGTGAGTGATCGATCTTGGACTTGGTGACGGTCTCCATGGTCTCTGAACATGGTAAATCATGCATCAGCACGACCTAACTGAAGCCAACCGCAGAGCGATCATGCAACAAGTAGTTACGTAAGTCGTTCAGAGAATTCAAGAAACGGGACACGCACTGCACTGATCCTACCAAGAGGGTTATGTATTATGTTATTACACTACGATATCTGCCCTCACAGCTCACGCCGTTTGGGCAGATATCGGCCGGTATTGCCCTGATACTCGGCTAATAACACATACGTATTACATGTATGCATAGCGAAGCGAACGACTCATTATGCCGACATACGCTACTTGTTAGTCCGAGGTCGGTAGGGATCCTGTACTGGGCTTCTTGTGGAGCTGTGTGTATAACATTGAATCTTCAATTCAGACTTACTAGTACTAGTAGTAGGAGCTTACCCTCTGTGCTGACTACACCCTTCGCTACACCATTTGCAGTCTACACATAAAGGTGGCTGAACCTCAGTTCATAATCTGAAAAAGGCAATTATTTGAAGTGCAGCCAGGAAGTCTGTCTGGGTGGCACGACATATGCGCCCTACCTCTACACCAGTGCACTGCATCATGAGATACTACAGAAAAAGCTTGAAGAAGAGCTTCACTCAGTTGTCAACTACATGTAGTTACTTGTCGTGTTGAGAAATCTCAAGAAGACCTGCAAGGACATCATCATTTGATAAAAGAATACACGCTGGGAAAAATCGACCAGCGAATAAAAAGAAACTTTCCACAGCTTACAGAAAACTGCTGATGCACTAAAAGAAAGAGAGGCGTGTGTATACGTGTGTGTGTGTGTGTGTGTGTGTGTGTGTGTGTGTGTCCACGATACCTTGGGGAGTGGGTGCAATATAGTCGCTAGGCTCATTGGAAGGTGGGCGGTAAACTACAGGGCATGCATATAGAACCAGAAATAGAATAAAACACAGATGACAGCCAGCCGAGGACAACTTTGTACAAGAAATCAACTAAGGGATAAATATCTCCACAGGGCCTATATCCACAAGCACATGAGCGTATGTACAGAAAAGAGAATAAACCGTTTAAGCATATGGTACAGTGTTTGAGGGCGGAATACTGGCCAGCCAGGACAGCCTCATAGCTCCAGGAAAGAGTCTTTGCTATGCGGTGGATCACCAAGTATCTTCACCAAGTCCTTGTGATTGAGAACCTCTTTCTCGCGCAGTGCAGCAGTCAGCTACAGTAGCACAGGAAACACAAAAGTGCCACAAGAACAAGGGAGAAAAAAGCTTGGGCAATATTCGTGTCCAACTGGCCATACTGAACAACAAACGGAAAATAGAACATAATATCCCCAGCACAGTGCTATTCAATGAAATTGGGGTGCCTGGCATCAGCTTCCATGCCCCTTCCAAAATTCCAAACGCACGCTAATTCCCCCACCCCCATGCACACGCGCACGCACACACATACAGAGTACCAGTACTGCAGTACTAATAAATAACACAAGCAGTCTGCCAACCTTGTCGAGAAGCTCCTTGTTCTCCTCCAGCAACTTGACGGCTCGCATATTAGCCTGCTGCACCATCTGAGCAACTTCCTATACGTCCGTACACACACACACACACACACACACACACACACGCACATATATACACACACATGCACACACATGCACACACACACACACACACACACACACACACACACACACACACACACACACACACACACACACACACACACACACACACACACACACACACACACACACACACACACACACACACACACACACACACACACACACACACACACACACACACACACACACACACACACACACACACACACACACACACACACACACACACACACACACACACACACACACACACACACACACACACACACACACACACACACACACACACACACACACACACACACACACACACACACACACACACACACACACACACACACACACACACACACACACACACACACACACACACACACACACACACACACACACACACACACACACACCAGACGGATAACAGTAAACAGAGACGTGAACCAATGGCATGGAATACTAGTATGCTCTGGACTAAGGCATTGAGAATGATTAAAAATCGAATTGCTTGAATACATGTATTTTCATTTGTGCTTTGTTATTTACTACTGTTCAACGTCTCAGTGTTGCCACATAATTTTGGTCAAATATCAGTAGGGTGAAAAAATAAAATGCATCATCTGGGGGCTTTGCCCCAGACCCCCATAATAATAACCCCAGTATACACATGCACACAAAGCACACTCTTAAAAATCACGGTTCTGCGTGAAACTCAGGTTGAGTTTTCAGATTTTTCCCGAGACAGAATAATGATTTCACCTAACACCTTATTAGGAGATGAGAGAGCAATGGAAACAACCATGATGACCAGTAAAAGCAAAATCTGGATCATGACTTCTAATTTAGTTCTAAACGAAGCACAACGACAAAATGGGACATTTTCATGTCTGTTGTCGGCAGGCCCTCGGAAAAGGTCAATTGTCGGCGGGTCGGGATATGCCTCCAAAATCAGCAGGCTACTGACATGTCGGCAGGTGTGGCAACACAGACGTCTACACATGTGTCATAAGTACTTATTCAGGAAAGAAAATTCCCTGTGCACTGGTCCATGCTTTGGGAACTCAAAAGGCATGCACCCCCAGTGCTGAAAACACATGGAATGAACACAGAGAACACAGAGGTGAGAGTGTACAAAACCGTACCTGGTCCAGTTTCTGTCGCAAATGGTTGCTGTAGAATCGTTTAGAGCCGCCTTCGGTCTTATCAAAGGAGAGCTGGCCAACGCTCTCGCCCATGCCAAACTCCTGCACGGTGCGCTCGGCCAGCTCGGTAGCTTTCTTCAGGTGCTTCTGGCTGAGCGTGGACAGGCTGCCGTAGGACACAGTCTCAGCAGCACGACCGCCGACCAGCGAGCACAGCTGATCGTTGATGCTCTCCCGCGTCACAAGCATGGCCGGGACGGGCGCGAACTGCGTGTAGCCGAGTGCCGACGTGGTACGCGGCAGAATGGAGGTCTTCAGCGGTGGTGGGCTGTACTGAGTCATCCAGGCGACGAGGCAACGACCGGCCTCGTAGCTAGCCGACCGCTGGCGCTCATCATGCGCTACGCTGATTGTACGCTTCTCACTACCTATCACGTCACCAAACAGGCAGTGTAGACAACAGCCAACACAAACACAAACAGCTTCGCCCACATTGCCACTGGAGAGGGATTTCACAGAACTAGAGCATACGCTGCACTAGCTTGATTGGCAAACGGCAGGGCTTTGCAACAAGCCACAAGGAAAACAAAACAACTGCCCAGCATTCTGGTCGAGTAACAAGGGAACTGTACCCATGCCAGCCAAACAAAAGAGTGCTTAAAAACACTCTGAACAACGTGCACATTGGCAGGTGGATCACTAAGCTTCATAGGGAATGTGTTCATTGGTACGTTCAGGCGTGGTTTAAATCTGGCTTGGGAAAATTTATTTTTCATTGCTATCAGGTTTGGTCTCATTTTCTCTGTGCTGCGCTGATGAGTCCACAAAGGACGAAACAGTTCTGTCTGCAGATCGAGTCATTGGTACAAGTGTACATGTACGGCACTTATGGAACGGAATTCAACCAGTGGTCTCCGGCATGCACCCTGATCGTGCCCTTACCTGCCAAGATGCGCTCAATGGCGTACTCAAAGTTTGCTTCCGTCACCTTGTTTTGGTTCTCTCTGCCAGCGTGCAGGGCAGCCTCGTTGCAGACATTGGCAATGTCAGCTCCTGAATGAAACAGCATGGGGATATGGTCACAAAAGAACACACAAACGAAGTTACAAATTTGACAAAACATGGTGTGTGAGCACATTTCTTTAAAAATAATCACTGATGTATGTAATTTGCACAGACTGCTTCTTCAGCATGCAGTACGGACTACCACCTCTGGAGAAAGTATACCAATCCATACAAACTACAAGTCATTTGAGGTCAAGTTGAGTTTTTAGAGCTCCGTAGTCTTTGTAGATTTCCAGTAGCCCAGCCGGCACCAGGCCGGTCTGGAGCATAGTAGCGGGTAGTAGTAGTTGGTAGGCATGGACTCTGACGCGTCGGAGGCCCAGGGGACCCAGGACTTAGCTTTGCTGGGATTCGACGACCTGCGGAAACTGGCTACAAAACACAGCATAGAGGGCGTGAGTAAGCTGTCCCGTGCTGAGCTGGTGGAGAGCCTCCGGGCATTTGGTGTGGATGCACGAGCCGGAACGTATGTATCCAGGCTAGAGAATGCATTATTATCTTTGACGACCTGTATTGAAAACCTGAGCATTGAAATAGTGGCACTGAAGGTTGGCCAAAAAGCCGAAATTTCAGCCCTCCACGCCGAAATTGAAGTTCTGAAGAGAGAAATTGGCAGTTCGGAATTCAAAAAGGTTACACCCGCACCTGACGCACCCGTACTTAGCGTACCCGTAGCAGAAGTCTCTCCTGAGCTGGATGCAGCAGCACAGGCACGGAATACGCACTCTGCAGTCAACCCGTACTCGTACAGTGCAAAAGTAGTATCTGCACGTCCCAAAGCTCACTTCCCATCGCATTCTCCCATGACACAGTCAGCTACCTCCAATACGGGGACACATACTGATCAAGCCCTCCGGACAAACGTCATTTCATACTACCAGCGCCCACCCCGCAAACATGAGCAACTGCGCAGTGCCCATCGTACCAAATGCAAAGCTGTTCATGTTGGAAGAATTCACCCTGGTTGCTCTGCTTCCTCCATCGCAAAATGGTGCGAAAACAAGCAAGTGACTGTACTGAAATGCTCCGTCTCTGAGACAAAGTACTTTGGCCTAGCGTACGCGCACGTAGTCGTCACAGAAGATGACTGGGAAGCTGTGCAAAACACTGACTTTTGGCCTGACGGAGTGACAGCTCGAGAATGGCGATTCAAGGCTGACAGAATAAGTACAGCTGACAACACAACCGTCGATCAGTCTGCACAATAACGAACCTCAACCCCCCGATACTTCCTCACTGTTCCCCAAACATTACTACTAACAGCACACTTAATCCATTAGCTCAGCCTTTTTACCCACTTTCACAGCCAACCGCAGGATCACAGCCTATAATGTGCATCAATGCCAGGTCCATTAAGAACAAGACTGCCGAGCTGGCTCACATTTGTTCCACAGTTAAACCCCTCATTGTTTGCATAACGGAAACATGGCTCTCTCCACAGTCGTCTTTCACGGTCCCTGGATATGACTGTTTTCGCCGAGATCGTCCGCCAGATGAAAACAGGTCAGCTACCGATGCCACCCATGCATATGGCGGCGTCTGTATCATGGTACGGTCTGGGATGTTTCCAAAGGTCACCCATCGATCTGACCTCAGTATCCCTCTCCTGGAAGCCACATGGGTGGAAATAGCCCTGTCATCTGCTAACATACATTTCCCAGAGGCGCCTCATGTGAAGAAGTTGGTTATTGGTGCAGTATATCGACCCCCAGCCCTTACTCCATCAAGTATCAACACCTTCTGCAATTCCCTCCAGCACTGTCTAAGTACTCTTAAGAACCGAACAACATCTATCATGTTGATGGGAGACTTTAATGCTAAGTCATGTCATTGGCATGGAACTACCACGGATGCCGCTGGTCGCCAGCTTCACAGTCTATTCGGCATGTTCTCTCTCACGCAGCTCGTAAATTTTCCAACACATGAGTCATTGTCTGGCATGGGGGCAGCTCTCGACCTAGTTGTCACTGATATACCGGACTCTATATCCTGCCTCCGTGCTACAGCACCACTTGGTCAATCCGATCATTCTATCGTGGTTGGCCACATCCGTACTGTACCCTGCCCAGAAATGCCCACATACCGTTCTCGTGATGCCCGTTCGACTCCCCTGGATGTCCCTGATTTTAGTGTATTTTCTTTGGATTCTCTAGACAGCAACACTGTCGCGAGTATGAATACTGCCATGTCCCACATACATTGGCCAGCAGCTTTGAGCCTGGAGAGGCGCGATCCTGACATATCTGTGGACAACTTTTACTCTATCTTCCATAACATCTGTGCAAGATTTCTGCCCAGGCAGAAGCCGCCGGCTGTCAAGCGTATCCATATGAACCCCCCCCCCTGGCTGACCAGTACCCTCCGACATCAAATAAAGAAAAAACGAGATTCGTATAGTGTTTACCGAAAGTTTCCCTCGGCTGACAACTTCGCTATTTACAGACGAGAGCGAAACGTTACTCGCAATATGTCTCGAACTGCCCATCGACTGTACATCTCATCCCTAAGTGCATCCACGGCAAGACCCGCATCACCAAGTTTATTCCAGTTTGTCCGGAAGCTTCGATCTCCCCAAGGCAACAGCAGAACGACTGTAACTCAGCTCTCAGTCGCTGGTACTCTATATTCTGACCCTGTGGATGTGGCAGATGCTTTGAACGAACAGTTTATTGGTTTTGGAACACAAGATGATCCTTCATGGAATGTGCCAGACTTCAAGCCACCCGACGCCCCATCACGTGGAAGAACTACACCTACGTTGCAAGATGTCACCACCACGCCTTTTGCTGTGGCAAAGCAAATCCGCAACCTTAAGACCCGAAAGGCTGCGGGAGCGGACGGTATTTCTCATGAACTGAAACTATTTTGTTCCAGTATTGCATACCCTCTCAGCCTCATCTTTAACCTCACTTTTGCAACTGGTGCTTTCCCTGCTATTTGGAAACACGCAATTGTAACTCCGGTCTTTAAGAACAAGGGAAGTAAGCTCGATGCATCGAATTACCGCCCGATCTCGTTATTGTCAACAATCTCCAAGCTGTGTGAACGTATTATGTACAACCACTTATATACTTACCTGTCTCCTGTTCTACATCCGTCCCAGTCTGGATTCCGAAGAGGCGACTCTACGTCCTGGCAGCTTCTCAGACTTGTTCAATCGATGTCTTCTGTTCGTGAGAACGGCCATTACAGCATGCTATGTTTCTTTGATCTAAGCAAGGCCTTCGACACCGTATGGACACGCGGGCTCCTATACAAGCTGTCGCGCCATGGAATCCATGGTACTTGCTTCACGTGGCTCAGTACTTACCTGACGGGCAGACAGCAAAGGGTGCGTGTCGGCTCTGCTCTGTCTGCCAAAGGGCATGTACGGTCTGGAGTTCCTCAGGGATCAATCCTGGGGCCTCTCCTCTTCCTTATGTATGTAAACGATCTGGCAGAAATGGATCACACATCACTATATGCTGATGATACAGCACTACTTGTGACAGCACCCACTCTCCCCGAGGCTAGTGCCAAGTTACAGTCCAACATAGATGGCGTTATTCATTGGATGGAAAAATGGAAATTGCAACCCAACTCTTCGAAAACTGCTGTAATGTGTATCCCCCCCAGTTGTTCCTGTGACCTATCTTCATTAGTAACCAGTCCCTTCACCTTTCCAGGCACCACAACCCCGCTCTGCATCGTTGAAAAACACAAGCATCTTGGCGTCATTATTGACCAACACTTAACCTGGAAATCCCAGATCGAAAATTTAGACAGCCGTGTTAGCTCAGTAATGGGATTTCTCTCATCACACATCACCCACCTGCACACCGACTGTCGCCATGTTATCTACACATCTTACATTCTGCCTATTTTTGATTACTGCTGCATAATTTGGGCTGGCATTTCTAAAACACTGATTGCTCGACTCGAAGTTATGCATAGGCGTCTTTTGAAAATATTATTTCGGCTTCCTCGCCTGACTCCAAGCGCAGACTTATACCGCCTTGCTTCTGCTGTGCCGCTCTCGGTCCGCGTGCGTTTTTTGGCATGCCAGACAATTCATAAAATTAAGCTGGGCATTGCTCCTCTTCATGCTCTCTCCTGCCTAAGCTGGTTTGCTCAATCTCAAGACATGCGCACCAGAAACTCTCTCCGCTTCCCTATTGCGCGGTCTGCCTCTATGCAAACATCTCCTCTCTTCCTTGCTTACCGCCATTGGTCTCTCCTCCCACAACATCTAAAATCCTGCCAATGTTACAATACATTCACACAGCTACTGCAGAATGCAACATACTAGTTGATATCCAGCCCTGCCCTAGCTTCTTTTGCTTTTCAGTTCCCCTTTCATTCTTTTTCTTTCCCCCCTCTAGCTGTATTACCGCCATGGCTGGCTATCGCCCACATCACCATTTCATTGGCTAGTGCCACGTGATTGTGAATAAATAATAGTAATAATAATACATACTACATGTACATATACTGGTAGTAGAGTCTGATCATCAGCAGCTCTACCTCCACTCACCACTCTGTCCAGGTGTGAGCGTTGCTAGCCGCTTAGCATATGTGTACGCCGGCATCTCCAGCTCCAGCTTCCTCAAGTGCGTCTCGAAAATCTCCACACGCTCGGCCTGCGTGGGGAGCGCAATCTCAATCTTGCGATCAAAACGGCCGGGCCGAAGTAGAGCCTGGCAGGGGAAACATGAACAACAGATACTTCTTTATACTTCCTCTAAAACAACAATGAAAAACACGATCTGAGAACCATTATGCCAGATACAGCAGTTGGAAAATTTCGGAATCCCTCCCTGGGAAGGGTAGAGGAGGCAGAGACGATAGGAATACGCATGTAATGTATCAGCATTGGCCACATGTTTCTATCACCATCATGGCATCAGTAATGCAGTGTGCTGGTCCAAGGTGGCCTAGGTTACCTAGGTCAAAGGGAACTCAATAACTAAGTAGATAGCTAACATCAAGATCTTTCAGAAGTAATACCAAAATAGTAAATAGTACTCAATGCACCAGGCACTGGACATGCACCTTGACCGCAAAATTTAGCGAACAAATCTACACAGCTGAGTTGAGCAGGATCAAGCTTCCCAAGCTTGCACAGCACACATATACACACACACACACACACACCTGATCCAGAATGTCAACACGATTCGTCGAGGCCATCACTACAACACCTTCTAGTTTCTCCATTCCTACATGGCATGCAAGAGAGACAAAACACAACAGGCAAAGGAGAGAGAGAGAGAGAGAGAGAGAGAGAGAGAGAGAGAGAGAGAGAGAGAGAGAGAGAGAGAGAGAGAGCGAGAGAGAGAGAGAGAGAGAGAGAGAGAGAGAGAGAGAGAGAGGGAAAGAGAGAGAGAGGGAAAGAAAGAGAGAGAGAGAGTGAGTGAGAGTGAGTGAGTGAGAGTGAGAGAGAGAGAGAGAGAGAGAGAGAGAGAGAGAGAGAGAGAGAGAGAGAGAGAGAGAGAGAGAGAGAGAGAGAGAGAGAGAGAGAGAGAGCATGGTCCAACGTCAAGTTGACAAAACAATATGCACTTCACTATTTAACACATCCCAAGAGCTAGCAGAGCTCCCCTGCATATAGAGACAGAACTACGCAAGATACGGCCACCCCAGAGAGATGCCCAAGCACAGACACAGGTGCAGGTACTTCAGAGTAGACACATGAGTAAACAGACAAGCAGAGAGATACGAGGAGCATCATTCGGCAACATCGGCAGAAATTCAGCGACATACCATCCATTTCGACGAGCAGCTGGTTTAGAGTTTGTTCTGCTTCAGGATTATGCCTACAGAGTGCATAGACAAAGCAAAACTTGGCTTAGTACAAACATCACAACACATGATAGCTAACAGTTATACAGAGTGAACAGGAAACATACATGTAGAAAGTGTTAGTAGTTTAAGGCAAGGTAAAGGTAGTCAATTCTGAGTGTAGGGGCAAGAGGTGTTAGACACCTCTTGTTTCACAGAGCTCGACATAGTGACGGCCGTGCTCATCTCCTGTCCCTCGTCGCCATTGCTCCCTCAACCGAAGCCAGGTGCCAATTCCCAGATGGGTTTCCTGGGGGTGGAAACTATCTTCACTCACGCTGGGAATCGAACCGACAACCTTGTGTCTGGAAGGCCAATGCCCTAACCACTCTGCCAACCATGCACATAATTATTAGAACAAACCAGCAAAACAAAAAGGAAGCTACTTACGCTCCCGCTTCAGCACGCTTGCGTCCCACAGCATCCACCTCATCGATGAAGATGATGCATGGTGCACACCGCTTGGCCTGGTCAAACAGGCTACGAACACGCGCTGCACCCACACCTACAAGACACAGCAACAGCATAGTACAAGTACACTGCTACTAAAGTAGTGGAACAAAACAACTGACAAGTCAAGATGCTTTAAACTACTCGCTCAGCATAGAAACTCAGGACAATCACACACATAAAAAAAAGAGGAGTATCAAGCATTATGTACCACCCCCCCCCCCCCCCCACCCTCCTCTTCCAATCGAAAGTCCATACATTTTTCAAAACCTTTCATCCATCTCCACAAATGTAGAAGCTAACAATACACACATGCTATCTTCTCCCCCCCCCCCCCTCTCTCTCCCACAGACCGACATCATCACTAGGAATACAAAAAAAACCACAAGAGACAAGGGTGACAGACGTAATACAAATATTAGCAACATTGGTGAAGCATTTCAAAACTGCTGCATAGCATGTGTCAGGAATGGCGGAAGCAGTTTTCGATTGGTCCGACCATAGTCCATACCCTAGTCCATACCATAGTCCATACCCTAGTCCATACCATAGTCCAGACCCTAGTCCATACCCTAGTCTTTCATACAGTTTGTGTATGATAAGTTGGGTACACATAACCTCCTCAGCAGTAAACACACGTTGGTGACCAAACAGTTGGTCCGGCCATGGCCTGACCAGCCAGACCGGTTCCGCTGCCCCCTGTGTGACACTCCGTACTACCAGAACAAAACGCTTACCTCCGATCATCTCTACAAAGTCCGACCCGGCCATTGCCAAGAAAGGCACATTGGCCTCCGATGACACCGCCTTGGCAAGCAGTGTTTTGCCAGTACCAGGTGGACCAGTCAAAATAGCACCCTGAACAGTGAATAGCCACAAATACACGACACATTTAGGCTAGGATTTACCCAAGTGTAAATGCAGCAGTTCAAACAGAAAGCAACCAAGGACGCAGGGATAACAATCAGCTTGCGAATCACACCAAAGTCTTCCACAGTCATGAAAAGTACAGATGGAATCGTGTATTATAGCCAAGAATATCTACTGATCCAACAGCGCCCAGTCCCAAGGGTGCCGGGTAACTGACTCGCAACTGTACCATGCTGGGCTTGATGATGGCACATTTCCTGCTTGGGGTTGGCTTGTACTGGGCAATCCTTGGTGACATCACCCGTCCTATGACATCATAACGATCGCTTTACGCGAGGAGTGGCAGGTCACATGGGTAGCGAGTGGTAGGTCACGTGACAAGCCTCCACTACAATCAACCATGCCATGTGACTTTATGACGTCACCAAGGAAGGACCATCCAGCTCTATTGCACTGGCTGTACTATTATACAGGAACTAGCATTAGCTATCAAACAGAACAAAACAGATCATGCAGCATGAGGTACACCTCACCTTGGGAATACGAGCACCCAGTTCGTGGAAGCGCTTCGGTGTTTTCAGATAATCGACGAACTCGCGGATCTCTTCCTTTGCTTCCCGCATGCCGGCAACATCAGAAAACCTATTCATAAAAAAATAAGTCAAAAACTCCGTCGAAACTTGACCTCTGCACTGCAACTCAAGAAAAAATATTATCAACAAATATTTCAGCCTTGGGCCATCATCATGATCGATAAGAAATAGACAGTGAGGTCAGGTTGACAAAGACATGGGCAGGGAAAGAAATTAAACTCTACTTGCAGCTAAATCAAGTAGGGAAAGGAGAATGCTGAAATGCATTCCAGAATAAGAAGTACAGCATGGAACAGACTGTAATATATCCATAGAAAGTTTAGAAACAAAGCTGATCAAAATTTCACAAATCAATCCAGCAGTGCAATAGCTTCACAGCCAGCACAATGATCAGATGTACTCATGCAAAGATCGGACACATGATTTGAGAATTTACACACATACTTACTTCACTCCGCCAACTGGTGATTTCACAATGTGCGGCTTCGCAGCTCCCATCTGCAAAACAAAGCAGAGCAATATTCAAGTACAGTCAGCCTTGCGAATAGCAACCCTCGATCGTGCATAATCAAGTGTCATTATTCCCGAGTTGTCGATATTCGTGAGGTAGAAAGCATGCAGACAAATGGTCACAAGGTCTGAGGATAGTGTCGTTATTCACGAGTTGATGTTATACCTGAAGTAGTTATTCACGAGGTTGACTGTATACGCAAACACAGCCTCAAAGAGAATGCGTGCCAGCAGCCATTTGCCCAACTGCAATTCATCAGGCTGAGTCTGCACCACTGAGTATGTGCAAGAGAGGTGGCATACAGTGCTGACCAAATGCTATCAAGCTTGTGTTGTTCGACCAGCAACAGTGCAATGAAGACCGGTCCTTCTACACAGGGGACCTCTCTACACAGATGGTCTTTGTAGTAGAAGTTTGTACGCAGGTGATCTTTCTACACAGGTGGGCTCTCTACACAGGTGGTCCTTCTACATGGGTGATCTTTCTACATGGGTGATCTTTCTACATAGGTGGTCCATCTACACAGGTGGTACCTCTACACAGGTGGTACCTCTACACAGGTGGTACCTCTACACAGGTGGTCCATCTACACAGGTGGTACCTCTACATAGGTGGTCCTTCTACACAGGTGGTCTTTCTAAACAGGTTCCAACATGATGTTGAGACATGGCTTGAGAGCCGAGTGGCCTGGTCTCGAAAGACACGTGGTCTCTCATGTCGCTATCTACAGGGCTAATGACACAATAGCCACACAATACCGACTACAGGTGTACCCTCGTTAGTACGATATCGGGTACAAGACAAACCTCATCAGTGGACAAGGATCAACTATCCCCTGATGCCTGAACGCGTACATTCACGTCCGGATAGTAGATAATACTCGTCATAAGACAAACAATTTGAAATCACTGGGGTTGTCTACTAACAAGGGTAGACCTGTACACAGGCAACATCACAGTTCATCTAGCAACAACAAAAGACCAAGGAAACTGTTATCATCTAACCAGCGAGTACTCACCCGAAACGCAGTTAGTGGGGATTGCACGTTGGCGGTGATCAGTCGGCGGCCAAATCGAATGAGGAGCAGCGCCACCATGAGAATGGGGATGATATTGGGCCTGGTAAGACAACAATAAAAGCGGAAACACACACACACACACACACACACACCAAACACACACACACACACGCATCAAACACACACAGTGTCACGCAGAGAAAACGGAATGGAAACAGGTAGGGGTGTAAATGCACTTTTTCTATAGTTCACGATCAAGTTCCAGCAGTATGTACAGAATGTACAGCAACATAAGACGTTGCGGGGCTCGCTCAGTGCCGCAACACAGATGCATGTGGAGAGAACACAGCAAAGGAATTCATTCTCGACTTCTCGGCTACAGACGGCAGATCATTTTGTACTGCTTGCTTACCTCTCTTCTCGCACAATAGGTACTTCCATTGGATGAACACCCACGGCCTGGAAAGCCGCCGCCATCATATTTTCGGCCGAATCACCAGGACGGATTTTGAAGTAAAATTGTTTGTTGGGCGGAACTCTCTGTGTAATGAAAATGAAAAGGTAAATCCGGCAATGGCATGGATTATTGTACACTGATAGATCGCGACACCCGTAAACAACACACGTATATCAAAACCATTTCACCAAGTCTGTCTTTACCACCATTATTCCAAGTTAAGGGCGGTCCACAAATATCGAAATTTTTTCATAAAAAAATATTTTCGTTATGGGGTGGGAGGGGTTGACCAATTTCCCGTTTCCGAATACTTTGAAACATGTACGTGGCCGTAGGAGCAGTGACACACTTGCGACTTTTGTTGTACATGTATATGCATGTATATATCAACATTTTTACGTTCTGAGGGGGAGGAGAGAGGGAGGGGTTGGGTTGAAACAAAATAAATTCGTTTCGTGATAAAATTTCGATATTTACGGACGGCCCCTTATCCGTTAGAAAAGGAAAAGACATGCACATACCTTGCCATCGATCTGGGCCCCGTCGTGCAAGTTGATGTACGCATAATGGCCAGACACTCGAAGACTGGTAACCTGCATGCACACAAGCAAGCATTCAAACAAATGCAGCCAAGACTACGCAAGCAACTGTCGAAATACACAAACACCATAATGACGTGAGGCTTGGCCAGTACGACAGCACAACCTGCAACCTGCCTGCGCAGCGCACAATGAAGAAGGAACATACTGACACACTCGTACTGAAGATAAACTACAGTGTAGAAGAAATATAGGGGTGAAACATCACTCAGAAAAGACGGGTAAGTACAGGTAAGCAACTCAGCAATTCTGAAAGTTATCATCAGTACCCCCACACACACACACACGCACACACAGCAGTGAGATATTTTAGCACGCAGGCACAGCCAATCATATCTCGCAAACTAACCTCCCCAGACTTGAGGAACTTGTCGAAAAAGTCCTGAAAGGAAATCTCCTGCCCGAGGTCACTCCAAAGCGAATATAGCAGGTAGATAAGGAGGCCATCAATCACCATGTTAAACGCCGGATCTTGCTGCCCCTCCGGTGGTTGCTGCTGATTTTTGTTATTACCATGCTGGTCCCGGCTGTTACTGCTCCCCTCACTACCTTGCTCATCATCTTTACGCTCACTGCCCCTTTCTGTGCATGGAGAAGGAGATAGAGAAAGAAAGAGAGAGAGAGAGAGAGAGAGAGAGAGAGAGAAAGAGAAAGAGAGAGAGAGAAGAACAAAACACATTGGCAACTAAACAAGCCAACACTGTAGTCAATGTACGATTGCCGTTGATGGAGCTCAGATGCAGCGTGCTGACGAGATCATGAGCGCAAATACCCATCACAGAGGTGCCGTGACTACCTCCTTACATGCACACCATAAGAAAACAGTGCCCAGTGAGCATGAAAGCTCCCACAGGGCGGCCAATTACCTTTCTCCAACAGAACAGTGCTTGTGTGCAGCGATACCGAGCTTAGCCGCGAAGCCGAGGCATGATTCTGTCCCCGTTGTGCCTGAATGACAAGGGAGCAACACGTATACAGAGCAAGAGTCAGGACTAGTCTCCGCTTGCAGCTACTACTAGTACTCCTGCCGACTATACCAGAGCATACAGTACATGTAGTCACGAGCAATACTGTAAGGAAAAAAATATTTGCTTGCACACTTCGGGCATGTACTTAATGTGTGCACCTCACAGTGCGCAAAAGGGATTTTCAGCCTGAAACAGTGCATATCCAATGTATGCAATGCACCGTACTTCATCAAACACAGCCGCAGCAGAAAAAGCAGCAGAAACAGCAGCAGCAGTAGCACCAAACAAGACGGAGGTGAAACAGAAAGCACCGTTTGTTTCTTTGAAGTACAAGACTTGTATGTTTTCTGATCAGAACCAAAGTTCAAACACAGTCACGTGCACTGCATGATATCCAGTAGGAGGGGGGGGGGGGGGGGGGCAGGGCAAGGTTCTGCCCCTTATCAAGCGTTTCGTCCATGGCTCACAGCGGAAGCTGTAATGGTAATTGTGCATCACAAAACAGTACCTGCCGGGCACCCAGGGCTGGGGCTAGGATTTTTTACTTTGTGCATGTCTACTGGTACCAAAATGGGCATGCAATGATTATGTGCTCCTTCTTGAGGACTCCCCCTGGATTGTGTAGCAGTTGCTAGTGCGTATTGATAGTTGTTTGTTCAAGGATAGGCATCGTAACGATGTGGTATTTGCTGTGCCAGCCACACACACACACCACTGCCATCCATCATGCAATTAAATTATACAAACTGTGATCTGTAGATGTTCTTGAGAATAGGTCCCTGAAACATCACTCAACCACTGATAAGTGTGACCACTTTTGGCTATCGTAGTGCGAATATTTAAAATTCAATCAAATTCAGGTGAGAGGTCACACCGATGTTCAATATCAGGAGGAGGCGAGAATATTATTCCAGTACGCATACCTGTAAACATCTAGGACATCAGTACGTTCAGTCAACGGCCATAATGTGTCAAACAAAGTCTTACCAAGAGGGGTGTGTTGCGTAAGAGACTGTGGGAGAGCCTGGATGATGGCAATGTTATTCGTCCAGTCACAGCAACGCCACGCGCCCTACGCAAGGAAGAGAGCACGCTCGTGCATAGTGACATGATCGTAGATACTAAACCCTGGTGTTATGAACCATTGACAATGTTTCTAGTCAACACAAAAGAAAATTACTCCTCAGTAAAGTAGAAAAGGCCAATATCCTATTCAATCCTCTTCTGCTGCCTATTTTTCGAAAGCTGCCGACTTCAACAAAGTTAGTTCAAGTCGCCCAACACTACAGTTGCATAACGTCATTCATCACGTGCGCGAGTTACGTCACTCATTTCATTGGAGACTCCCCGGGAGTGTTATTTTTACGACTCGACTTTGCAGTCTGCACTGCAGTACTGCTTGACCTTTCTGCTGATAAACATGCAGGGAGGCAGTCTCCCTGCAATCATGGTATCAAGAATACCTCCATTGGGGGTTTTAAATTATACTCTTGATGGTATTCATGATAATGTCATGTGGATTGGGGACTGGTCTCTGTGCCAGACTGCTAGCCAGTCGTAAGGACAAGTGGTCGTGCAAACCAGGTCCACCAGGCCAAGCCAGAGGGGTATTTTTTACTTGCTCCCTGGTGAAAACCACCAGAACTTTTATTATAATTCTAGTTCATTTTGACCTCAGAATCAGAGTTCATATTAGCAGAGAGTGCCAAGTAGTGGCCGCATGTACCGCCGCCACTGTACGTACACTGGCTGGCAGTGCACGGTGGCGGTAAATGTACAAACCTGAAAAACTGGAAGAGTCCAGTCGATTTGACAAGGATGCCCGAGATAAGACCATGGGGATCAAGGTGTACCGACCAGCACAACTCCATGAGAAGGGCCTGATCAACCTACCATGAGTCCCTGACTCAATAGCGGGGCACACCTGGCGCTCCGCTGGTTGTACACATAAACCAACTAGGTAGCAGGCACCAAACCTCTATCACTACCTTGGAGTACAGTTGCGCCAATGAAATTGGACCAGTGTGCACGGGACATCTAGTGCTGCACGTGAAAACCGATCCGCATCTCACAGGTCACAGTTGCACACTCAGGTCTTACGTGGGCAAGGCATATTAATGATATTATCAACGGATTCATTGCATCCACCAGGCTGAAGAGAATAGCAGAAAACAATTCACTGATTCGAAATCAAAATTGAGCCATCGGTAAGTCTGTTGCTAGTGTCAAACCCGGGGAAAACCAAGTGTTTGCTAAGTATTTCACACAGGCATATACACATACGCAGCCACACACCCACACAAGCACACACCCACCTAGGTAACTATAGAACCATAGAAGGAAAGAGCTATCTACACGGTATCATGTGAATTTGGTTAATTCTGTAAACGGATAAGTTAAAAACAGAAAAGGAATGGGATGTGTTCTCGAAGTATACAAGGCAGAAACACTGCGCACAGCAATACAACTGGTAGCAAGCACAGCCGCCTATATGAATAAGTGTTCGTAGTTACGACACAATTTTGAACTGTGTTCATACAGCCCATAGCTATTATAGCTGGGTACGTAGATCACAAGATCCAGCACATACCTCAACAAATGGTAGGTGGACTCTAGTTGGGCGAGTACAGTATGAATGGGCAGCATACCCATCGATCGCTGCAGCGTGGAAGAACCGAGTAGACTGCTATGGGCACAGACAAAAGCAGGATCGGACTCTAACATGCCGCACAGACTGTCAGGAAAGTCACGTGCCAAGATCAGCCATTGACGACAGTCCTGAGCGCTCAATATAGAGAATGGACAACGGCATTGCGGCGGTGCAAACTCATCAGCGGGCGTCCTCCTCGATGAACCGGAGTTCCTTAGACTCGGCCGCACGGGTCTTCTTGTGCGCGTCAATGAGCGACTTGTAGCCGGAGCATTGAATGCAGTCGGCCGCTGCTGTACTCGTGCAACAAGTGACCAGGTCCATGATCTCAGGCTGGCACTGCGACTGGTCATACGCCTTATCTACGTATGCACGCAAAGGAACAAGAGACAGATGGCATACACAGACATTATTGTGAATCTAGTGACAATGACAAACAGTCCAATAGCAACTACACTACAATCAAACCTCCCAATAGTGCGAACGTCAATTGATCGATGGTCCTGGTTCTCAATAACGGGAGTTCTTCTTGTCCATATTCTATACCCAGTGAATATACAGTTGTTTATCCAATCGAGTTATGAATACTAGTTCTTCTAAAGCGAAAGTTTATCTCATCAGTGTTCTTCTCAATGAGAATACACTGTACAGTCTTACCCCATGACCAGCATGACACAATCAGCACTAGAATCATTCAGAACTTTTTTTAATTTTTAATTTCTGATTCTATTTAGGAAACTTCACTTCTCAACTCCAAACTCCAAAAACGGTCTCTTCACTGCGATTCAAATTTACATTACACCAAATTGTCCGGCCTGACCCATCATCAAGGTAATGAATTATTACTCTGATGATGGGTCAGGCCCGAAAATTTGGTGTAATGTAAATTTGAATCGCAGTGAAGAGACCGTTTTTGAGTTTGGAGTTGAGAAGTGAAGTTTCCTATATGGCCGAAATGTGTAAGTGGCTGCGTTGGAGTTTGCGGACAATAAGAAAAAATTCTGATTCTAGTGCCAAAAAATGGATATTTCGGGGGGGGGGGGGAGATTCCTATCTGTATCATCTGACAATGGTTAGGAACTGACAAGGTTTACATACTGCTTAGCTCTGTGCTTTGGAGCCTTAATTTGGTGCATGTGACCTAGTGCATGGTGACATCAGGTGATTGTTCGACTTGTAAAATCGGCTGATGAACATCTCGCATGACGATTGTCAATAGCCGTGCTATCTGGTGACGTTTCGCCCAAGTCCAGACTCAATCAAAATGTGTGCTCTCTCATTGTGTTGTGCACCTATTATTTCCATCATCTGCAACTACATGTACACGATTACCATTTACCATAGACTCGATCAGAACAAAGCTGACATTACAGTCATGTACATCTAGGCCGATAGGGTCTGGACTCGAAATCACAGTTGGCAACGAGGACCACAGACACGTTGTCCAGGCCCATAATGGTTAGTACTAGTAATGGTTACAGGTCATGTAATACGTTCACACGATGTGCTGCTTTGTAGAATACTATTCTGAAAAGGTCAGCGAGACAATTATACAAATTTTGTAGTTTGTAACTCAGAAAGAATCCCACCTGCCAGGCATCGCTGAATGGCACATGCCTGAGGACGGCAAATTACATTCTTCTTCTCCTTTCCACTTGGGGTGGTCTTCTTAGCCTCAGCCATTGCCAGCGTGGACTATTACCACCAAGATGCTCGGCACAACAAATAAAAACTGAAAATGACGCAACACTTCACCGTTTGTGACTGCTGACTCTTGATCTCGATCTTGCACACTACACCGTACACGGGTACGGTACGGGTGACTCGATCCACGAGTTCGATTTGAAAAATACATTCGACAGCATGACGTCATTGACAACCTTGAATATTCGAATATTCACGATCGATTACCATAATCGATTACGATGGAGAAGTCATCACTGCACTGCATGTTTTCGCTGCAATAGTCGCTGAACCGTACGATAACCAGACAGTAGTACCTTGGAGATGCTACCTTCACTATTCTAACTAAACTGCCTGTTTCAAGGTAAGTAATTAGTTGGTATATACCCTTGATATTATTACTTGTATAAACCTGAAAAACACTGCATGCCTGATTGTATTCATGGAAGTACATTCTACACATGCACAGTGCAACAGTGGAGCAAGTGTAGTAGCAAGAAAACATAGCCCCCCCCCCCCCCCCCCCCATGTACTCTTGTTTATAACAAGAGTCCTCCCCCCCCCCCCTTCCCATTGTGTAAAAAGTAATGTTAGGCTGTGTTTACATGAGAGGTTTCAACCTGGGTTGAGGTCGACCCGGGTCAGATTTCAACCCGCCATGTGCACAAAATGAATGGCGCGTTTACATGACGCATTGCGCTTGACCCGGGTTGAAATTTCGCCCCGGGTTGATTTCAACCCTCCCCTTGGGGGGGAGGGTTGAACCCAAGGGGAGGGTTGAAATCAACCCGGGTCAAGAAAATCATACAAGCGTACTTCTGTGCGTGTCTCGCGCCAGGTTTGAACGGCACTGCAGATGCAAATTTCGCGCGAATGGATTCACGTGACCATACAGGACTGTAGAAGTGGACTTTTGGCGGCATATCAGTATTTGACCCGGGTCAACTGTCTTCATGTAAACGCTCTTTTGTCTATCGTACAGACTTTCAACCCGGGCTGAACTCGACCCGGGTTGAAATTTCTCATGTAAACACAGCCTTAGCCGGACTCGCGGTCGCCGCGATCACCCGATGTTGGGAGGAGCACATCAACTGTCAGAATGATCAAGCTAAGACTTTCGCATCGGAGGGCGGGCCACCACTTCGGCCCTAAACCCTAGTGTTGAATGCAGACCTCACAAGTGAATCAGGGGAGAAGGGACATGGTGAAATCATTCAATCAATCAATGTACTCTTGCTTATAGTTTGTTGTAACTCTGAGTTTCATGCAGCATGCCGTTGAACATGAGGACCATCGGGGCAAGATTCATTCTATATATTAATTGTTGCAAATGAATAGGGCTGAGTCGGGTAGCATTTTCTTCGGGTATCGGGTCCGGGTAGTTTTCCACGAGTAGCACGGGTACCCGATCGGGTAATGCTTCCATGGTAAGACCACAATGCACACCGGCCCCTCCCCTTGCGCATTGGGTAGACATGCGTGAATTATTTGTACACGTGCACTGTACATGATGTCATCTGCGACCTCGGGTTTTCGGGTACTATTCGGTACCCGACTACCCGAGGTCCTCACGGGTAGCACGGGTACTCGACTACCCGTGCACACCACTACTAACAATGCAGCGATACTGTCTGACCTGACCGGCACAAAGAGGCCCGGGGCTGGGGGTCTCAGTTCCTGATTGTAGCAGGTTGCACTTGGCCGGCGTGTGTCTTCGGTAATTCACAAGCACAGTAGAAAATGGAAATTCGCAGATCCAGCCATTCCAGGTGGCTTTGGACTGTGAAGGGCACACTGGGTATCAGAACTGTTCAACACCCATCCGCACACGTACTCAGCCATTCAATGATTGCATTTTTGTTCAAACATTCTGGTGATCAGCCCTTTCCACATACCAGTAGCAGGACCGCCGGAAGTAGTTTCGATTGGTCCGGCCATACTGTAGCATATCATTCTTTGTGTATGATAAAGCAGGTACACATAACCTTCTCAGTGGTAAACATACGTTGGTGGGCAACAAGTCGGTCGGTCCGGTGATGATGACCCGACCAACTGCACCGGTTCCGGCAGGCCTGCAAAGCAACAAGTACCCAAAGGTGATTGGTAGATGAACATGCTAGGCTCGAAGGGTCCAGACCTGGAGAGTTTATCTGCAGCCCAAAAATAGATGAAGCATGTTCAGTTGCGTTGACGGCAGCACGGTCTACCCAAACTTGGTGCGGTTTATGTGTTTCATCTACTTAAACTACAGTACTTTGAATTCAGCATGGACCTTTCCATCATGTGTTTTATACATGCAATTATCTTTCTAGGCACCTCACAGTGTCCAGTAAGAAGCTTGGTTGGGCAGGTGAAGGTCCCTCAGTACGGTTGCCGCTACGTTAACGTACCAGAACCAGCCATGGCATGCTGCGGTCTACTCCGCCCCTCTGCATCTCGACAAATCTGGGCTCAAGCGGCGCTGACAAGGTCGGTGTCAACAGCACCATGCTTTACCAGTTCAACTCCGTCACACCAGCGTGCAGTGTCGCATGTGTACCAGTGCTCATCCAGTCACCGGTCACCAGGTTACGCACGGTATTGTGCCACGAGTGCGGCGGGTGGCTTTCCGCTGCACGGCCCTCTGAGCTCGCCTCTACATCGTATTGTTGAACGGTCCGGAAGCCCAGACTTGGCCATATTTGATAGTGTCAGCGGCGCGACGAGCTATCAGCTGATCTACTCACATGCGGACGCACTCACACAATCGTTGAGCTCCTGCCTTGGCTCTGCAGCTGCAGTCACTAATAACGGCCCACCGATCATAGGCGTGCTATGTTCTAATAGTTACATGTATGTTGCAGCGCAGTGGGCATGTTGGTCGCTTGGCTATGTGTTCATGCCACTGTGCAGTCAACATCCTACCAAGATGATGGAGTACTTCCTCGACGACTCCTCAGCTAAAGCTCTCCTGTTCGATACGCCGCACAAGGCTGCTGCCAGTCAGCTGACCGAGAAGTTCTCCATTCCTGGTGTGGAAATTAACGAGGCGATCAAGGCATTTCCAAGTGGAGCTGAGGGTGAGGATGTAGGTCAGTGTTTGTCACTATCTACTTGATGTATTATGGTGAGGCTATTGGAAGGATCCGTATTGTCTTGCCTGTGTCTTGCTACCAAGCCTCATACTAGTATTCCGATTTTCCCAAGGCGTTCCAGTACATATCTCGGTGTAATATATTAATAGTGCCTGGTAATTACAGTTGTTGTCACGTGTTGGTTTTGAACCTTACTTCTCTCTCTGGCTGCAGATACTCCATCTTGGTCGCCATCGGTTTCTGAGTGGGCTGACTATCCAGCAACTCTGTTCTATACAAGTGGGACCACTGGTCCACCAAAGGGTGTGCCAGTTACCCATGGAAACCTGCGGTAAGTTCAACTACTGCTAAGTTGAAGTACACATTCCGCAAAGTGGCAGATGCAAGTATGAGTGAGCGCGACCATATCCAGCAGAGGCTGCTGAGCAATGTCCGGACTCTAGGAGCTTATCACTTTTAAAGTGTTGACTGTTCACTACTTTGCGGGTACGAACGTCTTGGTCTGGATATGCGCTAGGTGCTTATGCATGTGCGAGCCTTTGTATTGCTCTGTTTGTCTTGCACGCGACTTCCTGGTGCAGGGCTGGAGTACGATCCATTGGCGACGCCTGGCAGATCTCGGCGCGAGACTGCATCCTGCACTGTCTACCACTACATCATGTACATGGCGTTGTCAATGCTCTCACTGTGCCTCTGTCACTCGGTGCCAGTGTTAACATGCTGCCAAGGTTCGATGCTGAGAAGGTAGGGGTCACAGACACGTAGCTTGTGAGGGGAACGGGGGGGGGGGGGGGGGGGGGGCATGTGCACCCCCTAGAAAAATCCACCTTTGTTCGGCATGTGCATGTGCAGGCCAAGTAGCCATAAAAGGTCTGCTCACCATAGAGCAGTTACCTAGTGGTTCCAGTGTTTCTGGGATGAGCAGCTCAGCGCCTGTTGTGAAGCCAGTCCAATGTCAGTGTGCAATGTCCACGTGTACTTGTAGCTAGCTGTAGCGATGTAGCTGTCTATTTGTCCAATTGCAAATTACAAGCATACTTGCTACTGTTCAAACTCCAAAGTCCAAACCGTTTCAAAGATATTTCGACCGTGACCCCTCTAAAAGGTGGGCTAGCTTTGCCACTGGGTCATATGATACAGGCCAAGGTGCCAAGATCCCCCTCCGTCTCCTTCTCTCCATTCACATACTGCTCGTTTTGGCAGTCAAATGCGCGTGATCATGATGTCACAGACTGGCACACCGTACTTCAGCCATGGCATGGCTCAATGGTTTCGACAACGTGTTAATCTAGATGTTCACCGCACTGAGAGCGTATTGATACTGTAGTACATGTATTGGTGTGGGTGTGGTCCTGCCTGTCATCTCCTTCAGGTCTGGACAGGACTGCTTGGCGTTCCGATGCAGCGCATCAAGGACAATGTGTCCGCCACAGCGCAGCCTAGCAATGCACGGCCGTCTGTGTTCATGGCTGTTCCCACGATGTACGCCAAGCTAATCAAGTATGCTGCGGACTGTCAACTATCTCAGAGCGAGAAGGCGGATGTGGCTGCACGCTGCAAGGAACTAAGGTAGGCCTCTTTCATCTAACAAAAGTGTGAAACTCATCATTATTTTATGCTCTGCCTTCTTTTGTGAGTGCTTGCCTGTTCATGAGCAATGGTGCACTGCGATGTGAAGTGAGGATTGTATGACCAGTGGACAGCGGAGATATAGTATTGCATGGCGTGACGTCATCGTATAGGCCGTTATATCGAAGCTCAAAGCTCCCAGATGTAGTCTAGAATGACCCCAGTGAACAAATGTATAGACTTTGGAGGAAAGGAGGTGAGGTGGCATTATAAACTTGTAAATAATTAAATTGGTCCACACAGTCCGATTTGAAACCCGTATTTCCGTACTCAAAATGATCCCTCCGAAAGAGAATGCCTTGCTGGTCTGCCTCGGTATGCTGATCTTCCACCACATGTACCGGTATGAGTGCTTGATGAATGTGGGCACGATGGCGACTACATCGGGACATCTCTGCATTGTGCTTGCTGTTCAGAGTCATGATATCCGGCTCCGCACCACTACCGGACCCTATACTGCAGGCTTGGCAGGACCTGACAGGTACGGACTGCGCTGAGTGTGCCGACACTGCCAGAGCATTTTAACAATCCGGACTGGTGTGGATGTCATGTAGCGTGTGACCGTTCTGAATCAGTGCAGTGAATACCAGTACTAGAGTAGCTCATCTTCAAACTAACTTTCGTGATATATCTACTTTGAAGCACTATTATGTAGCATTTCAACTGGCCAACACATGCCGTTCCTGATGTAGATGTACAGCCAGCAACCGTGAAGCATTTTTCATTGTTCCTATCCGTAGCTACAAAATAAGTTATAGTAGTACATGCAAGTGATCAAGGATGTACTCAACCCTACCATGCCTGCAATCCTTGTACATGTAGACTAAGTGCAGTTACCTCCATTAATCCTCACTGTTGCACAGGTCATCGCCTGTTGGAGCGGTACGGCATGACTGAGATCGGCATGGGCTTGACCAACCCTCTACATGGTGACCGCCTAGCGGTGAGTTGATTGTATTCGTACAATTATATTCTTACAATAAAACAGAATTGTCTCCCTTGATCTCCGATGAACGAAAATCTCGATTGGAAATACGAGTCGTAACACCTTTTCGTCCTAGTGATAGTGGTCCTAGCTGTAGTAATAGTGGTCTCAGGTGCTTGCCTTGCCAGAGTGGTTGCCTACTGTATCTGAAGTTCTGAACAACAATGTTTTTTTGTGTCCGCACAGGGTGCTGTTGGCCAGCCGTTTCCAGGCGTTGAAGCAAGGATCATGAGCTCTGACAGTGAGGTAAGCCTCGAGGTGGTGTTATGTACAGCTTACATTTGATTGAACCCATTCAGCCCTACTGCAGGTAGCTTCACCCTCTGCACCTGGCTGACATGATATACTTGCGTAAATACGATGCCGAACGAAATTTTATATGGTCCGTTCGAGATTTCCTGACCGATCGTAATTCTGCTAGCGACCGTGAGCTGCACACTCTTACATACATGACGGAGCGCTCGGGTCATGTGAAGGGGTTACTCTAGTGGCAGATGTGGTGTTTGGCGGCCATGGGAATAAAGTGATTCCTGTAGTGCTGCTATGCACAGCGGCGATTTGCGTCATTACCGTTTCATCATTGTTCTGTGATCACTCACTCACACAGGTAATGGTCGAAGGAACGTCGGTGGCAGTATCCACTATGCCCGGCTATGCGGGCGAGCAGGGTGAACTCCAGGTCAGAGGTCCGTCAGTATTCCCTGGGTAAGCACAGGGTACAGGATTATCTGTCTGTACAATCAATCATGCTGTCTTGCAATCAGAGTCAAATACGGAGTTGGAACAATTCACGCGTAACATCCCAGGATACTTTTTAACACTTGAACTACACAAACAATGTGTAGGAGTCCTGCTAAAAGGCACTAGATATCCACCGGTAAAGTGCCGGTTATGAGGACTTGCTTGCTGCCGTGTTAATCGCCATTGTATTCGACTTGGAACGTGATGATACGAAAGGCCTAGTCGAAGCGATATGCCATGTTAATCGCCATTGTACAGTCGTCCCTCTCTAATCCGGCACTTGTTTATCCAGCACCCTTGCAAACCAGCACACTTTCTGGCAAAACGGATTTTTTCAGTTCATTTTCTACGCTTTAATCCGGCACTTGAATTCCGCCTCCGGCAGCGATATTCTGCAACAAATCACTCAAACTGTACATAATTTGATTTTCTAATCCAGCAGTTGTACATCGCATACCGTACCGGTGCCAATATCCTATGCCAGTGCATAGGATATTCCCAAGTGTATGTTAATTGTTATAGACATGGCATGTTACAGACATGCATTCCACAAACTTGTGACAAAGTACTTGGATTGACACAGAAAATCCCTACATTTTGACGTACGACACAAACATGTACGTTACTAGGTGAGCCGGGTTGGAGGGCAGGATTTGATAATCCAGCACCCTTGTTTATCCGGCAGAAAATGCCGTTGCAAAAGGTGCCGGATTAGAGAGGGACGACTGTATTCGACTTGGAACGTGATGGTACGAAAGGCCTAGTCGAAGCTATATGCCGTGTTAATCGCCATTGTATTCGACTTGGAACGTGATGGTACGAAAGGCCTAGTCGAAGCTATATGCCGTGTTAATCGCCATTGTATTCGACTTGGAACATGATGGTACGAAAGGCCTAGTCGAAGCTATATGTGCTTCGTGTGCTGATTTGTTTCCCTCCAACCAAGGGTCTACACTAGATAACCATAATATTATGCTTTTCTGTTTGTTGTTGTTAGACATCTTTATTCTTACAACAATCTTTGGCCAATACGAGAGGTTGTTGTTTTTGTTGTCGTTGGTGTTATGTTATCACCGCTATGCAGTTACTGGCGAAAACCCGAGGCAACAAAGAAGTCGTTCACTGCAGATGGCTGGTTCCTGACTGGTGATACAGCCGGTGAGAATATCCTGCTTTCCATCTCTGCTTGTTCAGTGTTAGCCCGTAATCCTGGATATAACATACCTTTGTGCAGACTCTGCATATCCTCTTGGAGTCACTTGACCTCCAATATAGGGTGCATGATTGTACTCATTGCTTTTACCACCCATGGAGGTTTGTTATACATGTACTGACATTTCAGTGTGGACTCAAGGAAGGGGGGGGGGGACTCAAGGAACCCTGTTTAAGCTATCAGCGCAGTTCAGTGTACAACTGCACGCCCACACTGGCTACACGCTGACACCAAACAAAGTTTTCTGGCTCATCGCAGATCTTTCGCGACACGTTTGTTAAGTCCGTGTGTGTGTGTGTGTGTGTATGTGTGTAATGCTTGTTTTGCCTGTGCCTTTCTCAGTGTACGAGAATAGTGTGTTCCGCATTGTCGGTCGAACGTCAGTGGATATCATCAAGTTTGGTGGCTATAAGATAAGGTAGGCTTGTGCCCATGAGCACTGAGTGTGAAATGGATGAGGAGAGAACTGGATCTAAGCTGCAATAGATTGCCAATTTGTGATGGTAGAGTGTGACCAATTTCGAAAAGGAAATTCCGACTGGAAATGAGTTTTTGGATTGGTTATGTGTATCGTACACACAAAATGTGGTGCTAGTAGTCATTCATACATCTGCCGTCATCTGGGTAACTTCTGTTGTGGTCTTCACCTACACATCATGTCTTCATTCACTAGTTCTTTTAACTGGATGTGAACACATCCTCGTTCAGCACATGCCACAAACCAGTTGTGAATGGCTATGGATGTTTAGTATAGTACCCTGGTATTTCCACTCAACTTTGCTCACTGTCTCTGTCTGTCTGTCTGTCTCTCTCTCCCTCCCTCCCTCTTTCTTAGTGCTTTCTGCTGTTGATTGTTATTATCTTGCTGCTCAGTGCACTGGATGTGGAGCGCTGCCTCCTGGCCCACCCTAGCATCGCTGACTGTGCCGTTATTGGTCTACCAGACACAACGTACGGTGAAGTTGTCACGGCTATTGTCGTAGCAAACACCATGCCAGGGGCTCAGGTGAGAATGCTGCGATTTTACTGCAGTTGCTGGCGAGGTCACATGCTAGAGTTTCCTTGGTCAGTTGGGAGAGTTCTTGCTTCCACTCCTTGTGTGTTTCACTCTCCATGGTGATGCATACTTAAGCCTCTTATTTTATTTTGGTGTACTGGTATCGCACAGTGACCTATCCTGCATAATTAAGAATAGAGGGTATTCTATAGTCATGTGACGGTGTACGTTTCATCCGTACAGGGACTTTGCCAGCGGCTTGCCACCACTTCTGTGCGAAGTCTACTCTCGATATGTCGCGCACTCGATCCTGGAGACGAGAATGCTTGACCTATCGCGAGTGCGCGACTTACATTATGCGCTTTACGTATGAACGTACCTGTCATCTGGATTGCAAAAGCGTGCGGCGTATTGCGAGTGCGTGACTTATCGCACATAGACTGTATCAGTGAAATGTGTACGTGACTAACAAATACCTAAATTAAATGAACAGCAGTAAGTTCCAGTAACCACTCTTCACTCTCTTTGTTTCTCGTGACATTTTCTTCTTGGTAGGATTCTCTCACTATACCATCTCTCGAGGACCTGGCGGAGTTTCTAAAGAAGTCCTTGCCTCCCTACCTAGCACCGCGGCGAATGCACATTGCTCCTGAATTGCCGCGCAACGCTATGGGCAAAGTCAATAAGAAAGAGCTTGCGAAGTTTGTCTTGGACGGGAAATATGATTGCCACTGACACATCTACTCTGCACCACCTGGACAGCGGATAGACATGCCGTGTGCTGTGTGCCTGTGCAAACGTTTCAATCAATCATGCTTTTATGGTAAGGGCAGCTTTACAACAAGATCACAGCCCCTGGCTCTGTTGCCCAGACGTCTGGAGGCGTAGCTCACCCTGCTGGATAAGCAAAGCAAAAAATATGCTGCAGATGTGACTGGCTTTTAGCCTCAGCGTTTTGTTCAGCCATGGCAACACCACAGTGGTCATAATCAAGTAGGTTGCTCTATTGCTCCAAGAGTACTCAATACCCGTATAACGTTAGGGCAGAGCTTTTCGAACAAGCTGGCATGCAATCATGATACTTGTAGATACTGATTATTCACATAGGTACCGAGATGCGTCTATCCTAGAACACGTACACGTAACTTATCATGAGTGGAGATCTGGTATGGTTTATACTCTTTTAAATCTACTAACGTTCGGCAGAATAAGTACAATATTGCTTTTTCTATTTCTTGGCAGGTTGTATAGTTGCTTCGAAAAGAGTGTCTCAGTGATGTAACTTGTTCGACATATTTCGCTCATTCTGGCCCTGTACACAGTACTAGAACCTGCTGTTATTACGTTTCTAAAATGTGGTGAATTGCCCAAGAGGGGAACAAGCTTCCTCAATTACTTACGTACTTCGAAGTAGTTCCAATGTAACTGTCATCACTAAAATAATGCCAAAATGCTTCATGTTACATTATTTATATCATCATCGATCATTCCTAGTTAGTAACCTACCTCCTCTGATGAGCCCTTGTAGATGACAAAACAGGCACCCTACAAGTGCTTAGTAGTTTCCATCACCCTGCCATGCATGTCAAAAAAGCGATTCCGTCTCGCAAGATCTGTTTGCTGAAGCATCAAAAGAATTCTCATGGAGAGAGAGAGAGAGAGGCACACACACACATACACACACACACGCGCGCGCGTGCGCACAGACACACAGACACACACACAGCAAGGCAGAGCATAATTATCTGGAACTACAGTGCTGGCAACTGAAATCCGACCGCCAGAGAGATGCACTCACATAGCAAAGACCCAGCACGGGATTGTAACACTACAAAATAGAGACTGCTATGGTGCTGCACTCGGGCACGAAAATCAGGAGTCGGATTTCAGTTGCCACCACTGTAGTTAATTCAGACACATGCCGCGCACACCACACCGATACTGCGGCAATATCTGGAACTACTTCAGTAGAGAAGTCACGTTCAAATGTGCCAGTTGGGACTGATCTGTAGCAAAGGCCAAAAATAAACCGGAATTATCATCACACTCCAGAGAAACTAGCTAGTCAAGGAATAAAGAACAGGATAAACTAAGAAATAGAAACACAGACATGTGGACCAGACTGAACTACCATGGTATGAATATCGAGCACGCTGCAAGTACAGTGACTAACAATCAGACATACGCGTAGCACACTTACATGCAGTTGGCCTGCATTCCCTAAACAATCTAAGAAATTCAACAACACAAAGCGTACACTAGAATGTACGCACACTCATAAAGGGCAAGGTTAATCAAGGAGAAACTAGGGGTCCAACGTCCGAAAGGTCCGCAAGAAAAACTGATTGATACGCACGATGGAGAGGATAGTTTTAACGCCAGTGACACACACCCACGCACACACTGGAGAAATTCTGACTGTCACGAAACGCTTCACCACTCCTGCGTTGGGTCATATTTGGCAGGCGGACTGCTAACTTGGGCTGGCGGTGTTGTTGCTGTGCTGGATTCCTTCACAGAAGCATCTGGCGATGTCGGTGCTGATGGAGACGCTAAGGCTGGCTGCGATGAAGGTGGTGATTCAAGACGTGCAGTGCTGTCCGGATGTGTCCAGTTCTCATCACAGATGCTAGCCCAGTCGATTGGTGTTTTCTGCTGCTTGCAAAGGAGCTCATTGGCACGTGTGAAGTGTCCACAGCCAATAAAGCCACGATGAGCGGACAACGGTGACGGGTGTACACACGTCAAAACATGATGCTTCCGCTTGTCGATTGAGGCACCCTTCGTCTGAGCATGCTTTCCCCATAGGAGGAAAACAACGCCAGAGAGGTTTTTGTTCAGCCAAGAAATAACGGCATCGGTAAGCTTCTCCCAGCCCTTTCCTTGGTGTGAGTTTGCCTCATGTGCGCGCACGGTAAGGACAGTATTCAGCAATAGTACTCCTTGCTGCGCCCAAGTGCTCAGGTCGCCGTGTTTCGGACGTTTGAACCCGCTCAGGTCTCGCTCCAGTTCGGTATACATGTTCCTCAGACTCGGTGGCGGCGTCTGTCCCTTCTTGACGCTGAAGCACAGGCCGTGTGCTTGGTTCGGCCCATGGTAGGGATCTTGGCCAAGGATTACAACTTTGACGTCCTGAGCACGGCACAGGTTGCTCCAGGAGAATACCTCTTCTTCCGGTGGGTAGATTGTTTTACTCTGCCTCTCACTTGCCACAAATTTCTGAAGTGTGGTGTAGTAGGATTCGCTGAACTCTGCAGCCAGTGCCAGTTTCCAGCTGTTGCCAATACCACCCGGGCTGGACGATTGGCTGGACCTGCGACGCTCCAGTGCTGCTTGACGATTCAGTTCTGCTCTCTCTAACACGGCCTGAGTGGATTGGGAATCACTTGCGCTGCTGCTACTGCTGCAAGACTCCGCCGAGGTCTTGACCCGTTTGGCGGGTGGTGCAGCTGCAACCATGGAGGCTGGACGCTTGAAGAAACTGTGCAGAGAAGTTTGAGCCATTTCTTCTCTCAATCAAACTGCCGATTTGAATACTAGTAGGAGAATTAATTGGTGCACGGGCTGCTCCACATAACCCCCGCGCCCTTCTTGCGAACACACCTCGATTTCTTATTGGCAATGAGGCGCGAAGCATGCACTTGCTCAAACAGAATTGTGTCGGTACTTGGTAATGTCGAGAAAGCTTTCTTGATCTTGCCCTTCTAATCGAGTTTTGCACTGGCTCTCCTATACCATTGTATACTGTATCGTGCTTGCCTATTTTTAGTATTTTTGCCTTGGACATCGAAATGGAAAACGACGACGCTATCATTTTCGTACGCTCATATTTCCCGCCATTTCGTTGTGGGACACGTGATGCTCGCTGCACACTGCACAGTGCGCTGTACATGATGCGTCAGTGCAGTGCTGGCAACTGAAATCCGACCAAGGGGTCGGATTTCAGTTGCCAGCACTGTACTTGAAGTAGTAGTTGTGTGAACAGACTCACGATCACAAACACACGGCAACGAAATCCGACCCTTGGACGTAGCAGCAAATGGAGTGTGGGGAGGGCGGTTCCAAGTTCCAACGCACCTTCTTCGACGTTCGTGTTTTCAACCCTTTTGCGCCTTCGAACCAGTCCTCCTCCATTTCTGCCATCTGCTCTAGTAATTAATGGTTCATGAATTCGCCCAGTCCACATTCCTTCTCCGTTTCTCTCCGTTTTTCTTTCCTTTTCAGTTGCATCTTCCTTTCTGCTCTGTTTTACTTTCTCTTTTCGTTCATCCCTCCGAAGTTGATGTATTTGTACTTTGTACTGTTGAGGCAACGAGCTGAAACAATAAAAACCAAACCAAACCAAACCCAAACCAACCAAACCTACGTTCGCCATGAGAAAGCGAAGACGGTCGTACGAAGTGAGGCTGCGGGAGATCGAGCATGCTTCATTTGTCCCGTTGGTCTTCTCGACAACCGGTGGCATGGGCAAGCAATCTGTCTCGCTTTACAAGCGTATTGCATCCCTCATTGCTGAGAGAAGCAGCGAACCGTATTCCGTTGTAATGGCTATCATCCGCTGCCGCCTTAGTTTTGCTTTGCTCAGAGCAAGTGTCATGTTGTTGATCTTTATTTTTACTTCGCAAGGCCAAACGGGCACTGGTGCCCAATTTTATGGGAGAGAATTTCAAAACGGGAGAGAGCTACGGGGAGAGAGAGAGAGAGAGAGAGAGAGAGAGAGAGAGAGAGAGAGAGAGAGAGAGAGAGAGAGAGAGAGAGAGAGAGAGAGAGAGAGAGAGAGAGAGAGAGAGAGAGAGAGAGAGAGAGAGAGAGAGAGAGAGAGAGAGAGAGAGAGAGAGAGAGAGAGCTTGTGCTTGTGCACACACATTGTATGACCTCTTTGTGTTGCCTCTGTTGACGCTGCAAAATCGCTCATCCTATCTCCCGTGCTAAATTACATAGCAATTTGTTCTTCGCTGTTACCCCAACCACACGTTGATGCGCCCACCACGCGCCACTAATCCATCTCCTCCGATGTCCCTACTAATAACCTCACTGCTTCCCTCTCTCTCTCTCTCTCTCTCTCTCTCTCTCTCTCTCTCTCTCTCTCTCTCTCTCTCTCTCTCTCTCTCTCTCTCTCTCTCTCTCTCTCTCTCTCTCTTCTCTCTCTCTCTCTCTCTCTCTCTCTCTCTCTCTTGCCCAATTCTAATTGAGCATCATTATCCGTTTGGCCTTGCGAAGTAAAATAGAAATCAACAACAACAACAACAACAACAACAACAACAACAACAACAACAACAACAACAACAACAACAACAACAACAAACATCGATCGGAATGTTGATGGATTCGAAGCACTGCATGACACTTCCAGCAGCTTCAGCCTTGCTTCAGGGAATCTTGCTCATCTGGTATGTGGTGTTTGTAACCTTAAAACATTGATAATGATTTCATTACAGGATTTCCTAAAGGCCCTACACAGCCTATCGGGAGATCTTCATTGTGCGGAGACACTAACTGTGCGTTTAAAGTACCAGCAAGTACACGTACATGTATGTGATGAGAAAGAGAGGAACGTGACTTGCGCTTTGAGCGGCAGATTGCCTACAAGACTTAGTGTAGAGCCGTTGTAGTACAATGAAAAAAAAGATTATAGTCTTTACTAAGATCTTGGAGCTGGACCCCAGGAATGGTGCCATACTGCCATTGATGACCTGCCCTGTTGGTCCATGTCCTTGGCTGGTGCTTTGGCCATCACAAATAGTCAAATACACAATACTAATAGTAGCCTACATGATTGTAACCCGGTTTTTCGGAGCAATACAATACTATTATTCATGCATCTCCTGAAATAAGGCTCTAAGTAAAGGGTTAATCACGTTGCTGCAGTATCGGCCAAGTACCCTCAGACGTCATCAATCAAAGGCATGCTATGTAGGTAGTTGAAATCCATCACACTTCACAGATACTGCATCCATCGGGTACTGGGTAAGGTCTGTGGAAGTAGAATGCCGATGGAAAAGGTGACACATCGACATGGGGGTAGGGGCAGCCTCACCCGGACCCATCCCAGGGAGCACATAAACAGCATATCACCACGAGCTACTCACTGCCTAGATTCCTAGGCTAGCTCACTGCTCACCGAGTCACCGCACCCCTGGCGACCTTGGGCCATCTCAAGTCCAGTACAGTAGAACCTGCCTTAGCGGACACCTCTCAACAATGGGGTCATGTATTGTTCAGGACACGCTGTCCCGAGCTCCCAATGAAGTGAATCAAGTGATATGACACAAATTGCATTGTCAATCTCAGTATGTACCCAGGTCACCTTCCTCAGATACATGTACGATATGGTATATCTACATGTAATGATGTATGTCTGGTCTCGGGGAGTTGGAGGAGAGGTGCCGCTGTTCATATTAGTGTATCACACGTCGCCAACATGAAAATTATGAGAGAGCTTCTCTGTTGCTGGATATTGCATGGGGAGTCAGCTAGTGTGAGCAGCTTTCATCTGCTCAAACGGTTTAACCAATGGCACAATCGTCGACATAGAGTGTATGATCATGTGCATAGCGAGTCACGGTACAATAGTGATTCACCCCGTGGTCAGGTAGTGCAAGCCAGTTCTTCTGATCTGCCAGGAGGTAGCCATGAACTGTGAAGGTGTTCTCAGTCTCTAAGAGTTTGTCACGCAGGGGTAGTAGGAATAGTTACCGGGCCTTCCTGGCTTCCAGCCACCGGCTTTGATAGGGCAAGAATGCTGGATAAACTATAAAGTTCCAGCCCCTCACCGGGTCAAAACAAAAGGCTTCACGTAGATCTACGGGCCGCGGGTATGCTTGGCTGAATGCCAAATAATTTGGGTGACATCAAGCACCTGTTAACATGTTGCCAGCACGATCACTAGGCAATGGGCTGTGCAATATACGTTATACTTATATACCCAGAGAAGCGGGGCCTCTTTTTCTAAGCCAACCACTGCATGAGGGCCTCAGCGAATTGTAACAGATGCAATCACAAATATCACGTACTCAGTCCACTCACACAGCTCACAGAGTCCCAGGCAAATGGTCAATGCTTTCCTGAGAGGCAGATTCTCAGTTTAGCACGATTAACGTTGCACCGACGCTGTGGTGAATTTGATTAACAATGCGAGTTCAGCGATTGGTGGTGCCTGTAGCCTGTAGGTTGGTCAGGCCTCTTTCATGAAAGACAACCCCCTGAAGAGGTCCTTGGCGAAGCGCGACAAATATCGCAAATATCACGTAGTCCACTCTCACAGTGCTTGGCACTGGAATGCACTGTTGAGTTGAAGCTAAGCCCGGAGGCCACGTCTGTCCTACCGTCCAGTAAAACAGTTCACCGCAAGCCCCATCTCTCGCGGAGTGGCGAGGCTTGAGCTCCCGGCCATCCCAGCTCCCCAGTGTCATCTGGAGTGCTTGCCTCTCCCGGATGAAGAAGGCCTGCCGCACAGCGTGCGTGCAATGGGTGCAGGGGTGCAGGGGTGGTGAGTGTATAATAAGTATACATTGTACTACTTCGAGTGCAAGAACAGGTCCGAGAGACTGAGCTGAGCTGAATTCAGTGCACACACCTCGAGTGCGCCTTTCCAGAAGCGTCCTGTCGTCTAGACACCCATGTTCTATGTCCTGCAAGTATTATTAGTTTGTTACTGCAAGGACGTCGCTACTCGATCCCGTTCTGGAAACTGACTTAAACACACTTTGCCAGATGAACCGCATTTGTTGAACAACATCTAACTTAGCAGACACCACACGGTTGCTGGCTCAGAGCTTACGGTCCAACGAAGTCCGGGACACAACTCGAGGTGCTTGAGTGCGTGTGGAAGTGCTGAACGTCATTGGTAGATCTACATGCGGACATTGTACTTTGTAGTCACCATCGCGGGTAGATACGCGGAACACACCCGTCCGGACTCTCCCCGGCCGCGCCACTCCACTTCAGATAGGTTTTACCGGTGCGACGGCACAGAGCGCAAAACTGGTTGAGCGGTTCGCGTGTGCGGCGCGGGACAAAACCATCCTTTTCGCAGCGCAGATACACACAAACATGTAAATGATGTGAAGCAAATGCAAGCTTTGTGTGAGTGCTATTTCAAGTATTACTAGTAGTAGTTCAACTAGTTGTAGTTCTTTGCAGTGTACCAGGGCGTACCGCACACAATGACTCCTATCCTACACACGCTACAGATTACACGGCAGACTCCAGCTAGGTGTACTTGATGCACACACAACAACAACAACCAAAATGCGCTGAACTCCATGCTATTGATTACTGTGCCGTAGTAACGACTTCTCTGTACTGGCACGTTTTCGTGGGTTCGTCGAAACCTGCGGACGGTGTTGTTCGACTGGACGAAGCTCCGGAGGTCGACGTGGTCGAAGCGTGACGGTAGTTTCACCTCCGGTGGGCTTAGCTAAGCTTCTAAGAAGTGAGCTGAGAGCCAGCCTTACCGACCGTAACAGATTCCTAGGCGGCGAATGGTCGTCGCTTGGCTGGCCGCTGTGCCAGGACGTCGTGAGAACCATGAAGGTGTGGCGTGTGGTGAATTCGCTAGTCCTGTCCGCTGTGTTCCGCTTGATCTATCTCAGCCAACTTGATGCGGACGATCGCGTGGAACTGCGGCAAGCCCAAATAGCTTTCACGGATCGCTACTCACAGTCAGCCGCCAATAGAAGACTAACACCGCACGTGGAAGAAGGTCTGGTCGACGGCGGCGGAGATCTTCTCTATTCACGGAATGGAGTCCGGGTCAGGCAGACCTCACATAGGCCAACCAGGGACACCTCAATCAACCGACCCCGACGTGGCGACAAGACAAGGAGCAGTGGCCGTGCCTGGATGGCGTTACATCCGGAAGGCGGCGTTCACGCGCTGTCCAGGCCCCGTCGCTCGGCAGCCGATGCTGCTGGTAGATCTACTGCGCGGCACGAGCGAGGAACCCATGAGCACGACGTGTCCGGTCCAGAGAAGGCAGTCAGGCGGAAGCGGCACGACGACGGCGAACATTGTGCTAGAGTTATATCACCGACGTCTATACACTGCGCGCTGGGCAGACCAGGAGGTGTGCAGCTCAGGTTTGGAAGCTCGTTGGACGGCTCCCGACAGGTAAGTGAATACGGCCAGTAGATGTACATCTACCGAGAGAAATAGAAAATTGAATGTTTACCATCAAACTTACTTTTACCTAACCTACACTCAAGGCATAAAATGGAGTTAGTAGTTAGTGACAACATCGATACAACTATAGGTTTGTTCGATTGACAGCATGAAACAAGGTGGAGGACACTGTGTTCGGTTATATTATACCAACTATAGATTCAAGTCTAGTTGCTTTGGTTGATCGATTATGCCAAGTTGACATTCAAAGGTTCACTCTGTTTCGCTCATCCTGGATTTGAGCGCGGTTCACCTGTGATGTCTCTTGTGTGTGTGTGTGTGTGTGTGTGTGTGTGTGTGTGTGTGTGTGTGTGTGTGTGTGCGTGTGTGTGTGTGTGTGTGTGTGTGTATGTGATCGAGTCACGGACATAGCTTTGTGGTGACTTCAATAAAAAATTTTGTCGCAAGAATAAGAACTGTCACCGGATTGTTTTGGCAGGAGCGCTTTCCAAAATGGACCATAAAATATCATGGGTCCAATAATGGCCCTTCAGTTTTGAAGATGGCTGTGGGCTTCAGTGTGTCCGTCGCCATGCAGCTGAGCAGCTTATGTCTGAATTTAGCCGTGTTTGTCCTGATGGCCTGGGAATGAAACTCATTGTCACAAGCATCAGTGTACTCAGTGTAGTACTAAAGTGCATGACTTGTAGACTTTTTGTGCATTAACATACTGACTGAGATGCAATGCACCCCATAATTATTTCAGCTGCTGCCTTGGCCAGGGCCGGCCCAGTGGGCAGTGACAAGGTATAGAGTGCTCCGATGATGATGGCGAGATTCCCTTGCAGCATCAGCGCCCCATGCTCACTGCTCATCATATCCACCAATCTTGTCAAGAGATCCAATCACTGGCCTTTGTGCAGAGTGTGGCCTGTAGACCCTTGTTGGGATGCAGCTAAGTAGCCAAGGTGTCAAGTGCTACGTTGACAAAAGACAGGGCTCAAACTCGGGACTCAAAACAAAAGCCACAAGCCAAGAAACCAACACCTTGAGTTGCATAGATAAATCCCAAACTGGGCGTGTGACACAACCTTTACTCATCATCATCAGTAACTGAGAACTAGCGGACCACTCCCTTGCCTCCCTTGTCGCTGGACGGAGTTTGGGACTGGTCTATGTGCTTCCAGTAGATGCTACTTCACGTGGCTACACAAGCTGAGGGAACAAGCCAGGCTGCAGTCACGTGCCAGCCGTGCTACATTGCAGTGACATGCTAGCCGTGCCCATGACGATGTGCTAACAGTGCCCATGACAATGTGCTAGCCATGTCCATGACACAACCATGGGGCATGGGTACCCAAAAGGGTCTCAGCAACAGGCTTACATGAAACTCAGAGTGTGCAGCTCGGACAGGTTGGTGTCATGGCGAAATTCCAGGATTACTCGTACATCACTTAATTCATTTTAGTAATGTAGTGCGTACAAGCAAGATTCACATGGATCTCGTCCTGCAAAATTGCAGCTCACGCGTACACGCTACGCCATTTACCGCCGCTTATTGGCACCAACTATGATGTAGTCCCGGAATCGCCATGACAGACACCCATGCAATAAAGGTCACGAGCTGCATACTCTGGGTTTCATGTACTCTGTCTTAGTCAACCTCAGCTTTCTGTCTACCGCAGTGTCTTGTATTTAAGCCTTTTTTCCAATATACAAACCTGTTTTGTATACAAGCCTGTTTTTAAGATACACTGTCAGCACATACGCCTGGTTTTAGTGTTGACATACATAGAAATACGTTGTTTGAATAGAAGCCTGTCTCAAATAGAAGCCTGCAAAATTTCACCAAGAAATGTCATATAAGCCGCGGCTTTTATACACGACTGTACGGCACTTGTATTCGAATGCTAGGCACATGAAGTCCTACACTGTGACATTATCATCTGACTGATGTTACCAGGCGAATGTACCTGATTAATGCATTATGTCATAGCATGACATCAACAGAGCATACCGTTCTGATGACATCGTCGTCCTCTGCTTGTTCTCTGATAGGTGGGCCGGAACATGACGTTCGGCGAGACTTCATTCCTAGACCTGGAGCTCGTCGGCACGGAGAAGTACTTCATCATCAACGGCAATGGTAAGATCACATGACATGGGAACTGCCTCGCTATACACCGTGTTCGCTGTGCAATGCGGCATGTGACATTTACACATACCCAGTCCTACACATACCCAGCCCTACACATACCCAGCCCTACACATACCCAGTCCTACACATACCCAGTCCTACACATACCCAGTCCTACACATGCGAGCATACAGTCAACTTTGCGTATAACCACACTCGGTGGGGCATCAGAAAAGTGTCCTTATTCGCGAAGTCTCCTTATTATGTATTACAGTTGAATGGGACTTTGCTCTGGGCATGGAAATTCTGTCGTTATTCGCGAATTGTCGTTATATCTGCAGTCGTTATTAGCGAAGTTGACTGTACTCAGTCATGCACGGTACGAGCCTGTCACCTGACTCGCATTGGGGGTGAGGAGACGGCTATGGTCATGTTTTGTCGATGATGTTTCTGCTTGTGTGTACGTGCAGACGTGCTGGAAGGTCTGGTTGGTGACGAGGAAGAGTTACTGCCGTGCGAAAGTCAGACGTTCATAGTGGTGGAAGCGGATCACCTGGGCAGGCTGACGGCCGAGTTCTTTGTGTTCTACGCACAGCCCGTGGGTGCTGGATACTCGGCGGTGTTCATTTACAACGGGCTGGAGGGCATAGACTGTTCAGTTAACGGTGTAGGTAAGTAACGTTAGAGCACGCAACTCTCCAATCAATCAGTGTGCAGAGCAGAGTGCACGGTTCTTTTCACACTGCCAGTGGTCACAGTAAGCCACCATCACTCACGGTTAGAAAGTATGTACTATGGCTGTCTGAGCAGATTTGTGCACCATATCCGGCAGCATAAGAGCCGGACTTTGAGACTTCAGTTACCCATGTCTGTCCCCGGGGAAACATAGCCAGCAATCGCATGTCATCTCGTACATTGAAAATCAACATAATTTTGCGAATCGACCTTTTTTCCAGGATCACTTTTCAACGAGGACGAAGCAAAGTCGGCCGAACGAAGCCTAGAGGAAGAAAATCACCCTCTCCACTTCACCATCACGATACTGACATAGATACGAGATGAAACAACTAAAAAATTCACAAGAAAACTGTACGACCATCATCGCGCTGACTTTGGTCTGACTTTGGTCTGAGAATTTCTATCACGATCAAAAATGTACGGGGAGCACTCAAAAATCAGCCACAGACGTACCTTTATCGCTCTCTACTCCTTTTTCAAGGCACAAAAGTCGACTCTCCACTTTCAAACCAGGAACCAGACATACCAGTGGTCCTTTTCAGCTGCTCCACGAGCGCAGGAAATGTTCACCAAGGGGCGCAGAGCAGCATCCATTCCAGAAAAATAGCTAAAATACGAGTGAGACTGCATGCCTGAGTACATGAGTACATGTATGAGTACCTGCAGAAAATAGTCAATTTCAGCGTTTCTGCTCCAAACAGCAACCAGCTTCGACTAGAAACAAAGATTACACCAAAGGATCAAACAACAACGATTTTCTGCAGTTTTTTTTGCAGTTGGCTTCCTTGTGCTTGGCCCAGCACGCCAAAAATCACACCTCGGAGGAGTACAAAAATTACAACTCTCAGATGTCCTTGATTGCTGGCCATGATTGCGATTCCGCGGCTGCGTTTTTTTCCGCGTTTTTGCGATTTTTAAAAAACCGCGTTTTCCGCGGTTTTTGAACTTTTTTGTTGCACTACACGTACACACAGTGCACTGTTCGGTCAGCAACGTCTCATCGTGGCGGCTTTTTACTCAAATATGACGAGTGCTTACACCAGAGACTTGTAACTGATTGATTTCACTACATACTCATTGAAAATTGCCGCACATCAATATTATTCACCGCATATTTACCGCATATTTACCGCAAATTCACCGCAAATTATGCCATATTATGCCGCGTTCCCCCCCCCCCCGCGTTTTTTGCGATTTTTTCCGCAATTTTCCCCGGGGACAGCCCATGTGTAGCTTCAACGGTTCCTGATGAATAGCCTTTGAAGACATCGGCATACATGCATTATGTCATTATGTTCTACTGTTAGCATCAGCATTATCTATCACTGTAGGGCTCTCCCCCCCCCCCCCCCCCCCCTCTATCTATCTGTCTGTCTGATAGTCCATCCGTCTGTCTGTCCACCCATCTATCATGCATATCCTGTCTGTTTGTTATTATTGTGTATCTGATGATCGCCCTTTGGCGTGAAACTCGGAGTTACAAACAATGACTTGTTCCCTTTGTGCATTGTGTGTGTGTGTGTGGGGGGGGGGGGGGGGGGGGGATGTGTCTATCCGTGCACGTGTGTGTTTGTCTACATGCATCTCTTGAATCTCTCTAAAACTCATTGTTTTGTCATCGTTGCTTCATTGTTTTATTGTTGTTTCATTGTTTTATTGTTGTTTCATTGTTTTATTGTTGTTTTATTGTTTTATTGTTGTTTCATTGTTTTATTGTCATTTTCATGTTGCGATGTACAGACGTGATAGGCTATGATCCAGAGTTGGTTGATCATGAGCCTCACCGGAGCTCTGTGTGGAGGATAGGTAGGAATCTGACTCGCTCCAGCCTGACCAGCGTGCAGTTCCCAGTTGGAGATTTTGAGTTCAAGGTGAGCTGCTCAAGACATGCACACGCGGACAATGGTGCACGCCAGGCTCTGTCTTTCAACAATGCATGTGCATGTTCTTATATCAAACTGGAACCAGAAACAGGGCTATACTAATGATCCAGGGCACACTTGTGGCTGTGCTTTTCTCTGCAGACGGTACTGCACGGCGCAGTGGGAAGCCAGTGTGATTTCCAGCTGGCCCCGTCCATCACAGCCCAGAACTTATTCCAGTCGGGCGAATCCATGCAGTACTTTGTGACCATAGCGGGAAAGGTTGGCGGAGAACATTTCTCGCCGCAGCTCTTATGGTGCCCGAGCAAACGTCTGCCGGTTTGGCCCGCAGGGCGCCATAACAGCCAGCTTGTTATCATCAATGCCTACCGAAGCAAGGAGAAAACATCCATCTACATGCCTTTCAACAACGTAACGGTATGGTGCTAGTATAGCTTGGACACTCTTGCGTGGACCCTGCACAAAATGGATCCAGCGCATGAGCGATTTGGTGGACCGATATAGATTTCCTGTCGCCAAAATAATATTATTTAATATTTATGCAAGCGGCAGTGGAAGACCCAGGCTTATTCGGACCCGATTATACACAATCTCAGTCATCCAGACAAGTATTTTCCAGGAGCTGAAGGTTATTAAAAAAAACTTCAAATCAAAACAAAGTAGTCGCCAGACAAGAATTGAAACACTAGTACAGTCGTCCCTCTCTAATCCGGCACTTTATAATCCAGCACCCTCGATAAACCAGCACAATTTTCAGTAGCCAAAATGTCCTCTTCATGCACATTGCAGCAGTAAATCAGATTTGTTAATCCAGCACCCTCCCTAATCCAGCAGATTTTCGTCGCACAAATGGTGCCGGATTATAGAGGGACCACTGTATGCTTTTCCCCAGTTATGCAGATGGTTTAATACACTACAAGTCAAATATTGCGGCATCTTCATGCATGCTCGCGACAGCCCGTACAGATTCCGGGAGTTGCCCAGACTAAATGGGTTGCCAGTAGCCAGAAGTTGTCGTAGTCAGTGAGTCCCAATGGTATAATTATTGTTTTGTTGATGTGCAGCCAGTGTTCTTGCATGGAACCACGACTGTGCACACCGTGATTGCCACTTGGCTATGTATCATGGCGATGAAGATCAGCCTTCCGCCGTGTTCATGCTGTTGTTTGTTTGCGTTTTGTATGTACACAGCTTAGCTTTGATTACACGGCAGTAGCTTCAAGGACCGTGGCGCTCAGACAAGGTGACTGCGTGCAAATCACCAACGGCAACAGTAAGTCCATGCTACATCCACAGTAGTGGTAGATTTTTCTTTTGACCAGACGACACTTGCAGACACCAGCACGAACGCAGCACCAGTCACATTCCACAACAGCCAGAAGTTGCTCCTGAAAAGCCTTGTTTCGTTCCATTATGCTGTTGGGAACTCATCAGAACTCATCTGATCAAAAGAAAAATCTACCCGACTATTTGACGGACCTACTGAAGATGGCATCAACAAAATTATATCCACAGTGTCAACTTTTCCTCGGCATACAGCATCATGTAGTAATGCATATGTAGGACGCCTGGCAAAATCAGGTCCGGGGCAAAGCAAGGATCCATGAGCTTAGCTCACTCTCCGCGTGGGTTAGCTATCAGTGGGCCTGGTGAGTGTTTGCGTGCATGCCACCCAGACCTCCACAGACACTCGATACACAGCATGCAGCTCTTCATGCAACATACAGTTGACATCTACACGTCCAGGCCCGCCAGAGCCAGTCCAGTTGGTCCAGTTATTGCCGGACCAATTGTTGGCCGCCAGCGCGTGTTTACTGCTGAGGTGATCATGTATGTCACCCATCATAGCGTTATCGTGTATACTCGTCATAGCGTTATCATGTATGTGACCCATCATAGCGTTATCATTAGGGCTCAAACGGTCACGGTTTTACCCCTGACGGTTAACTGCTAAGCTAACGGTCGGTTAACCGGTTATAACCTATAAGCCACGGCAATCCTGCGGACTCGTATATTTGACTGTACTCTTTCAAAAAATGTACCCTATTCAGTACAACGCACATTAAATTTTGTACATTCTCTTGCATGCTCATTCATACTCTCACACCAAGAGACCAGATATGACCGAGTTGACAGCCCAGAAATTGCGTACGCGTGCGACAGCCTGCGAAAGTGCATACTTTGCAACGACTTGATACTTGAAAAATTGACTGAAAAGTTACTGCGTAACCGTTATCTTTATCGGTTAACCGTTAATTCTTCGTAACCGGTCTGCAACCGGTTAATCGGACTAATTGTTTGAGCCCTAGTTATCATGTATGTGACCCATCATATCGTTATCATGTATACCCGTCATAGCGTTATCGTGTATACCCGTCATAGCGTTATCATACACAAAATACGAAAAGGTATGGTATGGCCGCACCAATCAAAAACTACCTCCAGAATTCCTGGTTGCAGTGTTGAAATCACCGTGCAGCATTGTTCTTCGCTATACCTCTGTGCGTGTCTGGTGGTGTTCTCAAGTTGCTTACAACTCCTCCAAGGTGACTCTACATGATTGTATTTGCTCTACCGCTTGTGTTTACTGTGACTAGGGACATTTCGTAATATCATCCACCCAGACCCGATCACAAGTTACAGCACTTGCATTGCTGTGCCGGAGGCGGATATCTACGGCAATATCAGTTGCTATCTGCACTGTCACAGTGGCGAGGCCATACTGTCACCACCTGGCCTCGCCGAGGTGTTTATCTACAACTCTCTCATCCTGGGCAGCGATGCTGTTGTCGGTAAGCAAGATGAATCTCCTGAATAACGCAGCTGTCTCACGGTATAGCCTCTTTCCTCCTGAAGTTACATAGCTCTCTCTCTCTCTAAAGCCTCTTTCCTCCTGAAGTTACATAGCTCTCTCTCTCTCTAAAGCCTCTTTCCTCCTGAAGTTACATAGCTCAGTGTCTTTAAAGCCTCTATCCTCCTACGCACTGATCACATCTCATCAGAGTATCAGCAATTCTCACAGCTGCATGCATGCTGTGCCAGTCTCAGTCTCCAGCCATGCAGGCATGTACAGGAAATTGACGTTAATTTTCCATATGGACCCTAGAATAAGAAAGCTCCATACCCGTGCACCCCTCAATATCTATACACTAGTAAGTAGATGTGAACTGATTGCGCTACGGTTACCCATACATTACCGTATGATGGGTACCCAACAATCCACCGTGAGCATTCAAAGAGTATGATAGGGGGGCATCTGCGAGATGTTCGACCACTTTTCACGTATCTTTTCTGCGCATACGGCTGCACATAACCCAGTACACTGTGCGCGCACTTTCGCTTCTTTCGGCTTGCCGGGATAGTTTCATGTCTTGGAGGAACAGTTACGGGAGCTTTCAGTACGGCCCTGAAATGTGCTTTCCGGGGCAGTGGGTCTGGGCTTGATGGGCGCCGGCGTTGCATGCCTGCATGTGGTGTACATGATGATAAACATGATTATGGATGACCCATTATACTGTAGTAGCATTGTGTTACTTTGTACTTGAGTAGTGAAGTGGTTAATACTTCCAAGTACTAGTTATATTGAATGCCGTTTTCGAAGGCAGGAAGCTTATAATGGCTAGAACAAAATTACAAATTAAATTTGTTTAATAACTCTTCACCACCATCATCATCAGGACTCATAGACTCAAGAATTTCACAAACCATGCAGCTTTCGTGCATTTGCGCATTCTCGTCAAGTGACATGCAAGCAACAAGAACCAATGAAACGTATGGATAACTAGCATCACGAGTAGCATCACAACTACCGGTACATAAGCATGGTTGTCTGTTCTATGTGTTGTCTCCTGTCTGCAGATGTCATTGCCTATGGTCATCATGCCACCGAAAGGACGTTGCTGTCAGTTTTGAAGAATGTGCGGCATGGCGACGGCCAGTCGGTCTTGCTGCCTGTTGGCATGTACGAATTCAAGGTGAGTGGGCTGTGGGGCTGGGATGGTGACAGTCGCGGTCTACAGGTATACTAGAGATGCTCACTATAGGCCATTCTTCCAAAATAGTCCACTGGCTTTTGAAAGCCCGATTTTGGCCAAATTGAGGCTCAAAACCTCACTTAAAATTTGAAAAACCTGGGTTTGGGATATGCTTTTCCATGTACTTTGCCATGGCATACTTGTCCTAATTTCGTAAAACCAGGCTGAATTCATAGTTTGTTTGGGAAGCATACTGTATAAAATGTACAACTATGACAGTGGATGATGATCTAGTTATACTCCATGGCTTGACCACTGACGCTAAATCAAATGGACAGTATCAGAAGGCGCTGTCTTGCATTGCCTTTGCCGGAAAACCCGGGCCCAACATGTGCAAGGGATTCCCTCAAGCAGCATAATGTTTGTCTCCGGAAATAGGCAATGAATCCATTATTTAGAAAGTAGTATATGCATCTACGCAATATCCACATCTATCTTGTAAAACCAAAGTTTTGTCACTTTACGTGGTTGATGTTAGTCCCTTCAGGAATGTTATGAAAACATTTTGAATCTATCAATAATTACCAATTTACATTGTCCGCTTCCAGTTCTGCGAAACACTCACCTTGTACTAGGACAAACTAGCCATAGACTGTGACTCATGATGCTGATGCTGTAAGGGGTTGCCGGGCTTCTCACCGTCTCATCATTGTTTTTGTGATTGTTCATGCACCTATGCAGGTGGTCTACAAGGATACGATTCGTACGGTCGACGATTTTCACAATGCGCCCACCCTTGTCAACATCAGCCAGGTCTTCTTCTTATCTCAGGTTAGGGATCCAATGTGTCATGAAGGTTGTGTTGTTACGGCTGGCCAGCCGCAACAACACAACCTTCCTTTTCCAATGGAGAGATCAAAGCTGACACTTTGTAGTGAAGGTAAAAATGTATACGTAGCCAAGGCAAGTGTGCTTTCTCTCAGCTCCCATTGTTTCCGCTGACAATAGTACGAATTTACTACACTGCATTGTGGGTCTTTATATTGCACACGTGTAGCCTGTAGTCAATTCTGACCGTTGTATTTGCCTTGTGTTGCCTGTATATTGGTGTTGCAGATGAACTACTATGCGTGTCTCATGGGCAGCATCCTGGAACCCGATTACCCACCCGTCATGGTCATCAGCCCGCGAACGACGCTTGCCGACTTCGGCACAACGCAAGCAGTGGCAGTGACGGGTGGAGTACGGAGAAGTCAAGCCGCTGCACTGCACGCGAGCGCTGGCATACTGGTAGCTGTGACAGCATCCCTGCTCCTGACCGCAGTATTAGTCAGCTAACGTATAACCCTCTGCCAACTATCTTGAGTTTCCTGATGACTGCAGTGTGCTGGGCCGCACCAGGAGATGGGGATGAGCATACTAATCATCACGAATGATGGGTGAATAATCGGGAGATCGATGTTGGAGATCGCGTCCCAGTTTCTTCAAGACAACGCGCTGAATGGGTAGTCTGTAACACACGGCACGGTCCTGCGCTCCCCCGTCAGTAGTCACTGAGTATGACAAGAGGATTGTTCTATAGATCTCACCGTGCTCACTGCTGCTTGCTTATGTAGCTACCTGTACCTCCAAATTGATGAAAGCTGAACTTGAGAAACAAGCCGGATTTGTCGCGAGCTTTTCCGCTTCACGTAACATTGTACGTACATGATTTGATATCTACATCTGCACCATACAATACACTCTAGGGAGTCGTAAAATACCGGTATTTTACGACTCCCCGGTACACTCTATCTTACGCTGTAGATCCAAGAAAGCTTGATACCTCTATACCGGCAGTCATTTTCAGCCTCTACTGCCGCATGCATGCGATTTTTTCCATTGCCGAATCTGGTGTCGGCTGTGCAGTGTTCACCGGTCCCTATGATGGGCAAACTGCTAGCTAAACGCTATTGCTGCTGCTACTATAGGGTGCTGGAACACACTTCAAAGTGGTGTTGATGATCACCTATTCGGACTGTTGTTGCAATCGTCACACCGCACGCAGCGAGCAGTCACAGACAAATTTCTTCTTGTAAAGCAAGACGACCAGCTCTACAGTACAAGCAACAGAATACAACATTTTAGATATCTTTTGGACTGGGTGCTTTGCCTCACAATGTGGGGGCCTCTTTACTGGGTCTAAAAATAATGCTAAATATCTATGGTGCTACATGACACGTGTAGCAAGAAGGTCCCACGGGCGTGTGTGTGATCTCCGGTAGCCTAATCAGTAGGACACTGTCCCGGAAAGACAGGGGTGCTGGGCTCGAATCGTGCTCGTTGATCCTTCTTTTGCAACATTGGCGCCTGGCAATGGCTCGAACCAACGACCCAGCGTACTCCCACCACCACAGCCTATTGGGGAGGGGGAACAGTGTAGCATGAAGGAGCCACAGGTGCGTGTGACCCCCTGTAGCCTAATCAGTAGGGCACGGTCCCGGAAAGACGGGTGCTGGGTTCGAATCCCGCTCATGTATGGGTCTTTCTTTTGCAACAAAGGCACCTCTGCTTTGTTGTGTTGTTATGGTGCTAGCTGTGTGACTGATTTTCTCGCTGAGACTACCAACAAAAATCACCATACTCAAACTACTGCTTGCTATGATTGCAGCCTCACAACACATGCACCCAGCAACACGCGGACAACACTGGCCAACAGACTAATCAGTTATCTGCCCAGGGCAGTTGAACAAAAAATAGAAGACTCAATAAGAGGGTTGTCTCATAAACCTAGCAGAGATCAGACTGAGATGGACTGACCGTGCATCTCAGTGGCAAATGAAATTGTACATGAAAAGTTGGAAATGAGAATTTTGTTCGCTTTTGTGCTTTGTCAACTAAACGGAAGGGGTCATTCTGAGATAGAGGCAGACATATTCGAAATAGAAAGAAAAAAATGGGTAAAACCTACTCCCAAAGACAATGTGTGTTTGTGTGCTGGCACAAACTCAAGGTATAGCCTTTGGCTTGTGGCTGCGCACCTAGATCAGAGCACCGAGTATGGTAAGGCTGGTGGCACAGCTCTGTACAGCAAATTGCCCCACCGCGCGTGTGCGCACACACATACTGGTACCAGAATTGCCTGCAGACCAGCGAATTTCAGTGATCGCTAGTGCGGGCAGTGCGGATAGTCAGGACTGTAAGCTACAGCAGAATTGGTCAAAATGAGGCGTTTTCGTGTCAGTTTGCTTCGTACGTCCATATCTACTTTGTGTGGAACTTCTTGCCAGACTTGGCGTGTTCGAGAAGAAGAGGTGCCGGCGCGAAATGACCACCCAGCTTAGCCTGAAGACCCTCCATGAGGTTGACATACTCGCCAGCGCCATAGCTGTCCAGGTAGCGGAATGGACCGCCCAAGAACGGTGGGAATCCAAGACCGAAAACGGCACCGATATCACCATCGACCTGGACAAGCAACCAACAGCAACAGTACATGTACTCGTGTATGCCAGGTTATCGCACACCCCCTTCTGCACACACTGTACTGTCGGTCGCCGAAGACCTGGAGGGTCAGCCTTGTAGCCTAGACCGTTCTTATTTTCATGTACTACAGCACATTTGAGTGACCGTGTATACCTTGATATGCTGTGCCTGGTCAAATTCTAGCCTGTTTGTTCTTCGGTACCCGACAGTACTGTGCAGCTAAGCTTAGCTTATGGCCAACAGTAGGCAAACATTACAAGCAGAACCCATTGCCGATAGACATACACCGGAGGGGGCACAAGAATAGATACCAGCTGCTTACCGGCGAGTTGAGGATGTCCTCCTGCAAGCACAGCACGGCCTCGTTCACGAAGCGACTGGCCAAGCGGTTCTGCACCATCTCGTCGGAGTGCTCAGTTCGCTTGTCTACGCTGTAGTTGGCCAGGATCTCCTTTGCTCCCTCATTGACCGGGCGCTTGCCCTTGCTCTTGCCTTCATAGGTTCATAGGAGAAGATACCCTTGCCGCTCTTGCGACCTACAGAGAATCAGGACACAAGATCGGAGTAGGACATGAGATACAGGCAAAGAAGCCAACACGACACAATCCCACAGCACTCATTTACAGATAGCAAAACAAATCGAGAAAGAACCGTACCAAGGTAACCCTTCGCGACCATATCCTTGAGAACGCCAATGTCCGCACCACCCATTCTGTGAAAAGTAGAAAAGGTAGCAAAAAAGGAAACATAAGTGACAAGGCAGCAAACACAGAGCGTGGAGCACACAGAGCACCAAAACTACTGGTAAACAAACTCACCAACCACGGCATCTACGGGTTGTAGCAACAGATCTTTTTGGAAAAAAATATTTTTATTTTTCATTGCTATCAGGTTCGGCCTCATTTCCTCTGTGCTGAGCTGCGCTGATGAGTCCACAAGGGACGAAACAGTCCTGTCCGCAGACTGAGAACTTTACAGAAATATATCAGCATCCTTTTTTATTGAGAGTCTAGCTGTACGGTTAGATGAGAAGGCAGCAATGCCGGTGTATCTGGTGAAGTAAAAACAAACAAACAAACACATCAGCATGCTGCTCACCTGGAACCGAACGCCTTGTGCAGGTCCTCGCTGACGTGCATGGCCACATCCAGACCTACCTCGTCAGCCAGAGTTGCCAGACCGACGGGGAAGCCAAACTTCATGGTGATGCGGTCCATGTCGTGCGGTGATACGCCTTCCTGGAGAAGTGCTACGGACTCTGCCAGCATGGGAGCAAGGGCACGAGTAGTGTAGAAACCAGGGCCGTCCTAAAGAAAAGAGAGCGGACGACAAAGGGTACAGGTTTGTACTTTGTAGAAGCATCACTGCACACTGTTTTCTCTCAAAGTCCTCAGAAGCTACTAGTGGAAATTGATTGTTGCACAGCATAGTATATGTATACTATGACAAGTGGAATGATGTACTATGTGCAGATACATGTGTACATCAGAAATGTCAGATGGGAAGAGGAGAGCGAGGCAGGGACGGTCAGGAGAGAGAGAGAGAGAGAGAGAGAGAGAGAGAGAGAGAGAGAGAGAGAGAGAGAGAGAGAAGGGTATGAGAAAGAGATGAGAGACACAAATAACTCTTTTGAAGTAGAACAAACCTTGACAACAATGACAGTCTTTCCCTGCTTCAAACCGACAGCAACAGCAGCAGCTACAGACAGCAGAACACAAGAAGCAGGGCGCATACAAAGCTGGACCAAGGTTTGGGCGCTCACCAGACTACGTACATAGAACATCCAGTACAGAATACATAAAACCCGAAAGGCAACCTTTAACCGTGCGAAATTGTGCAAGTGGATGTGTGAAAGCAGAGAGCCATACAAAGTTCGCACTAGTATGATCGCCTGGTGAACGCACCGCAACTGCAGGAAAGCTGCCTCATACAGGGCAGCACTCTGCCTGAAAGCTTTGGGCAGCGTTTCACACTTCCCTCAAGACTCTTGTATCTGTCTTGGAAATTTCATACTTGACATATGCTGATTTGTGCCTAGTGTGAAGAGGCCTATACGGACCTGTACACAAGATGTACAACATCAGCATGGATCAGCCAGCTTTACACGCGCCCCTCATTCACAAAGTCAAAGGTACAAATGCTCATGCAAGAGCACCCCGGTGTTTCAAATGAGACACCACAGGCCATCATTGCTCACCAGATGTGTCCTTGCTGGTCTTATCAGTGGTGATGATCTCCAGCAACGGCATCTTGTCCACGGGGGAGAAGTAGTGCATGCCGATGAACTAGCAACATACAAACATACAAACACACACACACAGTATGAGATTATCACAGCAGAACACGTTACACGTCACACTCAAAGGCATGCATGAACGGCATCTCCAGGTATTACCCAGCAAGCAGGTGTACGTGATCACCATAAAACCGAAAAGCCCAGCCCAGCTGGATAGCTTCAGATAGGCTGCAGTAGCATATGGTATAAGTTAAAGAACAGGATGTTTTCAGTGAAACGCTACCCATGGAGTTGCTCACTCTATGGGAAGGTTCTGCACTCTTGACTATACATATGATCAGAGGAGTTGTACTCAGGCACAATCCACATGACATGACTAGCATATCATCAAACACATAGACACAGTAATAGACATACCTTCTCTGGGCGCTTGCTTGCAGCAGCAATCTAAACATGAACAAAAACAGAAGAGGACATCAGCTGACCAAATATCCCACATGTATGCGTGTGTGTATGCGAGAGAGAGCGAGACAGACAGCGAGAGAGAGAGAGAGAGAGAGAGAGAGAGAGAGAGAGAGAGAGAGAGAGAGAGAGAGAGAGAGAGAGCACACACACACGCACACCCACACGTACATGGGTAGACATACAGGTAGAGTATTTTCACGCATACTCGAGTGGATACTGACCTGATGGATAGGCAGAGCCGATGTATTAGTAGCAAAGATGCAGTTGTCGGATGTTGCCTGTAGATGTATACAGAAAAGAGAAAGTTCACTTACACCACTTCCCCTAAATAATTTTGAAACCGAACTTTCTGGCGTGGAGCCATAGACTAACACTTTCTTTGGCAGTGCAATGCATGGCAAACACCACAGCACAGCAGTAAACTAACCCTAGGCTACTAGAAAGCAGCAATGAACACAGAACAAGGGACATACATGTACATGATTGTAGTACATAGCAGACTCAGCGGAGGACGTTCAGGTTGGTTCATCAGTTGTCTGATGATTGCCTAACGGCATGAAACTCAGAGTTACAACCAACCTGAACGTCCTCCGCTGAGTCTGCTATGTACTAAGCTGTCTCTGACATTGAGCACTCTCTGCAGCTCGGGGATCAACAGATTTGTACATGATTGTATATAATAACAAGCGAGGATGTCTTCAGAGTCAGGCAAGTCGGCTCAACAGCCCGTCGGCTACACAGCATGGCGCGAATTAAAAAAATAAAATAAATACTCACTGCTTCGACTTCCTTGACAATGCGGTGCTTCAGAGTGAGGTCCTCAAACACGGCCTCAATAACCATGTCAACATTGTTGAAGTTCTGCACACAAAGAGCATCACAGATTTGATACACACCCTTTGCAGCACGGACACGGCAGTTCCAGTATGATTTAAGCGTGAAAAAAGCAGATAAAGAGCATATAGCACAAAGCACAGTACATCAATCAGGACCACTCAGTTCAATCACTTACTTTGTAGTCAAGCTGTCCCTGCAGTTTAGACATGATGGTGTCACGTTCAAAGCTGAAGGAAACATGACAAGAAGAAAGAATAATTAGAGTGCACTGCACTTGTGTAGCCAGTAGCATTGTCATTTCCAGATATCTTGACATTAAGTTAAGCAGCAGACACTGCCGTGTGTGTGTGTGTGTGTGCGTGCGTGTGTGTGTGTGTGTGTGTGTGTGTGTGTGTGTGTGTGTGTGCGTGTGTGTGTGTGTGTGCGTGTGTGCACATGCGTGTGTGAATGGTATGAATATACACAAAGATATCATGCTCATACAAAACCAGCTTCAGGAGAGATAAGCGTACGTGGTCATTGCCTTCTTCTTTGCACGTTTATCGAATCTGCACATCAAGGACATGGCAACAACAAAACACTCATGCGACATAGTTTAAACTTTCTATGGACAGTCTTTCAAAAGTCCGAACAGAGAGGCAAGCAGAGCTTTAACAACGAGCTCCGCACTTTTTCAAATCTGACTCGGGGCTAAATTTGGGCTTAAAGTCACGAACTTGACAGGGGCAATCTAGGCCCATTCCAGAGGACGTTTCTCGTAGCAAAAATACAGAAATGAAATTCAATTATTTCTGGATAGGCTGTAGACCCGGGAGGGACATGTCATGCGCATACATGTACACCTCCATGTAGATGGTCAGAGACAGTAACTGTTCTACTTACCCACTGTAGATCTGTTGCTGACCGCGTGTGAGACCCTTGTCATTGGCATCCTTCAGGATGACGTTGAAGTTCTTCTGCAGGCTGACCTGTGCAATACCAGCACCCATCAGACCAGCGCCCATCACCGCAATATTGCTGCACAAGGAACACACAGATGCGTGCACACCCGCGCGCGCACACACCCGTATGCATGCACACACATACACACACACACACACACACGCGCGCGCTCGCACAGATACACAAATGTAAGTGCATGACAGCAGCTATTGGCTTTACTGCCTGTCTGACAATAGGTATACAGATGCATACTTGTGCAAATCTAAGGAGAACCAACACTAAAATATGAACAGCGGCCCCGATGAAAGGCTTACAAGCAACTAAGATAAAGGTAGACAGGACACTGATGAAAGGTTGCATGGTTTAAGCTATAGTTCAACGTACATGTACCTATCAGTGTCCTTTCGTGCATTTATGTGACAGGCTGACTGACACAACGTACACATGCAAACACAGTGATAGAACGGACACTGACCTTGTGGCACGCTCTGGCTTTCCAAAACGATTCTTCTTGCACTCTTGCTGCAGAGGATGAACAGTAACGAACAACACATAACATACCAGCTAAGCACACCAAACAAAACAAAGTCTGCTCATTTCTCGCACTTTGCAAACTTCCCCCACTTTTCTCTACTGTGTTGCAGGTGCCCCAGGTGTACTTTGAGTTGTTGCAAAACATTTTTTCCCCGATGATTACGGTCACACACGTCTTCGATCTCTTCCTCTTCTCCTGGCTCTTGTTTCATTCTCCTGGATGGTTACCATCAGCCAGAGGGAGAGGGAGAGAGAGAGAGAGAGGGAGAGACAGAGAGAGAGAGTGTGTGTGGCTATAATAGTCGGGAACTGTCAGTGTGCTGTTTACAACTCAGTAGATAACTCCTGTATGATACAAAGTAGGCATTTTGGCCCTGCAGACACAATATGTGACATGCTTTTTCAGATGGCTGGACTGTGTATCGGGGATGTTGGAGCAATGAACACCATACCGGGTGCATTCTTATAACAGAAACCTGAGCTGCTTACTGAGTTCAGCCAAGAGTACACAACCCCCAGGAGTTTTCTTCCATCACCAACATTGTCTCTTCGGAGTTGTTCTACAAGAGCAGCTTTACAGATACATATCTCCATGAACAGCTGAGTGCTTTCAATAATCAGTTACGGGCCTAGAATTCATGAGCTAATGGAGCCCGTAAAAAGTTCACAAATTTATGGAGGTGCCCTTAGACTCAAAATATGAGTGCTATGTGCGGGAATGGGATATCGATTTTATTGGTGCATCACATCAATACATACCTGACCAAAGAAGATGTTCATGAGAGCATTGGACTCACTGGAAGCACCAAGCTCTCCGAAGCCCTGCAAGCGGAGCAAACCGAAACACAAAGACTTGGCTACACAGGTAATCAAGAGACCATGATATCCAAATTCGGGTGACGTCCATCACACAGCTAACAGTGCACACATGCTGTGACACCTGGGAAGGAAGCGAGATTTAAGTGCATTGATGAACAGCTAAGGCAACTGATATACCAGACACCAAACACTCATGCACAAACTCATCTAAGCATACACACGCACACACACGCACACACACGCGCACACACACACACACACACATATACACACACACACACACACACCACAAGTGTACACAAACACATGCACGTGCACGAACACACACATACACACACACACACACACACACACAACTGGCCAGAACTAAATGTACATCATACCTTGCTCTCAGCCTCAAATCCGACCTCCTTCTTCTCCGCTCCAACACCAGCGAATGCAGCCTAACCGAGGAGGAAATAGTTCAACATACATGACAAGATTCACAACACCAATGCAAAAGTCAGCACAACAGCAGGTTGATACGGTTCTCGCGTGCCAGGCATGGCAAGATCAGAAAGGAGAAAGAAAATACTAGTACCAAAAGTCGGTGAACTGCTTCACTGCATGAAGCTTTCAACTCAACTTACATCGATGATCTTCAGCGGTGCAGGGTAGTTTCCTTGTGTCTTCTTCATCACCTGTTGTGCAACGATACACATGTACATGCACACGCACACACGCGCACACACACACACACACACACACACACACACACACACACACACACGCATGCACACATGTACACGCAGCCAAAGAAAAGATAAGCGAAGTCAGTAGACTTCAGTAGACATGTGCACCGACTCTAATGACAATGTCTTCGAATCCTCTACAGGGGTTCCTCAAAGAGTCGGTGCACTTGCAGCAACAGGACTAAAGACAGCAAGTGAGTGTGTGTACTACTACACACTCCATTTTCTACACTCCAACATCCTCCTCACCTGCTTAACAGCCTGATCTTTCATGTAGTTCCTGACTGCACCAAACTGCACAGGAAGCTTGTGCTTCAGGGCTATCGCAAACAAATGGCACACAATCAAAAAGAGAAAAAAACAACATGTCAACGGTAGAGCAATGAACAGAGACAAACTACTGCAACAACTGATCTCTTTTTTCACTCTATTGGATAAATCACTGTATGGTGACTGTTCCAGTAGATCCCGTAGATTACCGTTTGCTAGGTCGATGTATTGTGTGCTGACCCGGCACATGTGAGCATGATGCTAGTACTGACTAGACACTGTTAGGACCTGTCTAGACATGCGATTGTCTGTACCGTAGCATTAATCTAGTACATGCATGGCATGCAATACCTGCCGGATCATATGACGGAACTGGTTTGCTGATTGGCTGTAGGTCTGTTCGCTTTATGAGCTGTGCTTTTTGTTATAGTACCAGTTTCACTTTGGAGAGGAGAGAGTTTTTTTGTCTCTTTGGAAAGGAGTTTTTTTGTCCTGGAGAGAGGACAACAGCAGATTTGGTATGTCCGTGCCAAGGCACGATGATGTGTGCATACTATTACTAGTCTAGAGGTTTTCGTTCAGTTACGAAGAACAGAAATAAATACAGTCTTCTTTGGAGTCCAGATTCCGTGACCGAACAGTGACAGTGTACAAAACATGGATAAGAAGAACTCCTGCTATTGCGAACAAACACCATCGGTCCCTTGGTGTTCGCCCTAAAGGGGTTTGACTGTATCAAAGTCTTTGCTAAGTTCTACACAGCAGGAACAGTCATGAATGTAATGCAAATGATCAGCAGCTACTGACGGTGGAATCATAGGTTGTTGTTAGCTTGAAACTCACTGCCAATGGACCACGGACGCTCAAACTGCATGCTTCTCTTGATAAGCTGAGGCTTGGCGGCAAGAGTTCTGAAGGAGAATGGGAACAAAAGCGCATCCACATCCATATCAAGTCAACACAGTTCAGACTGACAACTGAACGCTAATGTACCGCATTTTCAAATACAGGCATCACAACGGAAATAAGAAGAGAAGCTTGATTTCTCTAGTAGGCGAGAAATAAGAGCCCTGAGGCCAATGAGACATATGAACAGAAAGAGCGACGAGGGCTACCTGCATACCTGGCCTGCTCAATGGCAATCTCCTCCAAGTATTCAATGTTGCGCTCCTCAATGGGCTTCAGACCCGGACCTAAATAACAAACAAACAAAAAGCATAACACATTATCCGTACAGGGCTACAGTACAACATCATACCTGTCCTGCACAAAATTAAATTGCCTCCCTATATAAATACACAGACACAGACAAAGGCACAGACAATACAATGTCCGCCACACACAAGCCACACACGAGACAATGTCAAAGAGGTCTCCAGGAGGAGCAAGTGCACACAGCACACAACAATGAATTCGATATGTTCCTTACCGAGAGGGCGAACAACAAAGTCAACGAGACCAATGCGCTTTGCCTTGTCCGGTCTGACATCAGATCCAGTCAGCATGATGGGCAATGCATCCATAAGACCAACCTGCAAGCAAAATGCAGTCAACAAATGTACATATAGTATCACACAAATGTAAAAGATTTCAAGCCGGTCATGATAAAATCGACACAATGCCCCCCCCCCCCCAAACAAGAGCCAAGAGCTCATAGCGAAGAGAGAGAGAGAGAGAGAGAGAAGAGAGAGAGAGAGAGAGAGAGAGAGAGAGAGAGAGAGTCATAGACTTGACAGATATCATAAAGTAATCATCTGCGCGCACTGACCAGTCTGGGAAGACGCTGCGTACCACCTGCACCGGGAAGCAGACCCAGCATGACCTCAGGCAGGCCTAGCTTGGTGCTCTTGTCACGGGTAGCAATGCGATAATGACAGCTCATGGCCACCTAGATGGGCACAAACAGTACACACACAAACACACACGCGCGCGCACACACACACACACGATGAATTTTAAGGGGCGGGATATACAGAAGACACAGGAATAACCAACCCAAAGTGCAAAGCTAGCGCCCCTGGGCCAGTTTCGATTACATCATCGTATTTGTACATGTGTACGCACAACCACATCCGTGCCACTTCCCGGGCGTCAAGGGCATGCAAGTTGAGGGCACTAGATACGCACACTGGGTCGGATTTCACCGAGCGCAACTGTACTTCAAAGAGGCACAATAGGCCAGACCTACCCTACTTGTAAGCACTTTCTTCAATATTCCCAAGCCCTAGACATATTACAGCCACTGCTTGTAATGTCGAGCTCAATTTCAAGGAACACAAACAAGCTCTCAAAAAATGAAAGTCACTTACTTCAAGACCACCTCCCAGGCAAGAGCCGTTGATAGCAGCAACAACCGGCCTTTCGCTGTCCTAGACACAGCAAGAAAAGTGAGTGAGTGAGAATGTGTGAGCGAGAGAGAAAGAAAGAGAAAGAGAGAGAGAGAGAGAGAGAGAGAGAGAGGAATCAGAATTTATATTCTTATACCAGTATGTAGATGCATGGCACATGTAAAATGAACTCCGGAACCATTGCATCCCGTGTGATACAACTTCTCCTGTAGGGTGGTTGACCTTCTTCATGGCTATGTCCACGAGAGAGAACTTAACTTGACCACAATCATCCAGAAATTGTACGAATACGTCCTCGACATCATAGGTAATTGAAGAGAAGTACTCCAACACATCACCAGTATCTCCAGGTGTGTGCACGAACGATCAGATCAATCGCAGGGAATCAGCAGGTTCAAAGTCGACCCTAGGTTTTTTTCGAGGGGCTCCATCTTCTTCATGACTCAGGTCACTTGCCTAAATGAAGAAATGGACATGTCCTACTATAACTCTAAGCACTTTAGCCAAAACTTGACTTCTCTATTCAGTTTGATAACTCACCTCAAGCGTCTGCATGACTTTCTGGCCATCGCTGGAAATTTTGGTCATCTGAAATCAAAGTCACAGCCAGAGAATAAGTTGGTACTCATTGGTTGACAACCATTAACAGAAACCACAAGAATGCGAGTGCAACCACATGCCAGTGCGAGAAAGAGAGGGCGGGAAAGCGGAAGATACATGTATGAAGAAATCAAGAAGGTAATAATAATGTCACACGGGCGTAGGCACCTCTGGTGGTGATACTACACGTATAGCCATCTACTATTCCCAGCTGAGCAAAAAAAGTACACATAAAAATAACTCACCGCCTCCGAGGTGCCAGCAGATGCCAACATGCTGCAAAAAAACCATACACAAACGTAGACACACACCTGGCTGGAAAATGTCATGGTTTAATAGTACCTAAAATGTAAGAATACATGCACTCATCACTGCTGCACATCACTGCTGCACATCACTGCACAATTTACCTAGTACAGCAAACCAATGTCCTGTGAAGTCATGTGAAGTCATGCAGCCTGGCTTACTTGATGTCAGCACCAGCAATGAAGCAACCAGGTTTCTTGGAAATCAAGACGGAGCCGACGACATCAGCGGCAGTCTGCTTGCTGATGCGGTCAAAGGCACTGACCAGCTCATCGTTCACTTCTTGTGACAGAACATTCACCTGGACGCAGAGACACATGGCAAACATCAGTAAAGCAGACGTCATAAGCATTGACATCAAACTTCTCAATGAAGAGTATGGAGGAGTATGCTACTGTCGTGGACATGGAAATCCAGTCGATTGACCGGGGCCGGCGCCCTCAGAACGTTACATTGCATGCAGTGCACAATCATGTATTGTTGATCCGTTGCGACCAGCAGCGCATAATGCATGTGTGCGCTGCATACGTACGGCTGCATGGCCAGCGCCCTGGGGCCGCTAGACGTGCGATCGGATTTCCATGTCCACGACAGTAGCAGCAGGGTGTGATGGTGAACCAACCATATAGGGGCTGCCTCTTGCTCGGCAAAGGTCCACAAGACTACCACAAGGGCAACAACAAGCACCTACAACGAATAATATCATCAATAGGCGGCAACCTATGGTATATGCATCCGAAAGGTAAGTATACCTTCCGCAGGAGTAAGGCACGCACACTCGTGTGTTTGTGTGTCCGTGTGTGTGTGTGTGTGTGTGTCCGTGTGTGCGTGCATGTGTGTGTTTTGAGAAAATGGATTTCAAGGCTCGACTCAAATGTGGAACATCTCCACACATCGCCCATGTATTTGCAAGAGAGCAGCACACAGGCACATGTAGAGTACCTTAGAGCTTGGCGAGTTCATGGAGATAACAGCGACTTTATTCTTGACCTCGACCGACACATGCTTGCCAGCTGAATTGTACCCAGATAGACACAGAGAGAATAAACACAGGCCCATTAGTGCAAGACACAAGCACATGCACTCAATAGGTATTGTATTACAGTAATAGCATATGCACACGCAAGGGATTTTCCCCACACAGAACGGCATCAAAGTCTACATGTATACCCGGATCCGAGCGGAAATACATTCCACAGAAAGCAACTTAAAACACAGCACACATCTGTGGTTGTTCCTTACGCTACAGCTATTGCAGCAAACAAAACCACCCATGCAAACCACTGCATCATACATACACATTACGAACAGTATGCTTACTGTAGAGGGAGTTGAAGCGGGCAGCCCCTGCACAACATCGAGCATTCCAGGAAACAAGAAAGCACACAACAATGCATTTCATACACACACATACATGTAAATGTAGCAGGATGACTTTTGATGTGCATCGACGAGTAGTGAAAGAAGTCATAGGGACTTCTATAATTACATTGAACACTTCTTGTTTCGCTTGTTCCCTCAAGCCCTGTGTACACATACTAGCCACACACACAAGGGCGGCTGAGTGCGGAAGACTGTCAATGTCACCCATTTCAGCCCCGACCATACGAGCGCCTAATGAACGAGGCAATGAAGAGTGCAAGAAAGCCTATCCTTGAATAGCCAAAGACCTGTACTTCTTCTGTGAGTACCAGGCCCCACCGGAACTGGTCCGGTTGATCAGGTCATCGCCGGACCAATGTTTTGGCCATGAATGTGTGTTTACTGCTGAGGAGGTCATGTGTACCTGGCATATCATACACAGAGTATGAAAGGCTATGGTTTGGCCGCGCTAATCAAAAACTGCTTCTGGTGGTCCAGAGCACAGCTGGGGCCAAAGAAATCTGACCCTCATGGCTTCCAAGAGATCAGTACTGCGGTCAGGCCAATGCAAAATATCAAACTGCATGCATGTCCCCGAAGAGGATATTCACTTATTTCCGCAGCTGCAAAGTGCAGGGGTCAGAATAGAATACAACTAATCCAACCACTGGCAGGAAAGGCAGTGCTTCTTTGGTTGTGCAATTTACGAAGCAAGAAGTACTGCCATTGTATAATGTACTCTGTCAGCTGCGGTTGGCACACAATGAGTATGTTTCTACCTCGGTGTGTGTGTGTGTGTGTGTGTGTGTGTGTGTGTGTGTGTGTGTGTGCGTGTGTGCTTTTTGTTATGCTTCTCAGAAGAATTCCTGAAAACAATGATTTCGATTCGAATTCAACTGTTCAAAAATCGCAGAGCCACGGAACTTGAATGCCAGTGGAACCATGCGGCTCTGTGGCAGCAACGATGTTTGTCACGTGTCATGGAGGACCAGAAATGCAGTGCAACCCAGACTATAGACAATGACGGGAATAGCATTGTAAAATTTCTTGATTCCACAGAACGTGTGGCGACGAGGAAATCATTTCCAAATCGCAGTAACAATTAAGTCACTCCAGAGCGTTTTGTGGTGGATCCATACATGGTGCATATAATTCACACTCATACAATCATGTAGTTCACAGATATTGAGTCAACGCAAACCTGCACAAATTGATCAAATATTTCACAAGTCCTCATACTAGTATAAGGTAGGTCAAAATTAATGTGGCGTGATGACGGTGCCAACGTTATCAGCGACCAATGGACCAGAATGCAACTCGTTCCCCTATTGCTACTATTAGCAGCCAAGATAGATTGTTGCCCAAAGGGCCTAGGGGGCTCATTAAATTCGTACGCGGGACAACTACGTCGAGAGGTCACTTCTGGTTTCGCACAAAAAAATCTCTCTCAAAGTATCACCCACTCACCTGCTGTGCGACAGGCCAAAGTCGCCCTCATGCGGTTTAGGTACCGCAATGACGCCATGGTGTTCTAGAGGCTCTCCTCTCTGGCTGCAACCAACTCTCCACTTCACAAGAAGCTTCAGAAGAAAGTGAATAAAAGTTTGGCAACCTTGGCAGAAGATCTCGAATGAGCAAAGCTCAAAAAGACAAAAGTCAACACACGAAACAATCCGGAGGTCGATTTGTGCTACATGTACGAAGAGTCAACCCAGCACACACCTATCTCGCTGACAGTGATGAAAGGTCAAAGTAAAAAGTTGAAAACGCGAACTCGCGTTTTACTACGACCAGTGTTACAACAGATTTAGGTGTCTGATTCTCCAACCATCACTTTGTTCAAGCCGAAGTAAACTCGCGTTTGTCGTTGTGTTGTATCAGTCTGGTCAAGTACTCTTCATCCGGCGGATATGTGTGAATAATAATAAGACCACTCTTGATCGAGTGATGAGTGACGGCGCTTGTCGCCTGGTCACTGTCGATGAAGAACTAGCAGAATAGATTAGTTACTAGTAGTTGTCCAGGCGGTTGAGTGAGACGATTTACAATTATTGATGCTGATGCAGTTTTTCGTCAACTAGCTTTGGAAATGTTGGCAAGAAGGTACATTTTTCCTGATTTTTTACACTAAAACCTGTGACATGTCAATGTCTAACTGATGTCAATGCACAGGTACATAACTGTCATAAGATAAGGAGTTACTGCTAGTAATTACCTACATGTAGTCTACATAATACAGACAGGATATACATGCATGATCATACGTGATTGTACACCTACAAAGGCTACAGAGCAGTGCACTCTGGGTACAAATAGTTGCAATGATCCTACTCCGTACAATCATTATAAAAGTACCAGTGTGATTTCACTGAGTATATGCCTCGTCCATTTCTTGACGTACTATACACAGATACATACGCATGCGTGCAGTTGTGTTTGCCTGATCGATAGCCGCATTGGCATTGCGACCAAGTCGAGACATTCTAGAAGATTGCTGCATCATTATAGTACCGGTAGTTGATGTAGAAAATTGCTGCAAATATTCATAACCCGTCTACTTCTGGCGCTCTGCCTGATATAAACATACTCGGTCCTATCAAATCAACCGTTCAAGAGTAATTTCCCATGGCATCTCAGGCAATCTCAATGTTGCCCGCTGCACCCACAGTACACAGACACTATACAGTGTGCACCAGGTTCAGGACATGCAATCCCATCCTTTATTCATAGTGGGCTGTAGGGTACGGCTGAGGAAATACAGGCCGAGTTGGTGCCCGTTGTGAGCCCATTACTGCAACAGGGTTATCTCAATAATTATTTACACCATGCACTCAACATATTACTACAGTAGTAGCAATCTCGCAATCTTTTCTCATGCACATGTCACTCATAGTCTGTGTGCGCAGCAGTGCCTGTGCATATCTTGCTGTCACCTGTCACTTGCTCTCTCCCTTGTGTCTTGACATGCACAAGATGTACGTACATTGGGAGGGCTGGCCAGCATGTGATCAAGGAGACCAATGTATGCATCCGCCAGCTACCTTCACTGACACCACTTGATGGCAACGTATAATGCTAGACTGTTTGAATTAACGGCACATGGAATATGACTGCCGATAAATTGATAGCAGCGGATAATTGCAATCGTCAAATATTTTCTAGAGTCAAACTTTATGTCTGAAGTCATGTCTCATGAATTACCGGTGCTGGTTTTTCTTACTTTCTGCCTATTGCACCATGCAGCTCAGCCAGGAGTTACTGCAGTTAGCACTGACCAACAGCCTGACCATGCTTCATCTCAGCCTCCGCACATAGTGCAGGTGATAGCAGACGATCTGGGCTGGAACGATGTACCTTTCACTAGGACAGATGCGTGTGCCATCCTCACACCCACCCTCAGTGAGCTAGCTAGTCAGGTGAGTTTGAAGTGCGATGGTACAGGTGGTGTCAGTGATATTCTGAAACTGCAGATGCAGCTATTGTTTAGGATCATGCGGACTACTGCTGCCTGAGTCGTGCGATACACATCACTGGCGTATCTGGGTGGTTGTTCTGGATATGTTGTTGCTGATCTGACTAGGCCACTCTGTTTTTATTTAGTTGTTTTTGTACCCAGTCAGACGAAGTCTTGATTCTTCTTGAAGTTTCATTGATCTGTGTAAAATGGTTTGGGTGCACATATCCACTCTTTTGTTTCTTACCCATAGCTGTGTTTTGCTGTACAGTGTTGTTCACGTTCGCCTATCTCTGTGCCATGGATGTGCTGTGTGCTGGTGTGCATGCATGACTGGTATGACTGGACAGGGTGTCGTGCTGCACAACTACTATGTGCAGCCAATCTGCACGCCGACACGCAACTGCCTGATGAGTGGCCGCCATCCCGTGCAGACCGGGCTGCAGCATGGCGTCATTCGGGACTCTGTGCCCAATGGACTGCCGCTGAACGAGACCACCATTGCCCAGATGATGAAGAAGCTGGGTTATGCAACTCACATGGTATGCTTCTTATCAATACAAAGTTGTTGACTAAATTGACTTACTACTCGCCTATTGTTATACATACTACAGACGCGTAGCCCGCATGGGGCACGGGGGAGGGGGGGGGCACATGCACTCCCCTACAAATTTCGACAGACAGTCCATTTCAAAACTATAGACGCGTACCTAGGCAAAAACCGTTATGCCAGCATCTATACCACATAAAATCTGTGATCACTTTGTGCATAATTTTTTCCAAATTGGGCGTCTGTTATCCAATCGTTTACAAACTATATGAGAGTAATTGTGGAGCGGATCTGAGCAATATTCCGAAAACTATTCTCAAAAAGTTCCAGCCAAATTTGAAATATTTCAAAAACCCTACGCGTCTATAGTTTTGAAATGGACTGTAGGTTCAGCATGCACATAATGACCATAAATGACATGCTCCAGGCACCCTACATTATATGCAGCCATGCACCCCCCCCCCCCCCCCCCCCCCCTAACTACATGTAAGTTACTACTGGTCGAGGTCTGAGTGATAGAATCAAGAGTAGTTAAACAAGAGTGTGCAACTCCGGATCTCTCCTGCACAATCTGCAGATACCCCCGCCCGTGGCGGAATTTTTTGTTGACGTCACCTTTTTTCAGAAGAACGCGCATTTTGCCCCAGAGCAGTGTGAGAGCACGTGCTGGACACCGACTTTGTAATGTAAAGCCCGGCCAAGTGCACGAGGCAAAACTTTCCAAAAGACTCGCAGCGCGTGCATCGTCGAAAAGATTACGTCAACAAAAAATTCCGCTGCGGGCCAACCCATCCCGGAGTTGTACACTCTTGTTTATCTACTCTTGATAGAACTTATCTGAAGGTCCTTGCAATGTGCTAACACTAAAAGCTAACTTGACCACTCCACAATTCGCTCTTGGCAAGCCCAGTCTACTGGCACACCACCACCATCTCCTACTCCTCTGCGCAATCACTTCCGTACCAGCTCCTAGTGCCTAATTACGTTGTACAATGTACATGTCATGTACCCTATTTCATCTTCTCTTTGAAAACCCGCAGATTGGCAAGTGGCACCTGGGCTTCTACAAGCCGGCGTACACTCCGCAACGTCGCGGCTTTGACACCTACTTTGGCTACTACACAGGCAATGAGGAGTTTTGGAATCACACGTCGCCGTGCTGGACTTGTGGAAACTACACGGCCGTAGACCTGCACAGAGCCACACCGACAACTGAGAGTCCAGTCCTAGACCAAGCAGGTACTGTACTGGAATCAGACTACTGTAAAAGCCATTGTTCTAACGACGCGCATATATAACGATTTCCCGAAATTGACTGGTTTACGGGTACCAAAGGTAACGATTCTCACGCATTCTCAACGCTCAATAGAACAGTATATGTATCGATTTCTGTTAGTGGTGAAACGAATATTCGAATATTCGAACATTCGTTCGGTTTGTCACATTCGAATATTCGTTAAGTCACATTCGAGTATTCGTTACGTCACTTCGAATGCAGTGCATGTACAGTACGTACATGGACGCCGAACACGGTACAGTGCAGTGCGTACAGCCTGCCTGTGACGTTGTACTGCATGCATGCACATGTATGTCCATACTGGACTGCCAATGTTGCACATAACATTTATGAACTTCGAAGTAGCCTTATGTGGCAGTATATTTTACGTGGCACTACCGTTTGTCATACCTAATAATATATTAGTATTGACAATATCCATCAAATGACTGAGAGGAGGGCATGTGATGTAATCTGTGTTACCAAAAGAATATTCGTTCATTCGTTCGTTAAGCTGAAGAATATTCGACTAGTAGGTTTTGACATTCGTTTCACCACTAATTTCTGTATAACGATTTCTATTTTAATGACAGATTTCTCCTCGTTAACTCGTTAGAATTAGCACTTCGTTATATAATTATAATAATGGCTTTTACAGTACCACGTGCTTTGACCTTAATTTTGGCTCGGCTAATTTTCACATCTGCAGCATGAATTTAGAACTATATGTACTAGCACAAGAGTTGATGCTCTTTGCACTCACCGAGCAGCGTGACAAGACTGACAGTTGATCTTGTGCAGCCTGCTCATTGCAAGACCGCTATGAAGCAGGTTCATTGCTGCAAGGTAGTGAACTAGAATCTCTGATGGGTACTTGTACTCCTCTGTCCTCAGGTGTGTACTCTACAAACATGTTCTCTGACGAAGCGGTCAACGTCATAAAGCAGCACGATGCATCAACACCGCTGTACCTTTACTTGCCATTTGAAGCTGTGCATGGTGCGGCGAGCTGTGACCCGGACTGCTATCGCCCCGCTGGTGAGAACCTGCTGCATCTTGAATGGATTTATTCAATTGGATTACAATGTAGCTGTGCCTTGATCCACAGAGTGTGGTGGCGTCCCTACGGATGCGGAAAACTCGGCCTCCAGCGAACCGTGAATTTTTCAGCGGCACTTCTAAGAAGCATAATGACTGGTCTATAAGAACTGTATTACCTGCATTCCTTGTTCTTGTTTGAGCTTGCGCGCAATGCATGGACGTGCACCCAACAATGATTAAGCACATGTGCACACATGTCCTGAGGGGCTGTTCAGGCCATTCCCGTATCAAGGCTTCTTTTGCTTTTGTGTCCGGCTCCAGGCGCTTAGCTCGCACAGGACATGGGGGGGGGCACGTCTCTTGATCCACAGAGTGTGGTGGCGTCCCTACGGATGCGGAAAACTCGGCCTCCAGCGAACCGTGAATTTTTTAGCGGCACTTCTAAGAAGCATAATGACTGGTCTATAAGAACTGTATTACCTGCATTCCTTGTTCTTGTTTGAGCTTGCGCGCAATGCATGGACGTGCACCCAACAATGATTAAGCACATGTGCACACATGTCCTGAGGGGCTGTTCAGGCCATTCCCGTATCAAGGCTTCTTTTGCTTTTGTGTCCGGCTCCAGGCGCTTAGCTCGCACAGGACATGGGGGGCACGTCTACCCCCCCCCCCCCCCCCCCCATAAAAAGTTCGACCTAGGTTCAGCATGCACACAACGACCATGAATGACATGCACCAGTCATCCTACACGTACATTGCATGCGGCCGTGCACCCCCCCCCCCCCCCCCCCCCACACACACACACCCATAAAAGGGGGACCAGCTTCGCCCCTGCAGCTCAGTCTTTGCGCCGCATCCTCTCCGCTTCTGTCCTCTCGTGCTCTTTGTCTCAGACTCTGTTGTTGACTCGTTTGACTCCATGGTCCACGATCTCGTTTGCGTTCTTCTCTGATCTAAATGTCATGGGCATTTGCAGGCGATCTGCTACAAGCGCCAGACTACTACATCAAGCAACAGAGTCACATCGAGAACATGTATCGCCGCACGTATGCAGGAATGGTGGGTGCACTGGACGATGCTGTGCGGAACATCACCGCCGCACTGAAGACCAAGGGCATGTGGGAGAACACGGTGTTTGTGTTCACCACCGACAACGGAGCGCCGGCCAGCTTTGACGGCGCCGCCATGAACAACTGGCCGCTGCGCGGAACTAAAGGTTAGCGTGGGTGTACAGCGGTGTGATTTGTTTTCAGTGGAGTACATATGCTCCATGCACAGACTCCAGAGCTACTTATACATGTACAAGGGTGAAATAAAGCCCGGTCACTTGTTGCGCTCCAACTTTTCAACAATTCATGGTACTTTTTGCGACGCGACATGCGACTTGCAACACCTGCGGTCAAGCTGCGACAGCGACGCACGGTTCACAATCTCTTTGGTGTGTGCGGCATCCCCATGCACTACAAGTAGTAGCACTATGCATGTGCAGTTGTGCACTGCATGTGCAGTTGTGCACTGCACGTGCACCCAAAGTAGAAACCGTGCTCCGTTTATGTACGTCACACGTCGCATGTCGCAAAAGTTGAACTTTCTTCAACTTCCGAGACAGGTGCCTTGCGACTGTACGTGGCAGCTTGCGACAGGTATTTTCTTGTCCCTACTGTCCCTAATCGCGTGTCGCGTCGAAAAAAGTTGTATTGTGGATCAGCCTTTGGTTTTCAGCCCTGGTCTGCCCAGAATATTGAAGTGGTCACTGGTATCTACCCTTCTTGTTTTCTGCATCCGTCCAGGCTCCATTCCTCTCTTGTACAATGATGGCGCATTGAATTGAAACACAGCCACGCTGCCTGTACCCCTGTGTGCTGTTTGCAGGAACACTGTGGGAGGGCGGCGTCAGAGGTGCTTCGTTTGTCACTGCTCCTGGTCGTATCGATAAGTCTCTGATCGGCAAGCTGAACAACGAGCTAATGCACGTCACGGACTGGTTCCCAACGTTTGTACACCTCGGATCCAACAATCACACGCATGCCACAGCCCTGCTGAAGGACATGCAGCTCTATGGCGTCAATGTCTGGGACACCATCTCCAAGGGGGCTCAGTCCGGCCGAGATGAGATACTTCACAATATTGATCCGCTGACCGGGCAAATGGCCATACGATCCGGTGACTGGAAGCTCATGATCGGCATGGGCCCAGCACGCTGGTATCCGCCCGCGAACATGTCCTTGAGCGACGGAGTGGCTGGCTACCGACACCAAGATATCACCATCCTGGATGCGCATACCCTTGGTAAGTCTAACAAAGTCCAAGACCCCCCCCCCCCCCCCGGGTTCATGTGTGCACAGCTTCACACCATCATACAGGCAAAGTCCATAGCCACGCAACATTTACCAGTTCCCCAGGCGATTTGAAATGTTGCATCTACATCAGTATGATTTTTATTACAATAGTCATGCTACTGGTGCTTATGTACTGTTGGGGCTATTTAGTAATGTGTAGGTGGAAATTTCAAATTTGGTAATAGGTAGAATGCCAACATGTTAGTTGTACGGAATACTGAACAGACATAGGTCCATTGTGTGTAATGGTGTTCATTGATGATCAAGGGGATTCCATATCCCAATGCGTGCACTAGTATCCAGTCCTCGGTAATGTGGCACTTGCGTCTCATCATGCGTGCAGCGCTGATTTTGATCTGTGTTCTTTGTCTGTACATTCAGGCTCCTTTCATCAGGGCGACGATGCCGAAAAACTATACCTTTTCAACATAACCGCGGACCCGTACGAGCGAAACGAAGTGTCTGCATCCTTTCCCGCCGTCGTGTCCAAACTGTCGGCACGCTTGAAAGCCCTGCAGGGCCAGACCGTGCCGTGTCGGTACCCAGATCCCGACGATAACGCCAACCCCAATCTGCCGGGTAGGAACGGGGTCTGGGAGCCATGGATGAAGGACGATGTGCCTGCCTGACACAGCACCAGTCTCATTGTGATAAGACCATCTGTACTCTGGGGAAGAGCTGCTCATGTCCATGTTTCATCAAGTATGTATTTGTATTAAATTTGTATTTATTTTACATCGATATCAAACGGGTGTGCCTTCAGCTACTAGTCTCACCGTGCAGTGCTCTGGTTTATGTTTCATGCAATCATTGAACCAGTGGCACAGCCCAGAAATCTAACAATAACTAAAGTCTATTGCTTTCTGCTACTTGTATTTATTTCTCTATCCTTTGCCATGATAATTATTGTGTTGCTATGTGTGCGAAGTATATGGATTTCACTTATTTTTGTGGAGCCTGCCCTTATAATAATACAAGTACAAATTGTTGTAGTGAGGGTGCAGGGGGGGGGGGGGGGGGGGGGGGTCAGTGAGAAAGGTCTGCATGTATAATGCAACCATGTACATGTACTTCGAAACATCCTCATTCTCCATGGTCGTTCATAATATCATTTGTTGTACCACACTCCTTCCTCTCCAGGCTACTGTACATGGTACTCTGTGGCTTCTTGCCCTCAGCAATCCCGGTAGTCTCTTGTGTGTAGTCTCTTGTGTGTAGTCTCTTGTGTGTAGTGTCTTGATTGTCTCGTGCTGTCGCTTGAAGTGTTTGTGGATTGCGTGCGCGCTGGCTTCCTCTCACCGCTTACACCTGTACATTTACTGGCATTACTTACATTCACTGATTCAGCTCTTCAAAGTTAGTTTACTGAGCCTCCTGTTGGAGACGCAAGCAAACCGTCTGTCGACGAATGGACCCCAATCTAGCTGGAACCAATCTTGTACCGGATGTCTCTCCCAGCTCCGCGAGTATGCCCACACTGGCAATCCACAGTGACATCTCAGATTCGGCCTACAGCCCGAATTTCTATCGTCCATGGTTTGGGTCTCCGGATAGACGAACACGTTGCCATCCGCCCTCATTTCGGAGCCATCCGGCGGCAAATAGTGGGTGCAAATGTCAGCTGAGTGCTTTCTGCAGTTCGTGACAGTACGCTGTCAATTCGGGCTAGGCAGCCTCGTAGTGATCATACCTTACCTGGATCGATCAATTGGTCTAGACCAAAGCCTGAAAGTTAGTTGTATAGACCCTATGGTCTACACTCTACAGCATACAACATAGACCCTATGCACGTGTATGGTCCATACAACAGTTGCAATCCTTTGCCTGGATCCTGCTGGGTCACTGTCATTGAAATCTGTTTTACTTTTACTTTAGTGTGAAACCTTACACTGTAGTAGACACGTCGTATCCACCTGCATCGTCAGACCGGATACATGATTGTATTGACAGAATGAAGCACTGCATGCGTCTCTGCCAGACATTGGTGATTCTCGCCCCCTCATAATTATCTACCACTACCTACCTGCACCCCGGCTCCGACTCATCAAATGGCCCCCGGGGCCTCTGTGTCATCGATCAGGCTTTTAGAAACGCGTTCGCTCTATCCTTCCCCCTCCATGACATCCCATGGTAAGGGGATCTCGCAGGAAAGCACACAGCTTGTGGGGCCAGCCCTACCCACCTACCCACCTACCAACCATGACCAACAACAAAAATGGAATGAGATAATGTCGAAAGAGTCTGAGTAGAAGAATCACGAGACGCACAGAGGGACAAGAGTGATGCATGGCGAAGCAGTGTGGGGGCAAGGCAAAGTGATCTCTGCATTTCACCCTTGGGTCATGTGAAATCAGCGCTGAACCAGTCCGGTCAGTCCCGATATGACGAGTTGCTTCTCAGTGGCTCGAGTAAACCTCTCTTGCCAAGTTTTGGCCTTTACAGACACATGCATGTACATACCGGTGCGTGTGCCGAAGACTTGGAGGTTCTAGAATTCTATGATCTATCGCCGTATCGGTAGCGGCACAATGTTGACATCAATCATGCAAGTCGACATAATCCAGGCGTTGTCGTTCGATGAGCCAGTCCCGGGCCTATTATTATGTGTATGACTATGTCAGTGGATAGCCTCAAGCCCCCTTGGACTTGACTTGGCAAGGGCAGGCTATGTGCTAAGCCAAGCCCCACACACCTACCCTAGGTTACATACAGTCAGTATACACCCATCACTTGGGACTTGGGTATGTCAAAGATCTTGACAATGAAAGCGCTACACCGGTGCGAATGTGGCACTTGAACCTGTCGCTTTGGCCAGTTTTGGAGGCATGTCAAACACCGACATCTCACTACTGTACATAAGTCATTGACATTGTACATGTACTGGGATTTCTCCGAGTCCGATGCAGAGGAGTGCGGCTCCATCTTCGCGGCTTCCGATACAGGACTGGGTTTTTTCGGACTGAATATCATCGAGCATTATAATTATTGCAAATGTAGGTGAAGTGCAAGAGCCGTGGGTACAGGTGTCATAAAAACGACATCTCTCGCACTGAGTCGCAGTCGAGTCCTACTATGCAGATCTCACTTGCGTGATCATCAAGAAGCGGTGGGTAGATCTACAAAGTAACACGGTGGTCCTGCCTTGATTGAGAAGTTCTTGGATAAATTTCACACCCAGAGACGCGCCCCAAGACCTCGATAGTTTCACTGGAGTCATCGTCTTCTTCGATTCCCACGTAGCGTTTGCTTTCGCGGCCAGCTTCGTGGCGAAACAGAACTTGTTCGGCTGAGACGCCGCCGACAATCGGCCGTGCCGCTGGCGCTCCTAGTCAGCGGCTGGCGCTCCCGGCTCTACATGCGTTAGCTACCACATCGTTCCTTGTTCCTTTCGTCGACAGTTCGGCACTCGGCTGGCCGGGAGGGCATAGGTGGGCTTGAGTGGCGTCCATACCGCAAACATGCCGATCTTCTCAAAGGTAGGAGGACGATCAGGGCGAACTCAGTGCTAATGAATGTTCTTTGAATGTGTTTTGTCGACTTTTATGGTCCGACAGGTAGCGAAGCATTCCGAGTTCTGGGGACAAACCAATGTTGCAGATACACCACTGTACACGTCGTTGTTGTTCTGTTATGTATCTCACAGTGCAGTTCTGATTACATGTACATGTACATGACTGGGCAGGAGTAGAATAAAATGTCGAAAATTGGTTTTGAATTCAGCAAGACTGGCAAGGCACTAGGTGTACTCCACGCTTCATTTCTATAAGGAGTTTGTTGTCAAATAATTACTGTATGTGAAATCACTGGATGCCAGTGAAACCTAGGAACTCCTTACCAATGATATCTTGTTGGCCTTCATTCAGCCGACAAAATAATTAATAATTATGACATCGCACTTGACTGAGCAAGAATCCAACCATTGATACAGATATTTGGTACAAACTTTGCACGGCACACACTTCGTATCTACAATATTTGCCAAAATCCAGCCAATGCTGCATGCATCGTAGTCGGCTACCATGTGCAGCACTGGCCAGATTTTTTAGCGTATATTGTACATCCGATGCCGAACAGTGTCGGCTGAAAGTTAACTCCTTTATCGTTGATATATCTGCATGACTTCAAACCTGAACAGAAAGAAATACACAATGACCGTTCTGAAAAGGTACCAGAACATATCATCAAGAAAATCCGTGTTTTGCAATTATGCAAGGAAACCCAATGCTCATCGTTTCTCTAAACGGACTGTGTAAGATTATAATTATGGATGTGACAACTACCACTTTTAGTTCGTGGTATTGTATTCACTTGATTTACGTTGCTGCTCCATATTTGATAGGGTGATCAAGTATGGTTGGACCTTGGCTCGGGACAAGAGTACGATGTGCCGCTTGGAGCAATCGTCCGGTTTTCGGACACTGGCCAAATGCAGCTTCTTGATGATGAAGGCCAGGTAAGGATCAAGAGGAAGATATTGATAGTAAACTTGATATCGTGATGACTGATCGTTTGCTCCTAGTAAAATAGTTTGGCTATGGGGCAAATCATAGCGTGATGATGCTTTTATGCCACGTTGTGTGTGCGTGTGTGTGTATTCATTCTGTATTTTGCAACATAATGCATGTATATCATGATCCACAGCAAGAAGGCAGCAGTGCCTGTACCTATGGTGAAGTAAAAATAAAGGTAACATGACATATGTGTGGGTATCCATTCTGTAATCCATGAGTCACTGTTTGTAACACAATGCATGTATGTATGTGTGCGTGCGTGTGTGTATGTGCCTCTGTGTGTGTTTGTGTTTCTGTCTGTCTGTATGCACGTGTGTGTATGTGCATGCACATGGGTGTGTATGTATGATTATTGCTGCAGGAACACTGGGTCAGCAGTGCCAATGCACATCTGATCCGGGCCATGCACCAGACATCTGTGGACGGTGTTGATGACATGGTATGATAGCAATGACCACACAACATATGCCTATGGGACTTGGTGTAGCGTTTTGCAATACATTATAATTTCTGTGGGCCTTTTAGCTTTCAGAAGCTCAGCTACTGTATCAACAAGAAGAGGATGAAGCTTAGGTTGCAACTTGTAACCCCGAGTTTCATGCACGAGGCGATTATAAGATTTGTACTGCAACGAGTCATTGTGATCCTAAATGTTTGTTGTTCATTTGCCATGGACATACCCTGATTGTGAGGTCCACGTGCTCTGTGTACAAGTTGTCCCATGGTGGAATCATGCGGTGACCGTGCATCAGCGTTTACTCTGTGTTTGCTTCCTTCTCTCTTGCATCCGGCCACAGATTCACCTGGGCGACTTGAATGAGGCTGGCATCTTGCACAACTTGCTGAAGCGTTACAATGCAGGGAATATCTATGTGAGTGAAACTCCTCTGTCCGACGCTACATGTTTAAGTTGTGATTCTAACTTAGTAGGCAAAATCAAATCGGGGGAATCCTGTTGTTTTTGCCCGAGACTGACCAACAATTGGAGGGATGAGACTGACCAACAATTGGAGGGATACAAATGAATACCGGGGTAGTTGGTTGGAGTGCAATGGACAATATGGTGATGTGCTAGTGGCGCGTGTGTACTCAGGCGCCATGCCAGCGGCCAGTGTGAGGAACAGCAGTGACAGTTTGTGCTGGCTTAGGAGTCGGTGCAAGGTCTGTGATCGGCCTTAGTGCTAACGTCATAAGGTAGGGGGAAGGTGCCACCTATCCCCATAAACCCTGGTCGGTATTAATAGTTTCAAGTTAATACCTTACCAATGTCTACAGTATCTTGTTTTATTGTCAAGAGGATTCTCTCAAGCACTAGCCTGTCTAGGGCCTGGTTTCCTAGGAGGATATTTCGATGTAACTGCTCCAGATCTTCGAGTGCCGAACCTCTGGCTCAGGATGCTAGAATCTGCCGAGCTTAGTTTGTGGCATGCGCACGTGTTTCGAATTAACCTCAAGCAAGCTGTAATGATGATTAGTGAAGCAGACTTGATCAGCGGCAGTTGCTTATTGCATGTATATATGTGTGTGTGTGTGTGTGCATGCGTGCGTGCGTGCGCGCGCGTGTGCGTGTGTGCGTGCGTGTGCACGCGTGCATACGTGTGTGTGCGTGTATGTGTGTGTGCATGTTGCACTGCTGCAGACTTTCACTGGCAGCATTCTGGTTGCCATCAACCCTTACCAGGTGGGTGTATACAGATAAAAACAATATAGAGTTCTGGCCAGTGAAATCCAACAACTCATGAATAACGTAGTACCATATACTTCACATCACTAGCACTGGAAACAATATCCAGTGCACTGGAGCGTGGCGCGGCTTTATTCATTAGGTTGAATTTCTTTTGGACAGAACTGTGGATGACCCTGCTACATCATGGCATGATGTATTGCAGTCTTGTGTCAAGAGCATCTGAATCAGTTTGCTAAGACTCAGTGTAGGCCGATCTTACTGTGCTATGAGATCTACAGCATTTTGTTTCACGTCCTTTATGCCATTATGGTGTTTGTCTCACTTTAACGCTGTGCATTGTAGTCACCAGCTGATTTGTCGCCATGCAGTTTCTAACGGCACAAAACACAGCCAGTATTATTTCGACATGGGATTGTTTCATACTGGCCGCACCTAGTTAACAATATGCAAATGGCACGACCTCTTTTATTATTATCATTAAATGGCGCACCAGTTGGGTGCTGGAGAAACTCGATCTGATTCCGGCTCTTCATCCCCCTTGCAGCTGTACGACATCTACAATCAGACGTACGTAAAGAACTACCGGAACAAGAAGATCGGCGAGATGCCACCGCACGTCTTTGCAATCGCCGACAATGCCTACCACTTCATGCTGAGACGAGGAAAAGACCAGTGTATCATTATCAGGTGAGAACATCTGCTCTTGGCTATACTGCAGCATGGCTGTCTATATAATTTTGTTTACAGAATGTTGAGCTTCTAGCACACCATACTTCCCGGAACCCTCCATTGCGGCGAGTGATATTTAGAAGACATAGTTATTGGGCGCAGTGTAGCACGAAGGGGCCCCACAGATGTGTGTAATCACTGTGGCCTAATCGGTCACGGTATGGGCACTGTCCCGGAAAGACAGGGGTGCTAGGTTCGAATACCGTCCGCCCATTATTAACCCTTCTTTTGCAGCATCATAAAGGTAATGATGTGTGTGACGTGGATTGAAACTTCATGGTCAAGTTTGAATCATCACCGTGAAGTCCTATTCGTAGTACCAAGTTGCTACAAGCTTTGTGACAAACCATTTAGCTACTCAATCTTGCGAATAACGACCCTCAATTGTGCATGAGAAAAATGCCATTATTTGTGAGTTGCTGTGAAGCATACAGTCAAACGGATGCTGTCAAATGGTGACTAGGCCTGCAGATAGAGTCATTACTTGCGAGTTGTTATTACAACCGAGGTCGTTATTTACGAGGTTGACTGTACCTTCATGTGAGAGGAAATGTCGACTGTTGTAATGTGTGTTGTGCTGGGGCAATATGACTAATATCTGCGGGGAGGTTGTTTGCTGTCGTGCATTATGCAGTTCGATTTTTCAACTGCGTTTCTGTGCTTGCTTTTCATCTATCTCTTTGCAGTGGTGAGAGTGGAGCGGGAAAAACAGAGAGCACCAAGCTGATTCTGAGCTTCCTGGCGGCAACCAGCGGTCAGCATTCTTGGATCGAGCAGCAAATTATCCAGGCCAATCCGATCATGGAAGGTAGGGTGTACGTGTAAGGAGGTTTTCAAGCTTAAGCGAGCATTTTGTTGTGCACAGCCTCGGTGTCAGTTTCGTGCCGGCTGTGTGTGATGTGCACATGCATGCAGGTTGACCTCTACATCTATTCAGTGTCTGGATAAAAAGGCTATGTTGGTATAGAGGAGAGAGAACATTACCGACCTTACCTGATCAGATAGTGAGCGTTCCTGCCTTCAGTACGAGAGATTTCCCATACCAATCCCATTCGTTGGCATTCCGGAGGCTTTGTCTAATCGTGTCTTCCTTGTTGTTGACAGGGAGCTGAAAACAGATGAGCATTGTTCTAAGGCGGGAGAGAAGTCCTTTAAAGTAGGACCTGAATTGCCTTGTCATGTGTACTGGCATGCACTGTTTTATTCACACAGCATTTGGCAACGCCAAGACAATCCGCAATGACAATTCCAGTCGCTTTGGAAAGTACATTGACATTCACTTTTCCAAGGAGGGTATCATTGAGGGTGCCATGATTGAGCAGTACCTCCTGGAGAAGTCGCGCATCGTCAGCCAGGCGGAGGACGAGCGCAACTATCACATCTTCTATCGCATGATTTCCGGCATGACTGCTCGCCAGAAGGAAGAGCTGGAGCTGACGTCCGCAAAGAACTACCACTACTTGACGCAGGTAGGTGACTTGTGTTGTGCAATTATCCAGCAAGGGGGCAGCTCTACCTTTTCCTCAGACCTACTAGAAGTATGTTGGCTGGTTTGCATTTGCGGCGGTGCGTCTTGTATGTGTGCGTTAGGGAGCAGGACAGGTCTTCTCTTGGCTGCCTGGGAAAAGATGGCCGTGTGTCCAGTGCATTTCTACATTTTGCTTGGGACTCTCTGTGTTTGTTTTGTTCCACCGCTGCAGGGCAATTGCCTGAAGTGTGTTGGCATGGACGACAGCAAGGAGTTTGCTCTCATCTTGGATGCAATGAAGGTATGTTCTGTGAATCACATCACCACAATGGACATGTCTCAAATGAAGAAGAACTACTCTCTGAAGCCACTTGATGCCGAATTTTGGCAATGTGTTCATATCTTGAACATTTGACTATGTCCGAAGTTTCTTTCACCTTTCTTCTCTTTGTATTTTATCCCCTTCTCTACCCTGATTGCACTAGTGGTGTCTGTTTGTCCATCTACTGCCTGCAGGTGTTGATGTTCACGTCAGAGGAGTGTAACAACGTCTGGAGACTAACAGCCGCTGTACTTCATCTTGGCAACATGATCTTTGATGGTGGGTGTGATCTGTGATCTTTGGTTCATTTTGTTGTTCAGTCACCGGTCACCGTCTTTGTATGGTAATATTGCCCGTCTACCACGGAGGGCTGCGTTCCAGAAAACATTCAATTTCCGGTGTGAGGAATTTATCACGGTTGCTCCTGTTATCCTGCCATCCCTAATCTCTATTTTTTGTTTGTTAAAAGTTGATGTACTTGCAAACTTCCACTAGCTTTCTTTGACCATGCATGCCTGGGCTACATAGCACTGTTATGTATTCAGTTCCCAGACTTCCTTTGTCCGTGTCTGACTATCCTTATACCTGTGCTCGTGTAGAAACTGAAATCCACAACATGCCTGCATCTGAGCTAGCCAACATGGACGTGTGCGCTACAGCAGCCAGATTGTTGCAGGTGAGACGGAGGAGTGTAGACGAAGTAGTTGGTGTGTGTGTGTGTGTGTGTGTGTGTGTGTGTGTGTGTGCGTGTGTGTGTGTGTGTGTGTGTGTGTGTGTGTGTGTGCATGCATGTGTATGTTTATGTGTGTGTTTTTGCACATATGCACAGACGTGTGTAGACATACGTGTGCGCGTGGACATACATGCACACATATGTGCACATACCGGTAGTCACACTTCTCTTTGTTTATCTTCCCTTCACTTTGTGTACCCAAAGGTTGATCCTTCGAAGCTTGCCGTGGCACTAACTAGCCGCACAACCCTTGCTCACGGTGAAGTCATCGTTACTCCTCTTAGTGCCGACCAGGCCATGGATGTACGTGATGCATTTGTCAAAGGAATATACGGCAAAGTCTTCCTGTGGATTGTGACGAAAATCAATCAAGTCATCTTCAAGCCAAAGGTAACCAACTCATACTGCACTGAAACACACGACTGTGTCCTGCATTGCTACACAATATGCTGTGTTCTGCATTGCTACACAATTCAACATGTACTTTGACTGTTCTTGTTGGATTGTCACCTGTGCTATACGTAGGAAAATCCACACAATGCGCGGCTATCGATTGGTGTCCTGGACATCTTTGGCTTTGAGAACTTTGGAGTCAACTCGTTTGAGCAGCTCTGCATCAACTACACAAACGAAAATCTCCAGCAGTTCTTTGTTCAGCATATCTTCAAGCTGGAGCAGGTATGTCATCATAGCAGTTACTGAGCAAGTGTGAGCATAATTATGATTATGCTTGTACCTGGACACGTGTGTGTGTATGTGTGTGTGTGTGTGTGTGTGTGTGTGTGTGTGTGTGTGTGTGTGTGTGTGTGTGTGTGTGTGTGTGCATGTGTCTACGTACGTGTGGGCATGTGGGCGTGTTTGTGTGCGTGTGCGTGTGTCTGTGTCTGTGTCTGTGTTTGTATGTGCACGTGTCTGTATCTGTGTGTATGTGTGAGTGGGTAGCATGGGGCAGTCTCTTGCTGCCGGTTTCCAGGTTGCCGGGCCAGGTGCTATAATTTCATCCAGGGTTGAGCTTGCTGTATCTGATGTTCTGTGTGTGCTTGATGAAGGCTGAATACGACCGGGAGAACATCGATTGGACACAAATTGAGTTTGTTGACAATCAAATCTGTCTGGACTTGCTGGCAGCTAAGCCTTTGAGCATTATTGCACTAGTGGATGAAGAGAGCCGTTTTCCAAAGGTAAGCTAACTGTAGAGATCGGCCTTTTGTATCTAATCCGCTGCAATGATCTTTGTCACATGCGCTCAGGAAACTATTCTGAACTGATGCTGAATATGTCCAAGACCTTGGAAACGTTAAAATACTCACACTATACCAAACAGGTGAACATATGGAGCAACACCGTGTGACTTGCCCATCGGCTCTGGCTGCTCTTCTGTTGCTAATCAATCACTGTCTCTTTGTACTCCGTGTTATGTTTCAACCGCTCAATAGGGAACGGATGCATCTATGCTGACCAAGCTACACAACAACCATAAATCTCATTCGCATTACGTGAAGCCGCGGTCAGCGCACAACACGACGTTCGGCATCATTCACTTCGCCGGAACGGTGTACTATGACAGCTGCGGTGAGAGCGATATTGGATATCATCTTTTAATGTCAGTGACTATCCTATGTGTGCAATGTGCCCATGAAAGAAACACTTCTAACCTGCTGGCATTGTTAGGCAGCACCGTGGCATGTGCTATGAAATGATAGTGTACAGTCTGTCACACATGTCAGGGGGGGGGGGGGGACTACTCTACTGAAGTGACCACCATGTGCACAGGATAACTCGGTAATAAACCGCCAAACGCCAGGTATCTCGTCTGTCATTGACCCTGGATAAGAGGATTTCCTGTGTGGAGCGACAATATCTTGGGGTCCGTGAGCAATCAACTTAGACCGTGAGTTTTCACATATTCTACAGTTGAAGTTGCATCTCTTGGAAGGTGGACACCAGCCCATATTGGTAGAGAGAGGTAGTGAATTGACATGGCATGGTTCTGTGTATGTCACTCTTCACCCATTGCAGGGTTTCTGGAGAAGAGCCGAGATACATTCAGCGGTGACCTGATTGAACTGCTGCACCGCACAGAGTCCAAGTTCTTGAACAACCTGTTTGCAAAGGAGACGGCCGTCAGCACAACAACGCGCAGAAAGTCGCCGACGCTGGGCATCCAGTTCAAGAACTCGCTGGAATCGCTGATGAAGGCCCTCGGTGCCTGTCAGCCATTCTTTGTCCGCTGCATCAAACCCAACGAGAACAAGCGGGCCAACGTAAGGCGGGGTACCAGTGTACATGTACATGTATAGGGCCTTTCCTACAGGACTCAAAGTTGTATTGTCTTGTAAATAGCGGTGACAGAATCCTTTAGCAAGTGCAAATTCACACACAAGACATTTATCAACTCTTCTGCACACATACATGCCCGTATGCTGCGTAGGATCTCATATCACATGCATAGAACAGAATAGGAGAGAGAGAGAGAGAGAGAGAGAGAGAGAGAGAGAGAGAGAGAGAAAGATAGATATGGAGAGAGAACGTGTATGCTGAGTAGCTCATGGCATGCATAAGGACCACCAAAAAGCTGTCTCCAAACAGTCCTAAACTGCTATAGACATATACCATCCATGCAGACAGTACAGATACTAGTACCTGGTAGAACTTCTATTGCACCTCAGGCTGTGCCTCTGGTTTGGTGCAGGCGGGTTGAAGGAGTGCATCCTCTGATTCTTACCCTCGCTGCCCTGCACAGATGTTTGATCGTGAGCTGTGCACACGTCAACTGCGCTACTCTGGTATGATGGAGACGATCAGGATCCGCAAGGCTGGCTTCCCGATTCGCCACACGTTCAGCAACCTCGTGTCCCGCTACTACATGCTGGTGAAGGGCATGAAGGTCACTGGTGGTGATAACGACAAAGTCAAGTGCAGTCGCATTCTGAAGAAGGCAATCAAAGATGACCTGTGGCAGATTGGAAAGACCAAGATCTTCTTGAAGGTGATTAAACAACTAGAACTTGTCTGCACAAGACCTTTTTTGGCTTGCTTTGACCAGACGGGCAAGGGAACAAGGGAACTTCCACGGTGTTACTAAAGCATAGAACTCCAATCACGACAGAGAGTTGACTGCTGCTGCATGTACAACAATGACATCACCTGTGCATCGCATGACATCATCTTTGCATTAATGACGTCACCTGTGTGTTTATTGGATTCAGGATGAGCACGACAAGCAGCTAGAGATTGCACGCGAGCTCATCTTGCACGAGAAGGTTGTTGTCATTCAGAAGTACTGGCGTGGCTACGTTCAGCGGCAGAAGTTCAGGAAGTTGAAGATTGCGGTGATGTACATCTCCAAGAACTGGAAGCGGATTGCTGCTCGCAAGCGCTATCTCAAGGTAGAGATCGTAGCTTGGCTTTCGTTGATGGTGTGTGGGTGGGTGTTTGTGTGTTTGCGAGTGCATGCGTTTGTATGTGTGTGTGTGTGTGTGTGTGTGTGTGTGTGTGTGTGTGTGTGTGTGTGTGTGTGTGTGTGTGTGTGTGTGTGTGTGTGTATCTTTGGGATGGTGAATTAAATGGACAGCATAAGCAAAGAATGGCAGAGAATAGCGCTAATGAAGGTCCCTGGCTCGAGTCCTCTGGTGTTGACCGCCAATTCTTTTCCTCCGATTTTTTCCCTTTTCAACACCGTCAACTAATGAATAAATAGTGCTGTAACTCTGAATTTACCCTTTGACTGTGGGAGGGTCCCTGGAACGCCAAATGACATCTATGTAAAACCACTGTTATAGTTCCTAGTAGCAGTAGAGGACATTGCTTCTGCCCCATGATTCATCCTCGAACCTGATGTGTTGGTTTGGGTTTGGTAAATCACAGATGATCAAGGGCTTCAGGCGGTTGCAGGCAACGGCAAGGATGCGCAAGCTCACTCGTGAATACCAAACCATGAGACGGCGTGTCCAAGGCCTACAAGTAAGCCATACAGGACATGTGACATAGATTTAGAATGGTTTGGGCCACTTGAAGTGGTTTGGCGACATCAGTGGTTTCACCGCAGTTGAGATTCGAATATTGTACCGCCATGGGTGTGAGTTTGTGAGATACGTCATGCACTTTACATTGCTGTTTGGGTGCATACATGCACGCTATGGACGGTGGCATTGCAACACCTATTCTCCTTCGTATACGGTCATGTCCGCCATCTCCATCCCTGCAGTGTGTACTAGTACTCACTTTGGCCACTCATCATATTCTGAGAAAGTGGGTTTTGCTACCTACGTGAAAGCTCACACCTTCCTGCCGAGTTGACTTGGTACTTTACTGGCCTACCACTGCCATCCGGAGCACACAAAATATCCATTCAACCTTCCACTCGGCAAACCTGCAAGAAAGCACCTCTCCCTGCTCGATATTCAGTGTTCCGGAACTCACTTACGTTCTTACCAACTCCTTTCCGAACAAGTTTTTACATGACATAATATTCTGTGTTGCATCGTCCATTTCTGGCATCTTCTCAACTTGACCACGTGTACTTGCACACAGTGACCATGTTGTTTTTTTGTTTTGTTTTCATGTGCATTCTGTGTGTGTGTGTCTGTGTGTGTGTGTCTGTGTCTGTGTGTGTGTGTGTGTGTGTGTGTGTGTATGTGTGTGTGTGTGTGTGTGTGTGTGTGTGTGTGTGTGTGTGCGCGTGTGTGTAGTGTCACGCGCGAGGCTTGCTGGCAAGGCGAGAGTTCAGACGGCGCATGAAGAGCATAGTGCGCCTGCAGACTCAGATCAGGATTCTGAACGCCAAGCGAAAGCTCCGCCTGTTGAAGCTCGATGTAAGGCAATAATGGAAAGCACGCTGGTTGTGTCCTCATCCCCATGCACACAAGCATCAAGTAGGTCGGGGAAAAAGCCCTGAACAAGAACATGTGCAATGTTATCTAATGCTACCGAAGTAGATATATTACTACTATTACTACTACTGTATAGCAGGAAATTTTCGGACGGAATTTATTTTCGTACGATTTCGTACACGGCCTCTTTTGTACTAAAATAAATTCCGTACTAAAATTTGTTCATGTGAAATTATGTACACTATATGGGTACTGCTTGCGAACACGTGCATTTAGCATGCAGCACTGTACGAAAATAAAATCCGTACGAAAGGTCGAAATTCGGCTTTGTCCGAAAATATTTCCGTCCGAAAATTTCCTGCTATACAGTATGCACAGTACACATGAGTACCTATATAACAAGAGTACATATAACAACAAACGCTGTGATGGTTTGTAAGTGATTGCTGGCCTTCTTCACTTCACTTCAGAGGGGCTGATAACGTTGGCGTGTAGCCATAGGCGACAGCATTTGACATACACATGAATGACCTGACATACACATCGCATGTGAAGTACTTTGCTGTCGTCGTTCATCTCCTTGCAGAAACAAAAGAGAGATGAAGCGGAACGCTTGCGTAAGGAAGAAGAGGAGCGTCTGCGGCGTCTCCAGATGGAGGAAGCAGCGGCCAAAGCAGAAGCAGAACGGAAGCATCAAGTAAGATCAGCAATGATGAGCAATGTAAAAAAATGTACATGTTCAATGTGGTGCATTGTGAACTGAATGTGGCTTGCACTGGGTTACTTCGTGCCTAGATTGAGATATTGCCTATACCCTCCGTCATCTATCTCTGGTAGGACTCTCAGCCTAGTGCGAGGCATGCAAGTTACTTCCTCTGTGTTATGACTGAATCATTGTATCTGTATATTACAAGTCTGTTCCGTTTACCCCGGAAGATAGTACTGTCACAATGTGCCACCTCATGATGTCCTTGAAATCATTCACCATGACGTCAATGTGTCATGTAAAAATAGTAAAATATTGAACTTGAGCTTTGAACATGACGTTGATTCTTTGATAAATCTGTGGTGAAGTCTTCCTGGTGCTTCAACTGACGCACTGTGCCAGCACTTTGAAACATGCTATGCAGTGCCCAAAGTGGCGTTTCACTGTGGAAAGAAGTCTGCAGAGATCACAGTGCTGGATTTAGACCAGTTTTTGATTGGCCCGGCCCTACCCTAGCCTTTCATACAGTTTGTGTATGATATGGAGGGTAGTCACATGACTTTCATACAGTTTGTGTATGATATGGAGGGTATACACATGACTTTCATACAGTCTGTGTATGATATGGAGGGTAGTCACATGACTTTCATACAGTTTGTGTATGATATGGAGGGTAGTCACATGACATTCATATAGTTTGTGTATGATATGGAGGGTAGTCACATGACTTTCATACAGTTTGTGTATGATATGGAGGGTAGTCACATGACTTTCATAAGCAGTAAACACACGTTGGTGGCCGCAAGGTTGGTTCGGCCATGGCCTGACCAACCGGGCCGGTTCGGCGGGCCTGTTAGCCGGGGTACGCTGAGCATCGTAACTCCTATTGGAGACCCTGAGTGGTGTGTGTGTGGATCAGTGTGAATGGCTGGCTGGGCATAGTGTAATGGAGTAACCGAGTCATCCGTCATGCGGTTAAAGACCTGTTTCTCCTGGCTTTGTTTCGCATGTTGTGCTTAGGAAATGCTCGCTCGCATTGAGCGTGAAAAGGAGGAGGAAGAAGAGAGGCTACGTCTGGAGGCAGAGGAG